TTGATCGACTCCCTGTGGACTCCTCACCTGGCTGTGACGGAATTAACTCCAGACTCTTAAAAATAACGAAATATACTTCAGCCAAATTTCTGCTCCTTATTTTCGAGCAATCCCTAGCTTTCTCCCAATTGCCGTCTGATTGGCTAAATGCTAACGTAGTACCCATCTTCAAATCAGGTAATCCGAATGAGCTAAAAGATTACAGGCCCATCTCACTGATCAGTGTGTCATGCAAAATTTTAGAGCACATCGTCTTTAGCAGCATAATGTCACATTTCGATAGTAACGATTTGTTGTTCTCTAATCAGCATGGCTTCCGCAAAAACTGTCTTGTGTTACCCAATTATTCAAACTCACCCACGATCTTCATACCAACATGCACTCTTTAAAACAAACTGATGCAATATTCATAGACTTCTCAAAAGCTTTTGATCGTGTTCCCCATAACAGATTAATACTTAAGCTCCTCCATCTAAACGTCAGTAGTAACCTTGTCTCGTGGATTCGGGCCTTCCTGTCTCATCGCACCCAATCTGTGATTGTCGATAATGTCACCTCCTCTCCACTGAATGTCATCTCTGGTGTCCCTCAGGGTTCAGTTCTTGGCCCACTTCTTTTCTTAATTTATATAAACGACATTGCTTCTTCCCTCTCTTCTTCACCACACTTTGCTCAATAAAGGGAAGTAAAAATAGACTGGCACAACTTGTCCGATCTAAGGTACAATGTGGTCTGCGGCTTGGCCGAGACATAAAATTCTGCTGGGTGCCTAGCCATGTGGGGATCCTAGGTAATGAAAGAGCAGACGAATTGGCCACGAGCTCTAAGCACCTACTGCCAACCACCTCACAGATTCCATTTCAAGACATGAAGCCCTTGGTGAAATCATCAGTTTTCCGGCTGTGGCAATCGGAGTGGAGTCTGGAATGCGAAAACAAACTTCGCAGGATTAAACCAGCTCTTGGTATGTGGGAGAGTGCCTTGAAGTTCTTTTGTGTCGTCTTAGAATTGGACATTCCTTCCTCACCCACAAACATCTGCTCAGGGGGGAAGCCCCACCCCTGTGTGATGAATGTGGGGAGCGTTTGACAATTTTACACATTTTGTGGCTGTGCCCAGGGCTTGAGCAAGAATGACATACACATTTCCCCGAGTTTTTTTCACACCAGATTCCTTTTCACCCAGCGCTGCTAATTGGGGAGACTCCTATAGTACCATTTGATCATTTCATAAATTACTTGAGAAAAACCGGCTTCCTACTGGAGTTGTAATTTCAATTCTATGACTTTTAACCTTGTCATATGAACCTCTTTTCGATAATTCTTATAAAAATGTCCTGAGTATGTCCCACCTAAACAAGCTTGGCGCAGTATGGCCATAGTAGCTTTGCGCCATAAAGCCCGTAATCAACAACAACATCCCTCTCTTCCACCGTGAGATTGTATGCTGACGACCTTGTGCTGTATCGCAAAATTTCTTCCATCAATGATTGCATAATTCTACAAGACTATCTAGAAAAATTAACTACCTGGTGTGAATCTTGGCTCATGACGATTAATCTGGATAAATCTAAAATTATCTCGTTCTCCAGATCAAAAAATGAACTCACACTTACTCTATTTCATCTTGTGAACTAGAACGTGTGGCCACATTTAAATATCTAGGAGTGTTCCTTTCTGCAGACTTATCATGGAAGTGCCACGTTGACTATATCTGCTCTAAAGCAAATGGAACATTAGGATTTTTAAGACGATATCTTTATCTCGCAGACCCGTATGTCAAATGCTTAGCATACACTACAATAGCTCGGGCGAAACTGGAATAGGCGTCCATCATATGGAATCCTCATCAAATTTATCTCATTGACCAACTCGAAGCTGTCCAAAATCGCGCCACTCGTTTTATTACTCGCGATTATTCTCGAAAAAGCATTTCCTGTCTAAAACAGTCCATATCTCTCCATACACTCGAAACTCGTAGAAAAAACAAACGGCTCTCTTTTATGCACAGACTATAGACCTTTGCAAAAAGAGCGCTCTGGCTGCCGCCATTTTGCGAATCGAGCAACCCCTATCAGCCAGAAATTTCTGGCACCCGCCTGAGCTGTGGAAAGCCAGTCAGCGTGACTCCCCATCTGCATTGTGCATTCGGAGTTTGCCGGCTTTTCTTTGAAGTTTTTACTTTATTTGTCTGTTTAGAATGCTTACCCTTTGTGTTTTATCTTCCACTGTGAGAACCAGAGAATACCAGGGCCCGTTTGCTCGAAGCTGGTTAACTAACCGCGGTTAACCGGATTTCCCTACGAGGGGGAATTTTGGGTCACGTGACCGGCAGAGTAAGGACGGCGGGGAAACATGGCGGTGCCCCGGTGAGTGAGCGCCGCTCGCTTTGGAACTAATACGTCGCAGTAGCTGCAGTAGCAGGCGCGTTAGTCAGCAATGAATGTGCAGGAGGTTTTCGCGTTACCTTACCTCACTTAAAACGCAAAACATGAGCAATGACCTCGCCGCATTTTTAGATAGACTTTCGTCTCTGGCCATTCCTAAGCCTAAATGAACGCGATAGTTGTCGGCATGGCAACGTCTTTGGAATGTGGATTGCCTTGACTCAATCGGCCGGATATTGATAGCACACAAAAGCAGAGAGCGTTCCCATAAACCTTTTGCTAAATTTCAAAAGCACCGAGGTGCATGCTACGAGTGTAGACGCGCTGCACCTGCTGGCGTCTGCAGTAATAACTGTTCTGAAGCAAAAAGCCTAAAACAAATTTTGCCGTGCACGCGCGTTCGTCAAAGATTTATTATGATTATTTACTTCTAATCTTTTATAAGTGGAAGGCCAGTCGCGCGGATCGTAGAATTACACTTCCAGCGTTCTTCTCGATGTTCGGGTAATTTACTAATAGGTCAATTTTCAGTGGAGCCGAGTTACAGGTTTTTCAATTTATGACTGTGTTATATACAGTTCTTATATGCCGGCCAACCATGCTGCCGGTGTACCGCCCGCCTTTCACTGCTCACTTCTTTCTTATCGTTTCTAGGACTGAACTTCATCGTCCTTTATTGAACTCGGAAGGAAATTTCAAGAAGGCTTTTCTTCACTTCATCAGCCAAATATTTAGAAGATTTCCAAACAAGGGTTAATTTAGTTTTACCTTGCCGATTATTTGTACCACGAGCAATAAAAATTGTTTCATAGGCTCAAATGTGTGCCGCGCTGCGTCGCGAAAACAAGGCAGCGCGCATTTTTTGGGTCCCCCCATTTCGGGAACCTTTCCACGGATTGGGTTGTGTGTATGTTTATACAGCCTAGAACTTGGTCTGCCTCAACGGGCGACGAGTCTCGCAGATGTAGATGAGCAATTTAGCCAGTGCGGTACAACCGCTAGCCTGGGGTCTTTAACGTGCACCACGCAGTAGTTATACACGACCGCACGTACATTCGATACGGCCAGTAGGTGACACATCCTACCACCCCATAATAAAACACCGAGCTATCGCTCATCCAGCCCTGGTCAAACTTGGCTAGGTACTTGTAGGTGCCTAGTAGGGAAGGGCGGTTAACTTTTAACCTCGGTTAAAGTTAACCGGCTTCGAGCAAACGGGCCCAGGGCTCGCAGCCTGCTCGGCCTTCGCAGGAAATGAACGAAGAGAGCGAACGTCAAGCAGCCCGCGACGCAGGCAGTTCTTGGAGGATTATTTCCGTTGAGAAAATCTCCGAAAAGCCTTCCCGGCTGTGTTCCGGGTCTTCGCGAAAAATAGCTGATAGGGTCGGGTCCAGGGTGTGGGGACAGAATAGACACGTTCGTTCATTTGCTTTGAAGCTGTGCAAAAAAGCTGCTCTCTTCTACATGTTCCCCAAAACACGCCGGATTCCGTCCGATTGCCGTGAAGTGACTGTCGTCGACACTGTATATCGGATATGCTGTGTTATTTGAGACCTTTCTCAAATCCTGTTCGAATAACGCGGCACCGTGGGGTACGTACAATATATGTTGTTCGATTGATGAGACTCGTTGAATTTCATGTTGCGGGCGGGGAATATCCATGCGGTTCGGATATCCTGTGTGGTCAAATATTTGACCTATATAGATTGACACGGCTGAGTGTATGGTGCCGTAAAACGATGAACATAGAATGAAACAAACATTCCAGTTGCATTTGTTCTGTCACGCACGGACTCACCAAAACAGCTTTTATTTCTTTGTTTTTGTTCCCAAAAATAGAGCACTGCTTTCTTAAATACCTCTATAATTTATGTTCGCCACAGAACACAAAATAAAAAAGAAAACGCGGCAATTTAGCCTCCACCAGCGTCCGGAATTGCACCTACGCGGGCTGCCACAGCTCACTGACGAGAAACTCCACAGCTTAGCGCAGTCGGGCAAAACTGACGTACACTCTCAAAACCAGGGACGCGCGCTGTAAATCGCTTCGTTCAAGACTGCCGCTGGAAAGGTCTATACTACAACCCATGGTCACCAAAAACATTTTCCCGGCTCATCATATTTCATCTCGCCTAGATCATCCATGTAAAGTCGAACCCATTTTTTCTAGAACTAACGCCTACAAATACTCACCTCTCTCTCTATGCATTTCTGAATGGAATAGCATGCCCCCAAGCCTGGTGACGATATGTGACCATAACCATTTTATGCAGGAGCTTGTTAAGTTGTTTGAGTAATTTCTGTATAATGATGCTTTCTCATTGTTCTCATTCAATGTTTTCCCCAATTTTTGTGAATTTGATGTACCCCCCTTATGTAATGCCTCACGTAGAGGCCCTTAAGGTAATAAAATGAAAAAATGAAAAAACCCCAATCTCAATAGAAGTAGCTGTATTTGATCGATGACGACACTGCTCTAATGTCGCGCACCGTAGCTAAGATAATGTCGCAGAATGGAACCCTTTTGAGGACGCACTTCCTTACGACGCCAGTTTATGCGCGTCCATGTCTTCGAAATCTGCAGCGAACGTGACAGTGTTGGGTTGTCTTCCAGAAGATGTCCACGTGGCGCTGGCGATCACCCTCTGCACCGGCATCATCACCCTGCTGCTTCTATATGGGACCATATGGGTGAGTGACACTCGGCCAAGAGTACAATGCCGTGCCTGACCGGCGTGTTTGGCATCCCATTCTGCCCATGCATCAAAAACGGTCCTGAAGCGGCAACAGTTGATGTTGCAAAAGCCAGAGCGTCACGTAGTAGAATGTCGCCATCCCGACGGCTGGGCGTAGAAGTTCCGGGAGAAAGTAGGAGAGAATGCGAGCGTCGCCATCGTCGCGACATCCAGACTCCCGTCCGGCGACAACATGATGCTTTAATAACATCATTGGGCGGGAACGGAGGGACCGCTTTTTAAAGCGCGGTAAACGCACCATTCGGAGAGACGTTCCGGGTGACGTAGCTCTGGCCGAGATGTTTTTTGCTACCCGAGAAGGGGTACCTGTGGACTAGTTGGCGGATATAGGTGGGCTGTGCACTTCCTGGTTTTAACCGGACACCACCGGTAAACATCAGCCGGCGACGGAAATGCATAATTGCTCGAAGCCGGAAAACACCGGTCGTGGATTGTGTCCACCCTAGTGACGGCCGTTTTTTTCAAAGCTTCTCCCTCGTAGAGGTTCGAGTACTCGTCGACTTTATTTATTTTTACATAATGCGCGAGACCGGTGTTCTGCACCATAAGCTAGAAAAGAACTATTAGGCACAGACCTTACAGGCGATGTTTCCCCGCATCTTTGCGTATATTGAAGCGTCGCCGGCAACACGGACCCTTCGGGACCACCTACCGGAACCACCAACGTCCGCTTCCACGCCCCGCCGTTTTGAAACAGCCGGAACGCACGGGATCTTTCTTTCTAGATTATTACATGAACTCCATGATTACAGGAGTGCGTTACCGGGAGGGGGCAAGGAGCCAGAGACAGGAAGGCAAGCCTGACCTTTCTCTCCCCCATGCAGGGCCACCCCAACTACCTGATGCCCTTCTTCTGCCTGCAAGTGTTTGACTTCCTCCTGTCGGCCCTGACGGTGGTGGGCTACTTCTCGTACATGCCGGACGTGCGCCGCCTGGTGGCCTCCTCCAGGGACCTGCCCCTGCAGCGCGAGCTGCTCCGCCTCGACTCCCAGTGGCTCTGCACTGTCGTTATGCTCGGCTTCGTCGCCTGCATGATGCTCAAGGTGCGTGACTGTGAGCGCAGCTCCTAAGGAGGAGGAGGAGGGGGGAAGGGTACAGAGGGGAGGGTATGCCTCTCCCTCCCATCCTCCTCTCTTGGTCCCCTCTCATTTAGCGGAAAATTTTCACTAAATTTCCCGCTTCCCCACTAAATTTAGAGGGAAAATTTTCCGCTAAATTTGGTGGGGATATTTTACCGCTATATTGACGTGTCATGTCATTATGGGAAACGTTCCATAATGCAACGCGTGGTGACGTAAACGCCGTTCAACCCGGAATCTGGCGCTTAAGAGCTGTGCCTTAAGATTTAAATTATCTTAATCCTGTGGGTGTCGTCGGGAGACACGGATTGCACCACGTGGTTTGACCTGCACCGGCCGTTTATTTGCTAGCTTCTCCGAGCTCGGGACTCTCGCTAAATTCTGCCAAATTTAGGAAGCAAATTTGAAGTGGTGTTTAGTTGTTCACCAATTCAATTTTCTCGATAAATTCACAGAATACCCTGCTTTTGCTCGCGTAATTTGTGTCTGGCATTGATTTGCACGTTACTGTAGAGGGCGCAACCCTCGCGTAGTGATTGCCGCAGGCAACCCTGTGCCACCGCGGGGGCGGCTTCGTGTGTTATTTTCGACGGAATAAAAGTCACTTGTTGTTCTGGCACGAGGGAGTTCGCATGAACCTTCTTCTGGCCCGGCATGGCCTCCACATGGTGTCAGAAGTGCCAAACGTTATGCCTAACGACGTAGGCCTTGCCTCCGCATGAATCGTCTCCGCCATAACTGCGTAGCTCGCTCGCCCGTCGCCCGGCTTTCGACCGCCGTGTTCCTGCTCGCTGCCGTCCTGCTCGCTGCCATGCCTGACGACGAAGGAAACGGCGCCAAGCCTTCATGGCAAGGTCTTTCACTGCATCAGCCCGACCGCTTCGACTTCGAGAACGCCGGTTCCTGGCCGACGTGGCTAAGCCTTTTCGAGGACTACGCCTTCGCTTCCGGTCTTCGACAGGCGTCGGGAGAAGTTCAGGTCCGCACACTTCTTTATTGCATGGGGCCGGAAGCTCGTCCTCTTCTTGCGACGTTCGGCCTCGGCGACGCTCCTACAGACTACAACGTGGTCGTAGAGAAGTTTACGGCCCATTTCGTTCACCCCCTCAACGAGGTGTACGAGTCGGCGCAGTTTCACCGGCGAATCCAGCAACCGGGGGAAACGGTGGACAGCTACTATGCGGAACTCTGCAAGCTCTGCAAGAGATGCAACTACCCGTCGCCCGAGGTCTTGGAACGCCTTGTCCGCGACCGCTTCATCGTAGGCTTACGCGACGCTCGCCTCGCCGACCAGCTCTGCCGCAACCCCAAGTTAACCCTCAAAAAAGCATGGGTGCAGGCGAGACAAGCAGAAGACGCCCAAAAGCAGAGAGACCAGCTCGCAGGCCACGACATGCAGTCTCGACCGGTGAGTCTCGATGCTGCCAAGTCTCGGCAGCCACAAGCGGGACGCGTCAAGTACAGCTCAGCACGCGACAAGCGCACCTCAAGCTCTAGCTCGTGCGGCTACTGCGGCCGCTCTTCACACGCTCGCTCGGTATGCCCCGCCCGCAACTCGTTGTGCAACCACTGCAAGAAAAAAGGCCATTTCGCGGACGTCTGCCGTTCACGGAAGAAACGGTCGACCCAGGTGGCAGAGCGGGGTTTGTACGCCGTTCGCAACTCCGACCAAGGCAAGTTCGTGGAAGTAACTGTCAACGACTACACGGAAGTGTTCAAGGTTGACTCGGGAGCCGAAGTTTCAGCCGTCTCGAACACCTTCCCCAACCTACCGCCGTCCCTCGACAAGGTGGACGACACTCTCCGGGCCAGGGCAGCAGCCACTCAACGTTCTTGGGTCCTTCATGGCCACTTTGCTGTGGAGAGGCAAGTCAACCCAGCAAAGACTATATGTGGTAAAATCTCTCTCCGTGCCTCTTTTGGGCTTTCCAGCCATTCAGGCACTTCAAGTCGTCGACGGCGTCTCATCGAAAGAAAAGGACCCTCCTACCGTCAAAGTCTCTTCTCAGACTTGTGACAAGCTGTTTAATGGCCTCGGATCTCTCTGAAGAATACAAGATCCGCCTCCAGCCAGACGCTGTTCCATTTTCTCTTAGCGTGGCAAGGCGCATCCCCATTCCGTTGCGGGAAGTCGTCCGCAAGGAACTGCAGAAGATGGAACAAGAAGGCGTCATTCGCCGAGTTGACACGCCAACACCATGGTGCGCCGGACTGGTGGTCGTCCCCAAAGCCACCGGGGGCCACAGGCTGTGCGTGGACCTTACGAAGTTAAACCGGGTGGTCCTGCGAGAACGCCACATCCTTCCCACGGTCGACCAGGTGCTGGGCCTGCTGGGAGACGCAACGGTGTTCTCCAAGTTGGATGCTAAATCAGGCTTCTACCAGGTGAAGTTGGCGGAAGAATCTCAAGAACTGACCACATTTATCACACCTTTCGGACGCTACTGCTTCCGTCGGATGCCTTCGGCATCACCTCTGCGCCCGAATTTTTCCAGAAGCAGATGTCCAGGATTTTGGAAGGCCTGGAAGGCACTGTGTGCATGATAGACGACATACTCGTCTTCGGACGCACTCTCGAAGAACACGACTCCCGCCTGCAGCAAGTCCTGATGCGACTATCCCGCGCAGGCATCACTTTGAACGAGAAGAAGTGCTGCTTCCGCCAGAGCGAGGTTTCCTCCCTGGGGGTGATGGTATCTGCAAGGGGCATCCGTCCTGACCCAAGCAAGCTCCAAGCGATCAAGGAGATGAGTGCGCCAACTGACATTGCAGGTGCAAGACGCCTCCTTGGCATGGTGAACCACCTTGGGCGTTTCCTTCCGCACGTTTCGGACGTTGCAGCTCCTATCCGAGCGCTCCTCAGCAAGAATGCTGCGTGGAACAAGAAACAGCATTCACCAAGCTCAAGCTGATGCTCGTCTCGGACCGCTGTATGGCGAAGTATCATCCGGCGTACCCAACAGTCGTCTCAGCGGATGCCAGTTCATTTGGCTTGGGGGCAGTCCTTCTACAAACTCGGCCTTCCGGCGAAAGAAGACCGGTTGCTTTTGCGTCGAGGTCCCTTACAGCGACTGAATTACGTTATAGCCAAACGGAGAAGGAAGCCCTGGCAGCTGTATGGGCTATTCAACGGTTCGACGAGTTCCTCCGTGGGTTGGTCTTCGACGTAGAGACAGATCACCTGCCTCTGGTCTCACTGTTTGGCAAGATGGACCTGGACGTGGTACCTCCACGTATCCAGCGCCTTCGACTGAAGGTGATGCAGTACCAGTTCACAATGTCATATGTCCCTGGGAAGCTTCTTGCAACAGCGGACACCCTGTCTCTTATGCCAACGGAACCTGCCGATTCGTCTCGTCCTGTAGACACAATCAAAGTGTTTGCTGCGGAAGTCCTTCAGACCTCATCAGAAGCAGCATCTCTACAGCTGGAGGACCTTCGAACTGCTCAAGCAAGCGACGGGGAGTGTCGCGCACTTGTGTCGATGTGCCACAACGGGTTCCCTCCGAAGTCAAAGTTACCGCTTCACCTGACGAAGTATGCAAGCGTGTTGGACGAACTTTTGGTTTGTGATGGTTTACTCCTGAAAGGCACTCGCATTGTGGTACCAGCAGTGCAACGTGCGACAGCGCTGACTTTGATTCACGAAGGTCACCAAGGCATTAACAGATGCAAGGCTCGGGCCCGGGAATCAGTATGGTGGCCAAGTATCAACGCTGATATAGCAGCACTCGTGGCACAATGTGAACAGTGCACGTCGTACCGAGACAATCCAGCAGAGCCACTTCGGAGCACGCAGCTTCCAAGTCTACCTTGGGACTTTCTGGGCGCTGACTTGTTTCACCTGAACCGACAGACTTACCTCCTCGTGGTCGACTACTATTCCAGTTATCCGGAAGTGGTCTCGCTCAACTCTGCAACAGCTGGGCATGTCATCCAAGTGCTCAAGAGCATTTTCGCTCGTCACGGCATCCCCTCCACTCTGCGTTCAGACAACGGACCACCCTTCCAGTCCCACGAGTTTGCTCGGTTCATGGCATCGTACGGAATCGTACACCAGACAAGCAGCCCCAACTTCCCACAGTCCAATGGGGAGGCAGAGCGCATGGTGCGTACGGTGAAGAACCTGCTACGCAAGGCGCACGATCCGTGCCTGGCTTTGCTCAACTACCGAGATACCCCCGGACTCTCAGGTTTCAGTCCGGCACAATTGTTGATGGGGCGCCGACTCCGCACCAGACTTCCCAAGGAGGGGAGACTGTTGGTACCAAGTAGCAAGCCACAGGAGGAGGTGGCCACCAAGGCCGCGAAGCTCAAACGTCGGCAAGTCACCGACTTTGATCGCCGCCATCGGGCTAGAAGCCTCTCGCCGCTGGAAGACGGTACCCGCGTCTGGGTTCGTCCGGAACGGGTAAAGGCTACTGTCCTCAGTCCAGCGCAACGTCCCAGGTCGTACGTGGTGGAAACAGATGAGGGAGCAATCTGGCAGCGCAACCGGAGAAACTTGGTGCCTTTCAGGACAGGCAGTGAAGACCCAACTGCGAGAGAAGAGGCTCAAGGTCTGGCTCCTTCTCAAGAACCGGCGGCACCTGCAGCGCAGGAACGGGCTTCCCCTCGGCAACCACCTGCACCTGCATCTCAAGGACTGGCTCTTCCTCAAGGACCGGTTCCTCCTCAAGAGTTGGTGGCACCTGCAGCTCAAGGATCGGCTCAACCTCAGCAGCCACCTTCGCCTACGAGCCACAACCTCCGGCGCAACGAACCCGACTTGGATACCTCACCTGTACAAAGAACCAGGTGTGGCCGACGGGTGGTGCGTCCCAGGAAGTTGGACCTTTAGTGTGATTCTGAGGGGGGAGATGTAGAGGGCGCAACCCTCGCGTAGTGATTGCCGCAGGCAACCCTGTGCCACCGCGGGGGCGGCTTCGTGTGTTATTTTCGACGGAATAAAAGTCACTTGTTGTTCTGGCACGAGGGAGTTCGCATGAACCTTCTTCTGGCCCGGCATGGCCTCCACAGTTACGACACGAGCCCATAACTTCCCGGGCAAATTCTTGGTTCCTTAATTGTGGCTCGCTAGCTACTTCTGTTATCTTCCAGTCCATCGCACAGACCTTCACCCATGCGTCTCTCCTTCGTGTCGCAGGCGTACGTGATGGGCATCGTCTGGTCCTGCTACAAGTATCTGAGGCTGCGGCAGGACACCAACCTCTCTGACCTGGAGTCGGACTCTGAGGTAGGTTTCCCCTTCCATTTGTTTCTGGATTGTGGCGGAGGCACTCTCTCACGGTGCCTCCTAATGGGCGGCGCCGTAGGACGCTGACAAAAGCTTGCGCATTTTGCTTCCAGGTGTTGTCGTTCAACCAGGTAGGGACGTCTTCTGTATCTATTTGAGGCTGGGTAACACGCGTCGTCTGCACTCGCAACGACAGCCTCGATGCATTGGAGTGCCCGTGTTCTTCTTCATCTGCGATTGGTTGGTTGCGAGCGACACTGCCGACTTGTTTACTTCTTGAGCTGGTTGCTGCACGGTGCATGGCGCAAGGTTTGCGTCGTTGCTTCAGTTGCTGCGAGTGCAATCGACATAAATGCCTGAACCAGCCTTTACTCGTACCGTGGATTCATTCTTTTATGTCTCTTAGTGCAATAAAGTTATTAGTGTTGAGCAGTTTGCGAGAGCTGTAGTGTAGCAACCTGCTTCTCCCCTCGCAAGTTTCAGCTATCGGACTATCTTTCTAGGGTTCTTACGTGACCAGACTGATACGTGCTTTGCGTATGCTTAACCCTTTTCGTACCATGCCCGTCAAAATCGATCGGCTAGGATCAAAGATTTGTGAGCCCCGTTGCAAAGTCTGCAATGCACCTCTGGACAAGTTTCTGCATCTGATGGTTAGATTAAACACTCTAGTTTCAGTTTCGGTACAATTCCTTTTTTTTTTTTTTTTCCTTACGAGGCAGCGATTTATTGTAATTAAACACGCAGCCGAGGAAGAATGCTTAACGCTACAAACTTCACGCTGGAGGCACCAGATCTCCCGAGACGCACCGTGTCCATGTTTTCCTTCACGGCCAAGGCTACAGGAGGTTGGTGTGGTTGCGAGTTTCGCCACTTGGCGGCGTCGACCCATTACAACCTAGCTGTCGGAGATCCTTGCTCCCCGCAGGAGTAGAAAAGGGCGCGGGAGGGAAGGGAAATCTGTTTCAATCGAACGTGACAAGGCTCGCTCTTTCGTGCACCCACGCAGCTTGCCGCTATATTTTTGTAGAGAGACCCTGCTTTTATGGGGACTGCGACGTAACAACGCTTGCCTCATTCGTTTTAAATAATGGTTCGGTGCCTTTTCGAGCAAAAGATTGAGGTCTCTGTGTCATATCCAGAAGGGGGTTGACAATAAAAGAGGTGCTAGAATTTTGTTACAGTACTTCTTTACGGGCTGGACAGTTGCTGGTACCTCCAAAAAAAAAAAAACTCCCCACCCCTCCCGGCTGGGCCGATTTTTTTACGTGAAATAGAATGTATGAGCAAGCGATGAAAGCAATGTTTTATCTTTGATGACCTATTTTTTTTTTTTCCTTTTTGTTTGGGCTACTTCTGTTTTCATTTGCTTCTTCGTTGTTACAGACTGGCGAATCTCTGTCGTTCAACCTCGCGCTTCACGGTGAACGCCGAGATTTAGAAGTTACTGATGAACTCTGTATTTGATGGCTGCGACAGCAAGAAAGTCTCAGTCCCGACTAAACAAAAGTTGAGTAAGGCCACTCAAAAGAGTGACTTCAGAGTGTGAGCTTAAAGTGCCACAGCATAGTACAGTGTCTCGAAATAAGTAATAGGTTACCTTTTTGCCGATAAAATAGTAAATAAGTACTCTTTACAGAGCTTGCCACTGTAATTGAAACCAAAATTTGCTTTCAAAATGAGGGAAAGAGAAAAACCAGCATTATAAGGGCTAAGGAGCGATCGTTGAAATTTGTTTAGAAGGCATTAAACGGTCACTTTGGGGCAAGGAGGTTATATAAAAGGCAGGAGGCGTCATCCATATTATCCATATATGAAGCAAATTGTAACAGAAGTAGGCGCGGCCACGAAACATTCCCTCAGCCTCTCGGCCAAAAGGAAACGTAGCTAATGGGCGCCAGCATGTAAATATAGGGCAATTGCATTGCTGTGGCAATGCAATTCTTTTTTTTTCTATTTACGTGGCTACGTCCACTGAATCGGTGTCAAACGGGTAAGATTTGGAGCCCAACACTTGCTTGGCCAGTAGGAAGTCGTTGTGTGACAGACACTCTCGACACCGCACCGGGATAGTCGTCTGGAGCGAGTCGTCGTAGCGCGACAAAAATGTGGGATGAGGCTGAATCTAGATGTGAATGTAGATACCAGCATGGCACATTGTCTGGGAAATATGCCACTTTCGCCTTTACATCGATGCCAACGAAACTTTCTTTCCCTCGGCGATGCGGGAGTGACTGAGCGTGCCACCTTTGCAGGCCCTGTTGCCCCCGGACTACGAGACGGCGATGAAGATGCCCCCGTTCCTGCCCGTCTACCCGTCCCCGCCGTACGCGCCTGGCCCCCAATCCACCTGAGCTACCCGACGTGTTTGTTTTTGCGCGAGCTGGCAGTTGCAGCCTCTGTGAAAGTTCTTTCATTTCTCTCCACCCACTCGCCGTTTTGCCCAGTTTCTTTCCACTCACACGCACGTGCAAAATCCTCCGTCACGATTTGCCGGCTCCAACTCCCATACCTGGCTCTTGTCGAGGCTGCAGTTTGGAGGGCAGATTTTACGGTTAAATCTTTTTGGGAGTACGCAAATATAGCCACTCGGATTGAACAGTGACGTTTCATTTTCTTACCAACGGTGCTGTGTCATTTTCTTGCCGCGTTTTGTCCCTGTAAAAGCATTGGGGACTGGGTTATGGGCGTTGACAGCTTTACGACGACAAGGATGGTGTCGTTTAGTGATGTTCTGGCGTCATGTAAGCTCTGGCGTCATCGAAGCGTCGATGAGCACGGCCAGTCAAATGGATGCAGGAGGAAAGGGATTAGTGCTCGAAGGATAGCCCAAAGCTCATTCCTGGAGTCTTTATTCCTCGAGGACTCCATTTCCTTGCCGTGTAAAACAAAGCCAGGAAAATGCGCTGGAGTGTGTTTTCACAGCGTTGCCTTCCTCTGGACTAGCCCAGTCCTCAATGCGTTGAAAATATTCTTATATTGTGCATCTGAATTCTTTTATTCAGAAGTCATTGGCTTTCTTTTAGTTATGCTTTCAAGATGGTGCACCATCTCCCTTTGTGCTGTGGAGATTAAGAAGGATATGGCACTATCTGATTAGAAGTTGTTTTTCGCACCTAAGGACATTTTTCTTCGTTGTTAAAAGCCTGTACAGACGTGTTGTAGACTTATTTGTAGCGGTCGAGTTGCAAATCGGTACCGACGCTCTATGAATTTTGTTTTCGACGGTGGTAAGGCAAGCGCTGTTCCAAACCCTGCGGCACAACTGTGTCACACCCTGGCATTCGTCGAAAAGACCTACCACCGATTTCCGGTGATGCGAACGAGTAAAATTGACCAACCACCCCTGCTCTCCCACCTAATAAAAAAAAAAAATTCTCGGTGATTTGGCACGTTTTCACCACAGCTCGCCGACACTTCCGTTCGTGCGAGCTACCAGTTCTCAGTACCAAAGCATCGCAGGGTTGCACTTGCTTCCGGAAAGAGCTGGCAATCAATTTTGCTTCCTTTCATTGTTTGCCACACCAGTTGCCACTTGTAAGCGAAAAAGAAAACCGCCAAGCGTTTGGCTTCGTACCACAACTCCTGCATTTTGTACCACCTTCCTTACTAATGTTGGATGTGTCAACAGAGATAAGTTTTTGCCTTTGTGGGGGCCATTCTTAAGTGACCAACTTTCACGTGCGTAATGGTCGGTCCTTTATTACCGAAGATGTTGCGGGCTTGACGACGCCAGCGTCTGTGTTTTCGAGTCTCGTCGCTCGTTCTAGCTCATAGGTCTTGTGCAAGTACAACCCATTCCAGTGTCTTAGGTTCGTACCCCTCCGCTTGCACCACAAAGGATGTTACGTGCGTCAGGTTATTGCCCCATTGCAAACCCAGAACGCATTCGGTCCAATGTGTAGAGAAGTATGGCCGTGTAGACCTGCTCTATAAGTGGATACGGTGGTCGGAGTCATCTCTGGGTTCAAAAATATAACGTTGAAGGCACTAGACTAGCAACAGCATCGATACGACGCTCGTTTCAATAATTGGCTCTACTTCGAATCACAGTAATCGTCCGTGGAAAGTTGGGGGGGGGGGGGGTTTCACTTCATTTGAATGCGTAAACGGATTTTGGAGCATTAGCCTCCCGACGTGCAAGTGATTGTGGCAATAGATTTTGTTCCTAGTCAACTTTTTGGCGTAGTGGTTTTTAGATTGTTCCTTTCGTGAGGGAACGCAAACAATGTGCGGGGGTAGTATAGATAGATGGTTTGTCTTTAGCAGGTTTTTTGTTTCTATAAGGGCCACGCTTTGCACAAAGAAATTGCCTGGTGCCTGAAGGGCCCTCGAGTCGTGTACATACTATTTTTTTAAAGGATCAACGCAACCTTTATTGCTTGCGGGCACCCGATGCACGCCCTGACGAGTTTATGTTCTGCGTTGCGTCAACAGTGTCGCAATTTGTTTTCAATTAAATAAAGTGGAAGCAAACGACTGGTTTTATGTGGCTCTCTTTACCAACATGAAACGGAACAAGATGCGAGAGTCTCTTGTGCTTTAACAAAACAATGCAGTAATATTAAATTTCTTCCAAAACATGCTAGAGGATGGATGCCAGCACTGTAGCTGTGTCCAAGCTCGCACCCGTCGACTGCAGGCAAAGCCAAAGCGATGGGAGTCCGTCGTCCAAACTCGCGCGTCCGAGCGAGTCTGCACTCGCGACGGGAACGTCGTGGAGCACCAAGAACGGGAAGACCTCCGCCGGAACCCAGTCCCCTCTCAGATAGTTCCACACCTCCACACGCTGCTCCTCTTCGGGGTGTGCATCTTGCACGGCCCGCGAAATGCTGTCTTGCAGAGACAGCACGAAGTCCGTGTGCACGAGCGACTGCTCGCGTCGCTCGCCCCGACACGCGTGATATGACGCCACCAGTTTTGTCTGCCAGAGTGGAAGCGTCGACGTCGAGAAGTCGTGCCTCCCCGACTGGAAGAGGTCGAACAGCGTTGAGAGCGCATCCGCCTTCTCGCGGAGCGCGCACTCCATGAGGATCTTGCAGAAGGCACGCTGCTGCCCCAGCTCAGAGTCCCCCGATGCGCGGAGGTGGAGGAAGCACTCGGTAAACTTGGCGATGACCGTGTTCTCCGAGAAGCAGGCGGAGACTCTGGTCCGCACGGACCACCCGCGCAGCAGCTCCTTGATGGCGCACTGTTCGAAGGCAGTCTTGTAGCCTCGCGGATCGGTTGCGTATGGCAGGCAACCGGCCTTCTGCTTGACGTGCAGCCTGGCCCTTGGAGACGTGAGCAAACCTCGCAACCGTTCCCAGTTCTTGCCGCGCTCGAAGGCAACGGGCCAATAGCGTGCGTCGTTCAACGCCACCTTGTCCAGCAATGCGAGTTCGGGCAGATGGCACGGTGCTCTTGCGGCATACTCGCAAGGAGGATACGCCCGCGTTCCCCGGAAGGAGAGCTGAAGATGCGTGTAGACCGCGTTCTTGCTGGCAATGTCCGTGGGCAGCAGGAGCCGGGGCTCTACGGCAAGCACGTAGAGGTGCCTGAAGGCCTGTAGGTGGTACCGGTTGTCGCTGCTGTGGATAGGTAGACGGGGGAACAGGGCACAGACGAGGCAGGCCACCGCCAGTGGACTGGTGCCCAGTGTCAGCCCTCCGCCCCCACCCAGGAACAGCAGTCCCATGGCCATGTGGGTGGCTAGGTGGGAGCCGTAAAGGATGTGGCCGGATGCCTGTCCCGACCGAAGCCGCAGGTGACGGCAGAGTCGCAGCACCTCCAGGTCTCCCGTCCCAGCCATGACGAGGGACAGCCCGAGCAGGCTCGTGAGGAGGCAGTTGTCAAGGGTGTTGCGCCCCGCCTGCTCGGCCGAGGGCCGCCTTTGCAGGTCGAGGAAGAGCCGGGCGTAGTGCAGGAGGGTGTCGAACGCCTGGTTGTTGGCCGAGCCCGCAAACTTTAGCCCTAGGCAGAGGCAGGCTCCGGCCAGGATGTTGCAGTACGCCTGGCTCATTGTCTCATGGTCTATGTCCGTGGACCCGCCGTCCCCGAAGGCTTGCGCGGACACCACCTTTGGCACGTGCGACTCCACCCAGTCCCTGGTGGGACGAACGTCGGACCAAAGCACCAGACCGGCGCCGAGTGTCCGCAAGAGCAGGAAGTCCGGTCGCACCATGTCCAAAAGGTACTGGGTCTCTGGAGCGGACATCCACTTGGCCACCGCAACCTTGCCGCTGTCGAAGAACATCAACCCTAGGGCAAGAGTCGCCGCAGGGCTGGTCACGTCCACGTTCACCGCGTTGCCTTCTCGGATCTGGTAGCTGGGCGAGCGGAACCGTTCCCTCTGGGAGGCGCTGCCAACGGCCCTGACGTGTCCTCCGACCATGAAATGGTAGAGCTGATCCGCCATGTGAAGGTCCGGCAGCCCCACGGTTGATCCTCCCTTCCCCAGCATTACCAGTCCGAGCGCGAGTCCCGCTGCCAGCGCATAGCTTTCACGGTCTACGCAGTGGTCCATTTCGGGCCCTGGCGGTCTGCCAATCTCTCCCAGCAACGTCTCTGCCATGTGCCGGTGACCCGATTCGGCATAGAGCAGCCCCAATCCCATGACGGAGGCGACGCGTACGAGAGGATGGACGTCCAGTTCTGTCGATGTGGGAGGCAGCAAGGCGTCCACATGGATGCTCATGAGCTTCGTGCACTCCAGGTTCATTGTGCCACAATTGGATGCAGCCAAGCCAAGCAGCAGACCCACGCTGGTCAGTTCGTGGTTCCTGAGCAAGTAGTCGTGGAGGGCTGTGGTACTCAGTTTCGACAGGTGGCCGTTTAGACCCAGTCCCAGAAGGAAGCCCGCATGTTCCAAAGTGGCGTCCGTTGCTGCGGTGCCTCGTGGTCGGTTGTACACGATCCAACTCGAATCCACCTCTTCCGCGCCGGGACAGACGCGGAGGCCCGCTGCCACCCCATTGTGGAACAACGGCCAGACGTTCATGTTGGGCGGCACCTCGATGTGCGACATGTCTACCATGGTATTCTGCGGCGGCACCCTTCCCGTGAGGCACAGCTTCGGGATGGGCAGCGGATCCGTAAGCACCGGTCGGCAAGTGCGGAGTGTCAGCATGCCCCTCCCCACGGGGAGGGCCATGGTTCGAATGCTGAGGCCGTACAGATGGCGCTCCTGGTCTTCCATGAACTCGTGGTCGCTCACCTCGGGTCTTTGCTGGATGGTGATACTGACAGGACAGGACGACTGCAGCATCTTGCACACCTGGAGCACTCTTTGGTCCTTGCTAAACCTTAGCTTGAGCATTTCTTGGTCAAGCTGACCAAAGCCGTTGTCTTTTTCCTTGCAGCTGGAGCCTTGCTTGCAGCCCTCTTGAGGCACGGATGCGGCCAAGAAGACTTTGTCTTTGTTGGACTTTGGACAGCACAGTGTGGCCAGGTCCTCCCTTCCAATGAGGCTGTATGCGGCTGCGGTCCACTCGAGAGGAGGGCGATCTTGACACTGCACCATGGCGTCCTGTATCGGGGCCACAACTCCCGACGGCCACCTGCCAAGGTGCTGAGGGGTGACACCCAGTTGCACGAGGAGGCACACTAATCTCTCGGCGACACTAGCCGCTTCTGGAACTAAGAGACCTGGGTCACCAGAGCTCTTTGTCCCCAAAATGTCATTCAAGAACTGGCTCAACAAAAGTTCCTTGTTTGGCGGAGAAGTCAGCACGGCGTACAGGGGCACAACTACTCTAAGGCACGTCGTCACTTTGGGGATGTAAGGAAATGGTCTGCGCGTATCACCAGAATGCTGCAGCCTCTCCTGGATCCACGCGAAGATGCTGGGCGGACACTGGGGAAACTGGGACGGAATGGGTAGACCCTGAGTGGAACAGACGAGAAGGCTGACTGGCAGAGTTCCTAACTGCGCGGGAAAGTCCCTCCGGTAGAGATCCTGGTAGGCCCTGAGCGACAGCTGCGTAGACAACTTGAAGAGAAACTCCGCAAGCTGGGGCAGCAGGGGCCAGTTGAGTACATTAAGCTTGGCATCTTCGTACACCAGGTGCAGAGTGTGCAGCACTGTGTAAACGTGTTGAAACAAGGGGGCCGCACTGTTCCCCTCGCAGCTCATAGCAACGTTGCTGGACTTGGCTGTGCGAGGCCCTGGCTTGGGTAACCCCACGGCAGCCCGCTTCACAGAACCGCCTCCACGGTCCAGCAGGTAGCGCCAGTCGTCGTCGGAGCCAGTCTCGCTCGACTTGGACTTCTTGACGGCCATTGGGTGATGGGTGTCGGAGCTCCCAGATTTGCACGCCACACCACTGGTTGGGTACCCCACCATTCCCAAAATGAAGCCGAGGAAGGAGTGGAGCTCTGAGGATGCCGTCAGGTCCGTGGGTCCCGGTGCATTCCGAGACATGTACCACTTGGCAAGCAAGCAGACTGCCAGTTCCATGGACAACACCTTGCAGAGTGCTCCAAGGCAGTTCTCGATGAGGCGACTTCTGGACATGGCCGGTAAACGCAGCCTGTGGTGCTCTCCAGAGGGATACTCTAGAGTCACGCGGTTCCTTACAGCGTCTCGAAGAGCGACGCGAGGCGATGCCAAGATGCTCTCTTCGGGACACTGTAGAGTGCCCCTGACCGGTGAAACTGAGATGTCTGGCAAGGAGGCATCAAAAGACAGGTGAAGGGGGTTGAGGCTGCTCCTCCGAGGTGCCTGGCCACCATCGGGCTCGGGCTTGAGCGCAAAGGGGGGAGAAGACACGTGCACCTTGCAGACCCTGCTCGCACCTGCGTAGAGCGAGAGCCCTCCATTGAGGTCGAGGGTGATCAACATGCCTAAGGACGTCAGGGGCTCTGCGTCCAGGGCGGCTACGGTAGCGGCCTCGCCAAAGACCAGTCTTCCGGCTGGACCGTTCTGGCTGTACGGAATCAGCTTGAGGAGCTTGCGGGATGGGAGATTGTAGCAGAGGAAGCTTTGGCCGACCATGCTGTTTGCCCAGAATGCCTTGGATGCCTTCTCCCCACTCCGCTGGGGTTCGAACCACAGCTGGTCCAGGCAGACGTCTGGCAGCAGGGGCTGGCTGGGTGCCTGCAGCTCGTCCTGGGTCGCCGCGGTCGCCGGCGATCCGGCGGTGCTGTAGGTGCCCTGCTCCACGCAGAAGGCGAGCGACGGCGACTGGGACCGGCTCAGCGTGGCCATGTGGCCCAGGGACGGGCTTTGCGACCGGGGGCTTGCTGGACGACTCGAAGCAGACCAGTGGCCCGGCACCGGAGTACTGTGGGTCACCATGGGGCTGGCGGGGCTCTGCGTGGGCGTCCGGAACGACGTGAAGGCGCTGCTGTACTGCGTCTGGTTACAGGCGAACTGGTCCTCTTCGGCCGTCGTCCGGCGCACCTCCCAGACGCTATGCGTCCCCTTGTCGCGGTGATAGAGGAGCACGACGGACGGCTCCTCGCAGGTCATCACGACCTGGACGCTGGCGGTACTCTGTAGGTACGAGAGCCTCGGGATGTGGCCGTGCACCGTGACCCGGGTCACGACGGGAGTCACTTCGTCCAGCGGGTGGAGCAGGCTGAAGAGGACCGACAGGGCGGTCGAGGTCTTGGAGCCGCCGGGAACGCTGCGCTCAAGCAGGAGGCCCTGCCTGATGGGCCAGGCTCGGGAGACCACGAACGGCACGGGCGTCGTGTAGTCTTCGCCCGAGCGCGAGAAGGAGTGGATGGCGCCCGACACCGCGTCCAAGACGCAGACGCAGGGCACTCGCTGCTCCGTCGGCGGCCGCTCCGGCCTGGCCAGCAGCCGCGCCTTGTAGTCGTCGGCGGTGAAGTTGCACCAGAGAGCGTCCTGGATCTTGGATTCGACACAAAAAGAGCGTATCGCCGTGCGTACCCCGGTCCCGCTCGACTCGCTCCAGACGGCAGTGTCGCCGGACACGTACAGCTCTTCCTCGCCATCGGAGCCGGGGCTCTCTCGGAGCTTCCAGAAGTCGTCACGGCGGCTCTTGCGGTTTACCCGTAGGGAGACGCCCCGGAGCGCCTCGAGGAGCTCGGCGTTGTTGGAAGAGTTGGATTCGCTTCCCTTGGTGGCGGCCCGGAGTCGGACGCTGCCCGGGTGGTGGGACAGGTACTCCGAGCCGAACGGAGTGAACTCCTGGGGTTCCCCGGTTGCTATCATCGCCGCTGGATCATCCAGATTTGCGAGTGGGCACTGCGGTGCGGCTCGAGAGAGGACTTGTTGATACGCGGGGTCTTGTTTGAGCGAGCCGCCATGCGTAAAAATTCGTAGCCTGCTCGAAGCTAGTGTTGGCTCTGGTTGGCTCCAACGATTGACTTCGAAGGCAACTCGGGCAACTTTTCATTCTAGAAATTATACCAGTTGTACAGCGAGGATAACTTGCAGATGTAGTTCACGATGAGATTTAATGGTGGTTTTAGTTTTTCTTGTAGTTAACTGTACTTAATTCCACTTTGTATTTTTCTTATTTGTTGTTGTACCAGAGCCCCAGAGCTTTGCTTGAGTTGCAAGACACAAGACAAGACCAGTATGATTTGCTGAAGTTCCGATGGCCGTGTGCGTGTCGGTTGATTTCGTGATTGTTTTCGTGTCCACGGTGTCCCTGCAACAATGAGCGCTGGCCTGACACCGAGCAAAAGCACCGTGTACGTGAGCAATCTCCCGTACAAGCTGACGAATAACGACCTGCACCAGCTGTTCGAGAAGTACGGCAAAGTCGCGAAGTACGTGAGCCCATCTCTCTTTCTGTTTGGCTCCGATGCTGTTTTCGACGGCGTCATTTCGCGCGCTTCGCAGGGTGACCGTGATGAAGGACAAGCAGACCTGGAAGAGCAAAGGGGTGGCCTTCGTGCTGTTCGTGGACGGCGACTCGGCGGCCCGCTGCGTGGCCGCGCTCGACCAGCAGCAGCTCATGGGACGGACCCTGCGCGCCAGCATCGCCAAGTACAACGGCAGGGCGCCCGAGTTCATCCGCCGCAAGGAGTACAAGGACAAGTCCATGTGCTACGAGTGCGGCGTAAGTGCCCGAACCCCGCCTCGACGCCTGTCCGGTGTATCCGGACGAGTGTTGCGCCGAAACTCCCGCCCAGAAACCCGACGCGTGGACCTCTCTACTGTCCTTCTTTCTCCCGCGGTGCTTTTACATTAAGCATTTCCCATAGTGCGTATAGCGTGACTTTCTAAAGGAGACGTCTGGCAATCGTCCCTATTCAAGCGGCCGAGAGTAGCCCCACACTTCGTGCCTCAGTGTCACCATCGCCACGGTATTATACGAATACATGTGTTGAACTGACGTCATATGGCATACTTTTGACCACCGTGTAAAAGAAGGAGAGGGAAGCTGCTTTTGTAAGAATTTGAGTGACCGGTTAATCTTCTATACACTCCGTGCGACGCCACCGGCGCGCCACTGCACGGCCGTTACCGAAGGTAGGCAGTGAGAGCCCTTGCGAAACGAAACCATGCCGCATACATTGGTACGCATTGAAGTCGGAGCGGTGCGGTTGCGCTGGGTTGACAGGATGAACTGCTGCGTCGTTAAGTTCTCCAATAGTTATGCGTCGTATCTCGTGGAGATGAAGTTTCACAGTTTTTCACCTTGCCAACGTTTTATGGGACAGTGACAACGATGGACCTGTGCCGCACGACACGAGAAATTTGGTCCCTTGATCATGTCTGCCACTGTGTCGGCACAGCTGACATATTCTACACTGCCACTTTGCGCTCTGCGTTTGTTTTCGTACCAGTAACGCCTACATGTCTCAGCTCGAACTGAAATCCCATCCCACACTCGCGGGTAGGCAGTGCGAATTTCGTTGAAGGAATGCCCTTGAAAGAAGTTTCTTCCCATCGTACGTGTCGATGATATTTCCGGACCCGTATGACACGCAGTCTATACTTCATGAAGAAAGATTCGGACGGTACAAAAAGTGACAAATATGAATCTAAGGAAAACTACAATGAAACTTGGAATCACTGGACAATCGATGTTTGAGTATGGAAGTTTATGTGGTGTGCTTTCTTTTTTGATCAGCCTCCTTTTGGATGTGGAAACGCTGACACCTCGAGTCTTGTAGAAAACAATTATTTTTTTTCTCGACTTTAGAGCCACCTATCGCAAAGTTGTTCGAACTGGAAGTACCGTCCACTGGTCCCTTCCTACCCACGGCTTAAAGTTTGGGGGGTCTCGACCCCTCCCCAGTGATTTTAAAGGATTGGCTGAGACCCTCCTCCACAGCCCCAGAATTAGTGAAATCAAAATCATATCTTGCAATAAGATAGCTTGTTTTCAGGGATGTGACATTTGAGGTTGAGGGTTGCAGGTACAGCGTGGACAGAGTCAGTAGTGGGGTTTATTTTATGTGCATCTATTATATCTCATCAAAACTCCCCCCTCCCCCCTACCTTCTTGTAGGGACCCCCTCAAGTTACGGTGTCTTTAAGCACTGTTTGTACCTGTAAAGTGTGCACCTCCCGGCCACGATGAGTGGTATTCTCTTGACAGCCTTTGATGGTCAAAACCGGTTCCCATTTAGTTACGCCGCCCAAAAATATTTCCACCTGGTTAAACTATGCCACCTCTTTTAGGTATAATAAGTGTTTTGTCAAGTTACGGTCATGTCAAAGTACCAGTGTGCCAAAAATCAGCACCTCGCACAACCAGATTACTACACAACAGCTGACCGCAAAAGCCTTTGACGGCCAAACCGTGTGTTGGCCGGCAACTTGGTTTTCTCGGCTTTGAAGCCACCTTTCATAAAGTTGTTTTAATTGGAAGTACAGTGCACTAGTCCCTTCCTACCTGTAAAGTCTCCATCTCCCACGACGAGTGGTATTCTCTTGACAGCCCTTTCACGGTCAAAACCGTTTCCCATTCAATCATGCCGTCCAAACCAAATTTCCACCTGGTTCCTCTATGCCACCTATTTTTAGTGTTATAACTGTTGTGTCAAGTTACGGTCATGTCTAAGAACCTGTGTGTCCAAATCTGCACTTCGCACAGCCCGGTTATAACACAACTTTTTGGGTACAATATTGGATATTTCTGACAGCTTTATTCCTTTATTCGTTCGAACCATAACTTTCACACCTGCTGTCTTAATAAAACTTGGCCCACTTAGTGCACAAACTTAGTGAACATCTCACTCGCCTCCAAATATCGTCCCAGCAGTCCTACGTTTACAGTGACGAGCGAAACAAATTTTTCACTGAGAGCAATTATGGTGGCAGCTGTCTTGTTTTTCGGAAAATTGCTCAAACCCTTTTTTCGACTGCAACTAAAGAAATTGCTCCTAATAACGACTTAAACTCAATATATGAGAAGCGGAGAACAGCTAGATGCCCTTCTTAAATCTGCCCCAGCGCTCATGCAACGTCACCCTCAACTTATCGGCTCAAAAAGCAAAAGTTCCGTCCGTGCACGCTTCCGCCGCCACAACTTCGCACGCGAAAAGGCGCCGCAAGCTGCTGAGCACGCCTCACTGTCGAACCCCAGCTCCTCCGCTAGCGGCGCTATGCGCGTTTTTCAAAGCGCCCCCTATAGTTCCCGCAAGGAGCGTATAATCTTCTGGGAGGAGAATAGCGATGTCTGTGCAAATCCGGGAGGCACAAAAGAGGATCCTGGTAAGAGGGGAGCTCCTTCCCCTCCTCTGGTGGTCATCGGAGCGCTCTTTGAATGACGTTACGTGCAGCCCATGTATACTGGCAGCAGCGCCTGAGTGGCACTTCCCGATTCCGAGCTATTCTCGCCCTTCTGCTCTTGCCCGCACGTTGTTGCCCACTCGAGCTACGATGGTGACACAACCAACGTTTCCTGCTTTCTTCAATGCCATCATCGTCATCATCCCGCTCAGATGCTCATTACAACGCCTAGATATTAAGTCTGCGTTGTGGGATGTTTTACGTGGTCTATCGGAGGTTACCATGGTGCGCAGATGGGACGCGAACATTGCATTCAGCTGGTGTGCGTGCCAGTGCAAGGTGGCCCCGCAGCCTGCACATACCATAGATTTTGCTCCGTTCTGTAGGCTTGAGCCGTGGGACTGCTCTTGACCGCACGATCGTCGTGCCTCCCCTTCTAGCCCACCGCACTATGAACGACGCAGTATAAGCATCGTCGTAACATCTTTCTCTGCGGTAGTGATGATAATGCCTGTGCAGTGGGGCATGGTTTTTTTTATTTTATTATTTCGTTATGCGAAACTGGTTGATCAGAGTTTACTGTGCTGTCGAGCAGTAGTAGGAACGTTTTCTTGCTCGTAACCAAATATCTTATCCTAAATTTTCGTTACTTAAGCTGGAATGGGTGGATGGATGAGTGGACAGATGGATAGATGCTAATGGCTGTACCCTTTATAACTGGGAGGTAGCTTGTGCCACCCAGCCTAGAAACCAAAAGTGTTATTCCTCCCCTCACCCTTCTAAGACAGTTTTCTTCCCCTCCGCATTTTTGTGACTACCTCCAGGTGGTGTGGGATGTCGCCATGATAACCATTGGTGGATCGGGCAAAAAAACTGAAAACATCACCCCCCGCCTTTTCTCCCCGGCGAGGGAGTCGCCAATTTTCATTTCGTGAAACCTAGCTGGTTGATACTTTGAGCCGGAGCCACGCGGGAGGGAGTCCCAATTTTACCCTGTTCCACCTGTGTCCAGCACATTGCTCTTAACTTAGAAAGAAAGTCGTGAAATTTAGCATGTTTTTGATCGTCCTAACAACAATTCTATATTTTTGGTGCCTTAACAACTTTTGGAAGACATCTTTTTTTTTTAACATTTAGGTAAATTGTTGTTACTAAAGCTACGTAGATGGGTAGTTGCTAAAAAGACTCATAAGCATGTAATCCTTCTCTTCAGAAAAAAATAGAAAGGAAAATAGATCAGTGAGATAACTTTCCAGCGGCTTCCAGGAAGCAGCTCTGGGTGTCACTCCTTTTCATTCATCCTGTTGAGAGCGAGGGTGGTGCGAGGTTGCGTTGGTTGATGCAAAGGCAAAGGCATCTTTAAACCTTTAACCACTTTAGAACCACCTCCTTTTTCAGGGATTATCGAGCAGGTGTTTGGAAAATCCTTTGTGACCGTCACAATAAAGAAACTGCGAGTTTTCAAAATGGAGCAGCTTTGTACGATAACCCCACTGAGGATGAAGATGCATACAAAAGGGGCACGACGTTAATGTGGTCTTCAACTCTTTTGCTCCCGTACCAGGATCTTCTCGCCAACGCCTTTAGTCGCTCAAGGCGTTGGCGAGCACATTGAAAATGGGACGACCAGCTCCACTGTTCACTTGACTTCTCACCGCGGAAAGTAATTTAAAATATTGTTCCAAATCAAAAAAGCCTTCACACGTCCTATCCGGTCGAAATCAAAAATATAAAGAATTCCGAAAAAAGTCGTCATTATCACTTGGCGACTTTTCACTAAAACTGACAACTTTCAGGCCGCGTCCTGGCGACATCGCCCCAATAAAGTTAACAGCACTGTCCCAGCTGTGCTAGTTAGTTTTACTCTATTAAATTCTTCCTGGATAATTTCCAACAATTTTCTTACCTCCTCTTTGTGACTGTAACCTTTTCCTCTCCCGTTCTTCCATCCCCATCATTGAAACCCAGTCTGTGGCCATACCTACGTGTGTTGCCACCTCGGCCTTCCATTTGCTAGAAATCGGAAGCGTCTACACTTTAGAAGCACCATCACGTGGCTCCTCATAACCTGGCATCCCCAGTGTACTCCAGAGGCAGTGCTCCGTTTCTGCTCCCAGGAAGCCGGACATCTGAGCTACCGCTGCCCCCGCAACTCCTTCGGCGACCGGGAGCGGGAGACGGCCCAGAAGAAGAAACGGAAAGCTCAGAAGATGGAACAGAAAGCCAAGCTCTTGCGGTGAGCAGAGTTGCAGTGTTCCTAACCACGGCCTTGGCTTTATCCCTATTTCTTCAGCTTTCATTACTGGCCTTAAAAATGCTTTGTCGAAAAAATAAAAATAATCAAAATGTAACAATGGCTGCACCAACACTGCATTACTTGGTGCTGTTGATTACGCCACATGCATGTTTAAGGAATGTTTTGACAGAATTTCTATGTCCGCATATTTGTCTTGTGGCCTTCCTAGAGCCGATACTGAGAGCTGCATTTCTTTTTCAATAATAAAAGCGACACGGAGCTGCCCTTTTAGAGTACCCAAGAGTGGCACGCGAAATTCTGGAAGCGATCAGTGAGCGGTCCCAGTAACTTGGGCGGCACCTACTACACAAGCATTATTGTGAGGGCTCTCAATTTAGATTCCTGTTACACGCGGACGCTCCAGACTGTACTTGGGGATTCCTGGAACTCTCAAATTTTCTCAATGTCGGGACCACATGAGGATGCAACACTTCCGAGCTCGTTCGTTGGTGGGATCAATAAAGTTTGAGGATTGTGCGCATAAAACTATCGCAGTTTCTGCGCCAGTCCTTTCATTCCTGTTGATGTCCCAACTCGTGTCGGCATCCTTCCTCTGCCTCGTTACAGCGGAGAAGACGACGAGGATGCAGCCAGCACGGACAGTGACCAAGGTGAAGATCCGTCGTTGGAGACGCTTGGTGCTGCCATAAAATACGAGGTAACTAGCGGGACGATTGAGATTACATTCAAAGTGTTCCACGGGAAGAAATTGAACCTTCCTGGATGCTCGAATATCGGACGCCGTAGGTACGTTGAGCTTGCTCACGGTGGTGCCGGCAATTGCAGTGCCACGTGCGAGGTTATTTAAAACAATCAGTTTCTATGAAGGAGCGGTGCATTGATGTTGTACGTCTTTGTAGAGACAAGCCTTTATTCAAATTAAAGGTAACGAAGCCCCTTTTTGCCCTGACCGTTTCGATGTGGACGAGTACCGGCTTGTGGTCGTTAGTGAGTGAGAAATTTGTCAGCCCCTCGATGCTGACTTGCTTCCCGCAGTTGAAATTCGGCGCCAGTCCATGTCGTTTGTGTTTTCTACTTATCCTCATGTCTCTTGCACTTTTTAATCTTTCACCATTATGAACCAACTAGCCCAAACAAAGGTTTTAATTTTTACATTCTTGTTCGCGACACTCTGTCTAAGGTCCGCACACCCAAAGTACCAGTGTGTCTGGTGTGTGTGGGACGCGAGCAGACGAGGCTCGGTTTCGCAACCCTGGGTTTTCAGTTTTATTTCTGGGTCAATTCAAAGAGTGTTTTTAATGTTCATTTTTCGAACTTTGAAGTTTGAAACCAGTTTCGGAGAGGGATACAGGAAGTATGGTACTAAGAAGCAATTGCCTGCATTCTCTTTTTCTGCCACACTTGAAATGCCAGCATCAAAACTACTAGTAGTCTGGTGGTATGTGCTGATTTAAGCCACTGGCTATGCTCATAAATTTAGGTGTTTGTCAACACACCCTGTTTGAGTAAAAACGTTACGTCGTGCACTCTGCAGCGAAGAGTGGAGCTAAGCTTAGCTTTATTTTGGCTTGGAGCATTATCAAGGCTGTGAGCACAAAGTCTCATCCTCCAGGCAGCTTGTGAGGTAAATCCAGCACCCAAAGCCAAGATGATGCTCCCCTGGCTCTGTTGGTTCTGTTGTATGACTCTTTGCATGATGTTTTGCTTTTCTGTTTCTTTTTATTTTTGAGCGTTCGTATTGGGTTCTGTTATACGACTCATTTTTTTACGTCTCTTCCCTATGTCATGCCCAAGAGGGCCTTTTAGGGTGCTTCGATAAACAAAAAAGTAAATGTTAGCATACTAGTGCGCATAGCCTGGCCTTTTTCCTTTGCTCGAGCAGGAAAGAGTGGGAAACGGTGGATAAACAAAAGGTCTATGTCTACATTGTTGCCGCTGGCTTCTGTGGTCATCACTGACCAGGTGGCACAGACCACTACCCAATTTGAAGTTTCAGCTGCACTTATCTTTCCACAAAGCTTGCAAATGGGTGGGTGATATGGTGGGCTAGAAGGGGAGGTTAGGGCTAGAAAGGGGGCTAGGAAAGGGCGGCTGAGAGCAGTCCCACGTTTCATGCCTCACGCGTAACTATCACCATAGTAGCATCTACAAGGTGTCAGCTGCTCATCGATGGACCAGTAAATTCTTCGGAAATTTGTTCTAAACGAAATGGGGCAGGCAAGCGATGTTAAAAAAATATGAGGGGTTGTGTCCAAGTTTACAACTGAACAAATGTTGCCCATTTCTTTTAGAATCTTGTACTCTTTTAGCCCTAGGAGTGCAAGGTGGCACTGCTTCCCGCATAGAGATTATGCTACGCTCTGTAGTCTGGAATCATGAAACCACTCTCACCTGCAGGATCATCACACCCCCCGCCGCTTCTATGCCACCCTAGTCACGTTGCTCGGAGGAGCTATATGCTCGTGTTTTGTTTTTCAGCAACAGAAATACGACCAAGACTTTGCTCGAGAGAGAGAAGCCCGGTCCGGAGCGGGCCCATCTTCGAGGGGGCGGCACCGCATTCGTCGTAGCGCCTACTTCAGCGACGAGGAGGAGGAAGACGACGACCCATCTGCTGCAAACTCCTGAAGGACTCCGTGTACATTGGGAGCCCTCTAGTCGAACGGTGCACTCCGGAACTCTGTTGAGTCGAGCTGGAACGGTTCTTTCCTGCGCCAAAGACATCTGCGGAACTTTGAGAAGGAGCGTTCAGTCCGCGTTCAAATCTGGCGTGAATGCCCGATTGAGAAGGCTTAGCTCGCAGTCCAGAACTAGTTGGACTACAGGACATTAACCGGATTTTATTCGGTTTTCTGTGGTTCCGCCTCGTCTCTGTAATGGTGTATCTGTACGACGAAGTTTCTACCCAAGGAAAGGATTAAACGTCATCGAGTCTTGAGGTCACGTGCTCCACGTCACGGATTTTTGCCAATCTCCTGAGCTCGTGTGGAGCCGAGGAGAATCTGCGACGGGCTTTCAGAATATCCGTTGTCCCGTCGGAGCGACTGAGCCCCTTTCTTTGTCCCCCTGCTTTTGGGCAAAGATTATGATCAACAACTTGAAAGTTTGAGGTGCCTTTTTTTTTCCGTCTTTTGTTTAATGAATTTTTAAAGTTGCCGTCAAACTTGCGTAAAGAAAGACTTCGGCGACTCATCTACGTGAGAGTCTGTTGCGCAAATGCGCGCTTAGATTTTCTGCACTGCCGCCGCCTCGTGTATTTTCCTTCTCACAGCTCTATAACATACTCAGTTTTCTCCGCAGATAAAGATCTCTCGTGCAAATACACCTTAAATCTGCCCTGACAGATAACGTTTTTCCGTGTCGTCGACATTCTTTTAAGCATGCGGTAGCTCTCAAGAGGCAATATTCCTCAGCCTTATGATGGATTGACAGCAGTGTAAATATACTACTGTTCTCCATCAGTGAGTTCGTATATTGGGAAGTGTTTGCTTAGGACGGTGCTGGTCTCCTACTGTAAAGTTTACTTGCTGTAATTAGAGTCTGCCATCGTTTGGGATAGGTGAGGCGGAATTTAGAAGTTCTGTGCCAAGGGCAAGTGCATCTAATCCTTACATGAATGTGCAGGATGGAATATCTTTTATATTCATTTGATCATCCACAGCGTTTCTTGAAGAATGCATAAGCAGTGTGTTGGTCATGGATCATGCATCAATAAATGTTGAGTCACGCTTCATCAATAAACGTTTTATAGTGCATTATTAATAAATTTTGAATCTTGCTTCATCACCAAACGTTGAGTCATTGATAAAATGCATACTTAGTGAGAGCATGCGACGTGGCAGACATTGTTTCTATCGAACTTCTTTCTTTATGTTGAAGAAAACCAGGCACAGGCATAGGATTCCTGAACCTCTAGGGAAATTATGCGGCGATTAGTTTTCGGGGTTTATCGGTACATAAGGAAAACACGGAACCTTAGTTGCGACCCACTTCATTCAAATAGTCGAAACTTTTCTCTGTTCCCTAAAGCGATGCACTTGAACGACGGCGGTTCGACTGTGAACCGGAGAAGTTCGAATTTCCCGCGATGGCGGAGTAATACAAAATTCGCAGTGGCTCGAGCACGTGATCAACGTCGTCGTCGTCTGTCGCTTCTGCCTTCTGCTCGCTCCGCCGCGTACGTACTACGTCAGGCGGCGAGACGTTTACGCCCTTAAATTTTCCTCGTTATCAAAGTCTGAACGTGCTGTCCGCTACTCGTAGCTGGCACCGGTGCCTAACATCGCCGTCAGTTTCCACAGCCTCGCCGAATCGCAGGGCTACGGTGCTAATTTCGGCCCAGGTAAGCCTATTTCGAACCGCTCCTCCGCTTTCGCTGCGGTGATTCACCCATCGACGACGCAGTGCAGTATCGGCGATCACCGTTATCGCTCCACAGAGAGAGTCTCGGGTGAACTGGCTTATTTCTGGGACCGAGTGGTTCAACAGCGGAAGCCGCAAGGGCGTTGCTTGCAATGAGTCGTCGAGACGACAGATACCTCGACAACGGAAATTGCATGGGACGTCAGCTCGCTTTTCATTCGTGTCCCTCTACACGGAAATTTCCCATCGCAGAGGCGAGCTGGCTACGGTCTCCGTGTTGTCAGCTGTAGCGTCGCAACAGCTGTAAGTGTCCCTTCATAACAACAAGGGCCATAACGACGGGTCTGCGTCACCGCCTCCCGAACTGCACATGCCAATCAATCCGATACGCCACGCACGGGAACCTTCTTTGCCCTCTGTTGTTGCTGCTGATTGCTGTCTTTAGATAAACTTGTTGCTTTAATATAACAGGTGGGAAGCGACAGATACGCGCAACCCTTGTTTTGCCCCCAGTGTATGTTGCTGGACATCAGAACCAAATCTGAAATATCAGCTGTGTTTGCTACAATTTTTCTCTCGTGATACAATCCCGAAGCATTATAAAATGACAACCAACAAGTATCGAGTGGCGGTGTTCTAGTACCTGCTGGCTGAACGCGGACCATATATTACGAATTTAAGAGATTAGTTAATTTTAATTAGAAGCTTTGACTGGTAATGCGAGCCACCGCCCGATTAGTACCGTACCCATACATCCGTCCATCCATGGCTTATCCGTATGTGGAAAATGCCAAATTAAGATTTTCGGCGTAAGGCGTCTGCAAATGATTGATTGTGCAGTGGGCATCCTTGCAGTCAGATGACCAAAACAGTGGTGACTCACAAAAAAAAAAAAAAAAAGCATTGAGTCAAATCTTTTTTTCTTTTTCTTTCTTCCTTTCTTTCTTTAATTTGATAAAACTGGTAAGAGGATAAGGTGGGATGCTTCCAAGTCCTCTATAACTGCAGAGCGCTCTACCAACTGTGCTCACCAGGCATTGCCCACCAGTAGAGCAAACAGACACCACCGATGACACTACACTTCGTTCCGCTGAGCTGACAGTGCAGTTGAAGCTGTTGAACCAGTTAACTGCCGGTCTTGCACCATGTGATCATGCTCTTTGTGCATACACGCACGCAGAGAGCGGGATGAGGTGGTAGAAGGACGGCGATCTAGTGGTCCGGTGAGCTCGTGGTTTCCGTTGCCCTCTCAGCTTAGCGTTGAACAGGCCTGGGCAAGATACCTCAGAACTAAATCTTCAATACTTATACTTGAATACAGTTGAAAATGAACAAGTTTTAGAATGCGGGTGCAAAGAACGTTGTTGCAGCCACTGCTCTTGCACCGAGCCCAAACCGCATTTCAGATTGGTATGTGGTGACAACCCCATTTTTACGAGTATGCAGAGCATTTGCGTACGCTAATCTAGAACTTGCTATTGTATTTTAGATACCGATACAGGATCTTCGATAGTGATACCTAATACTGTAGTAAAGTTAATTTAGGCACCGGTAGAAGATACAAATACAGAAAATTGTTTTCGATTCAGATACTCAATATTGTATGTTAGATACTTTTATACATTGGTGAGATCCCATGTCACCTGTATATGAGAATGCAGGATAAGTGATTTTACATTGTTAAACATATTTCTCTGTCAAGTTTTATGGTTTGTACTATATGGCTTGTTTGTTTTTCATCTATGCCCTTCCAGTAAATGAAACAAAAAAAAACAAAGTAATATTTATTCTCACTTCAGCTGTTTTCATTGGGGTAATTGTACCAAAAACACTTGGAGCATGATAACGCATTTAACTGACACTCCCACCATCAACCTGCCAAGTTCATTTTCTTTTTTGAGATAATTATTTTTATATCCACCAGCTGGTAAATATTTGTAACATGAGAAAAAGTTTTTATATCATGATATTTCTCCATTCTCAGCACTATAGTTTCTGGGTTATTAGTGCATCTGCTCTCCTGTAATTATTAGCCAAGCTCTGGTTCTTTAGAGAAATTAATATGTCCTCTTTCCAAAAGTGTATTTTGGTTGCTCTACTTTTCCAGCTATAAAAAAAAACAAAATGGCAGAACAATGTAAATTTTGGTTCACCTTTGTTTTTTTTTGCGGTTAGACCTGAGCTTCTTAACAGCTTGTGAAGTTTTCTTCGAAAGGAAAGGATGGTATGAGTACCTGTTGGCATTGTGCGAATGTCGAAGGATGTGTGGTGTTCTTCGTTATGTGGACAAAGGCAATGACAGCTCTTTTTTTTTATGTTGCTGGGCGTTTCTGGTGACAATAACATCCTACATTGCAACTGTTTTTCAGTATTTCAGTGCTATCTTTGTGTACTCTGTGAACAATGGGTGTTGATCTCTGTACGTATAGTTGGTACATTCTGCCAGATAAATATGGTAAAAAAGAGGAAAGAGCCCTGGAAGTTCGAAAATAGTGCCTCGTTTTTGCGCAAGGTACTCCCGAGGGCTCACATTTTCCTAGTAATACTTTGCATAGTGCAGTTGCTTATGTGTTCCGGTGACATGGAGGCCAGCCCCGGGCCTGATGATATCAAACTTGACCAAATACTCGAGAAGCTAAGCACTGTTATCTCTGACAATGCAAGGCATCAAAAAGAAATTACATAAACTAAACCAACTGATGTCAAGGATCGCGAAATTAGCAAACTGTGTCGAGGCTAGAAGGCGCGGTAGGCTAGATCACAGCAGTAAAAAATCAAGTTAAGCGCACAAACGAAGAGGTTTCAGGAATAAAAGAAAAGATCCTGCAAGTATCTTTAAAACAGCGAGGATCGGATAGCTTGTACAGTGCTGCAGATTCTCTCGAAAATCAAATCTCAAGAAGCAGCCAGCTTACCAAGGGAATTCCTGAGGAAGGAAATGAGTCATGGTCTGCAACAGAGCATATTACACATTGCCTTTTTGTTTTTCAAATCGTTTGAAAATAAAAGCCGGTGACATTAAACAAGCACACCGTATTGGGCAAAAACGAGGTTTTCATGGGCCAATTATTGTCAAATTTCTCAGCTTCAAAAGCAAACAGGAAGTACTTTATGGGCCATCGAAAGGCATCGAAGGAGGGAGGCACCGATTTTCCTCTGGTTGAACCTATTCGACGTTCCCCCAATGCCAAACCCACTGGGAGACAAGGTTGAGACTGGGTTGGAGCCACGAGAGAGGGAGTTTCAATTTTCCTCTGTTCCACCTGTCCCCAGCTGTGCTAGCTAGTTTCTCTTCATTCACCAATCTTCTAAGCTCCTTGTGACTGCCATCCTTTTCTCTTTCATTCTTCTATTCTCTCAAGCAAAACACAGTGCCCCCGCCAGATCCGTTATCCCTTCAGGGAGGGCAGGGCAAAGCCCCGTGCACTTCAGTATCAAATGTTTAGAGTCTCACTCTCACTACGGCATAGGGCACATGATGTGTCGATGTTGACATTTAGTCCTATGCTAGGTGTTTGTCTTGAATACTTTCGTTCTCGCCTCGAACAGCCAAGCGCTTTCACGTGAATTATCAAACACCTTTTCCTTTCTTAACTCATGTTTTTGTTACCTGTGCATCGTTAAAGCTGATTTTTCTTGCATTCTTCCCTCTCATATTTTTCTCTCTGCCTCTTTCGCTCCCTCTATCACCAAACTACCGTAATACCTAGAGGTAACCCACCTAAAATTAAGAGAAAATGGGGTGAAAATAAGGGGCAAGTTGACTTGCTGTGTGCGATAAACAAAGTTGAAAAGCGCTGCGACCTGCAAAATTTCAGATCGCAGGGAGAAACGATGAACCAAATTCGACTGTCGTTCCTAGTCGGCAATTTATTTATTTATTTATTTTTGTTTTGAGTGACCCACAAACAGCTTGACGCCTCATTAGTGGTGCACTTATCAATGTCCATAAGAAGTCAAATTTTTAAGACACAGTGCAAAAAAAACGGAAAGTCAGGACAAAACCATGGTAGCAATTCACTATCTAAATTTACGCTCTTCATCGAATCTATCTAGGCTAACATTCGTTTATCTCCCGCAATTTTCGCTTATCTCCCCTCCATGGCTAAGCAACACCATTTCTGTCGAGGTCACCAGTGACCAGGGCCCTGCAGTTACTAGAAGTGGGCCATCTTTCGGTATTGTCGAAAACATAGCAAATCGTAAAAAAAAAATTTGGGGGGGTTATCTTTTGGGATGTTACTGTAGTCTGCTCAGCCCCATCACTAGTATGCAGCTATCTAAATGTCAGCTTTAAGGTTCGGTTTGTCCATTTTGTGTTAAACTTTTCACACATATGAATACTTGAATACTTTCTGTGCCCACCGGGCATCATCCATTTTGGTTAGCCTTACTTCAAATGTAAATTTTCTAATTGCTCTCTGCTCTCAAAGGACGATCAGCCCATGTCTCCCTGCACTCCCTCGTTTTGTGTTTTCCCGTGCGCTTAATCTGTCACACTCCTTTGTCCAATTTCCAATCTTGATTGAAGCTCTCATCTCCTACACGGTACCCCATTGCCAAAAAACTGTCCTGGTACCATCGCTCCTTCTTTTATACCCCTGACCACTTCGTATCTGTTATAATTCCATAGTCCCTTGAGTTTCATAATAGCTAGTTCTTTTCCCCTTCTCTAATTATACATTTTTTATGTTCTTCTAAACATTTTCTTTCCTCATTAAGCCGTACTCCCAGATAGTTGTATTTTCCTGCTTGGTCTATTTCAATGTCTTGTATCCTCAGGGGTTCCCTCTCTTCATCGTTAAACACCGTCACTCCAGACTTGTCACTACTAAAACTCATGCCCAAGGTGTCCCCTCCATTTCCATATATTCCAGTTAGTACCTGCAATGTATTGTGGTTATCTGTAACGAGTACCATATATGTTGTCTGCATTCATTAGTCCTGGGATTGCTCGTACTATACTTCTTCCTCCTTCCCTGTAAGTCACATCAATACCTAAATGGGCCTTTTCCACATACCGACGGCACCAGGCGGTGGGTGCACCAACTAAAAATCGAGGAAGTGACCTACCTGCGCTACGAATCGATAATGGGAGCTACGCTACCAGTTTCTTCGCTCTCTAAGCAGCGGCGCCTGCCCAACGCGACTTTAAAGAGGGGCATACGTGGCGTCCACCCAAACGTCGTGTTTTCATTTCCGTCGACGTTCTGTTTTTGTGTAACACAATTATATATATGCTGCAGTTACGTGTTCTACTCGCTGATATACAGCCTCCTTCCGAATTTCCTCGATTTTTCGTTCGGACTTCCGCCGCTTGGCATCGGGCGCTCGCGCGTGCGCAGAACGCTTCTCGGAAAAGGTCCATTGCTTTGCTCTCATTTCTTTTCCATTTCACTTACAGCAGGTATAAAAATAAATCACGAAGAGCAGGGGTTACATGGGGCAACCCAGTTTCAGCCCTCTTTTTATTGCTGCTGGTTTTTGCTTGTGCTATAACTACCGTAGAATTCCGCGCATCCGCCCATACCACGCTAACCGCCCATACCCAAAGTTGTAAGATCTGAGAATATATGCACAGTACATTGATATGTAAAAATGATGATTGGAAAAGTGCCCATCTTCCATTTCTTTTGCGATTATCTCTAAATTTTGAGTGGGCGCTTGCCTCGTATTTTACGGTACTACCTTATTGTTTGCATACACCTGCTGTGGAAATATAATCAAATTTACATCTAAGACCGCTTCAGCTGGTCCCAGAGCTTTTCCTTGTTCACATTATGGTATGCTTCCTCGATGTCCAAATGAGCTAACCTAGGGGACTCAAACTCTTCATTGCTATGTCTATACACTGAGTGATGACGAGTAGGTTATCTTCTAGCCTTTCTCTTCGGAATCGATTTTGAAGCTCTCCTAGAATTTGCATTTTGTGTGCCCATTCCTCCGTTCTTCGCTTTACTATCTGCATAGCTAATCTGTATAAAACTGATGTTACTGTTCTCAGGTGGTACCACTTGATGATGTCTTTGTTCCCTTTGCCTGTACATATTACCAGTCTCATTTTGCTTGGTTTCCAATCGTTGGGTACATCTCCTCCAATTGTTATTTGGTTAATCGCATGCTGTACCTTCAATTTGCTCGTTTTCTCTAGGGTCATTATGAGTCCGACGGGTATGTCATCCGAGCCTGTCACTGTACCTGCTGCAACCTTGCTCTCTGCCTAGTCCCATTCTCTTGCGGCTACCTCCATTGTTATGCTAGTGTGCTCTTCCTGTATTCTGCTGCTGTCAGCGTTCTCCACTGTCCCCCTCTGCTTAAACTGTGGGAAAGCCTCTCAAATTGCCCACCTGATATATTCGCGTGCCTCTTCCCCCTCTACCTTTCTCCCCTCCTGGGTGGGTAAGTGCTGGCACCCCTCAGTTTTTCTCCCCTGCAATTTAATGTGCTCCCAAGACTTTTTTGATGCAGTCCTATCATTTTTTTTTATTTATCATCCACTGAAACCCACATTTTCAATTTTGGCCCATATTAAAGCTGATGCCTCCCTTTTCCTCTCCTAAAACTTCTCCCATTTTGACGCTACTTCTGCTGGAATGGCCCACCTTTTCTTTGACTGCCTGTGCTCCCTTGATGCCTCTTGGCGTGGTGCTATGGCTGAATAGACCTCCTTATCCGACCAGCTTTTTAGTTTGTGCTCTTGTTTTCGCTTTCCTCTTTGTTTAGTTCAATATCTCTCTAATTCCCTCCTAAAGATGCCTACTATGTCCTCATACAGCCATTCCCTTTCTGGTTGCCTAGATACTATTTCTCATACCTTTTAGGTACTTGTTGTAGCCGAGTTTTATTCAGACTCGATTTATTTTCCCGTTCCCGAGTTTCTTGTTTGGGTTGTGTGAGTAAAATCAAATCTCAGTTTTCTTGTGGTCACTTCCTATACTTTTTGTGTATTCATCTATTTCCAAAGCTCCTCATTTGTTGTACAGTTTGTAGCACATTGGACAGTAGGGAATTTTTAAGTAGGAGTTGTTCCTTTTCACATTGTCTTTCCATCGCATTTAACTTTGGCAATAACTCTTCTAACATCTTTCCTGTTTTATCCGTGAACTTGTCGAAATCTTCGAAGTGGACGTTTGTGTCTCCTATAATTATTATTCCCTGATGGGAGGTGTATCTTGTTTCGCTGCGGCGCAGCCGTGTGCTAAGGAGAAAGCACCCTTCCAGAGCGGACGTGAAATGCTATTTGTGAATAAAGCTGTGGCTATATATATATAATGAACTGCAATATTCTGACTACCATAATATCCTGAGAGATGTCCCACCCCTGAAAGATAACCCACCTCTTTTTTAAACTTGATTAGTTGTTTTCTTTTAGCCCACTCCTAGTAATCGTAGTGCTCGTTTCAATGAGGACCTCGGCTTAAGTGCGGCCAGGTAGCTATGGCGGGATATAAGTGAACATTGCTGACTGGTAGGTGGAGTCTCATCTTTGCTGCATTGTCCCTCGCCGCAATAACAAGTTTATCCGGAAAACGTAATAGAAATATAGCGTTTTTTCAACTTTTCTTGGTTGTACACCAAAAGTTAGCCCGCTCCTCATTTTCACCCGATTTTCTCTCGACTTTAGGTGGGCAGTCTCTCGAGATGTCTCGGTATATCTTCTTCAGATTCGAGATTTAAGGATAATTGGGTATTGTGAAAAAAAACTTGCATGGACTTCTATATAGGTTTATATTTTATGCCAGCTCTCTCGTTTAGTATTACATTTATATGGCTTCATACCTGCTCGATAGTACAGTCAATAGAGTACATTACAACTATATTAGATGGAGCAGTGGATGGAAGCTTGGGAACAACCTTATCGAGTTAGGCGGGATTGTTTTTAGAGGGCATATTTATCATTCACGTGCCGATTTTTTTTATAAGTCCTACATATACAGGACGCCCTAAATAAAAACTGTGTTTTTTTACACCGCATAACTAAAAACTATGCATTGCCGAATGCTCGTTCTCCATCCCAAGGTAGTGCTCGAGGTGCGAGCCAGATGCCAAAGTTTCAGCACGAACCAATATCTTGTTCAAAAGCTATAAGTGATTTTCTGAAAATTTCAATGGGAAAATGGCGGCCGTCGGAGCTGTCGAATACATGGAGCTCTATGGCATCAGAAACCGAAAACGGACAAAAATGGGCTCCATTTTCCCATTGAAACTTTCAGAAAATGACTTATAACTTTTGAACAAGATATTGGTTCGTGCTGAATCTTTGGCATCTGGTTTGGGACCTCTAGTGCTACATTTGGGTGGATGCACTTATTTTTTTGCAGCTCAAAAAAATACTATTTTGGGGGGGGGGGGGGGCACCCTGTAGGATGTTAATAATGTTCATAATCAGATACAAAAGTTTTGATTTTTATATGATTTAAGAATTGCAGTTTTATTAGAACCTTTAGAATTTGAACAAAATAGCAATTTGAATGCTCTAAATCACTCTATTTTAACATTATTTCACTGGAATATGCTATTTGCTTTATTCTTGATTCTGTACTGAAACTATGCACTGCAGTTCATACTGTCCCTCACCAGTTAGCATCTTGTTGCCGTGTTTGGTGCTTCTATGCACAACTAAGCACCTTGTTCTGTGTTTGAAGGAATCAAACCTGCCGTGCAACTGATTCCAACAACAAAAGTGGGAAGTCAAAGTAGGCATTGTCTTTCAGTTCGACGGGTCAACGCACGAATCATACCATAATATTTTGAGTGGTACGAATGAAAATGAAGTGTGTGCTCCTGCTCCAAAAGTTGTTTTTGCTGCTCCAAAATTGACTTTTGGCTGGTTCAACAGGCGCGTCAAAATAACTCCGACCAATCACATCACTGTATACTCAATTTTACACTTATCATACAGTAGGTACTTTTAAAGCTGCTAGCACAAGCACATGACTCGCCATGACATTTTACGTCTTGCAGTAACCTGATGTAAGAGTTTAGTATTTTCAACTTTTTCGGTGTCCATATTGTGGATATTGTAACACGCTCAATAACAAAGCTTATCGAGTGCGGATCCATTCAACACGTGGATCCACAGTCAAGCTCCCGTATTGAGGTTGCAGCCTTAAAGGAGGCTGGTTCCCCCTCTCCGGCCTTCTTGTAAAACGGTGTTTGCGTTCTCTTCGCACGCTCCGACAACGGGATAGCTCGCAGCAGCAACCCTTTCCTTCTTTCACCATGGTGTTCTTTTCACCCCTGCCTCCGCATAACCTTTTTCTCCTTTTCCCTCGAATACTGCGGAGGGCGATACTCTGAAAACTTTCAGAAACTCCGGAGTTCCCTGATCGCGGCACAATTTTCTTTTTCCAGGGGACTCGCAAGATTCGGATACCGTCGCCTATTCGTATAAACCGTCGGACAAGACACCAGGATGGCCGGAAGGTACACCACCTACAACACCGGCGGATCCAACATGTCGAGTGAGTACACGCTTCAAAACAGACGCCCTTCCTTGAGCCTGTTTTTACGTGCGACTAAGCCGTCGAGTATCGCTTGCTCATTCTTTAACTTTTGCTCTTCTCGTTCCGCAGGTGGCTTTGAAAACTACCAGAATGCGTCCCAGAACATCGGGACAAACATTCAGAAGATGACGCAGAACGGTGTGTGAACCTCGTGCCCTATAATTTGCGTCGCCTTACGTACGAGCGAAGGCACAAGCACGGTCGCGTTGCCCCGAACCGCGGGTTCTCAGACTGGATTCCTAGGAACCCTGGGGTTCTCCGGAGTGTTCTCAAAGGGGTTCCCCGGAGCACCCTCGTGGGTTCCCCGAGCTCTTCCTCGACCGTCCGCGCTTCATAACTGAAGTCCAGTTAAAGTGCCATATTAGCGGATCTGGGCCGCTCATTTGCACCGAACCATAAGCCAAGCACTCCTTAGTATGTGCATTACCTTTTACAAGGTCTGTAGTCCCCTGTACTGCGACGATTGCACATGCCTGGCAGAGACTTTGGAAGTCTGGAGCTTGCTCCGGTAGCTCCCGTTTGGCTCGTGCCTAAAGGCCCGTTCACACTCTTGCAACCGAGTACGACCGAGAGAGACCAGACCGGGTTTTAAGCCTCTTGCGATCTCTTAGGACCAGCTCCGCTGCCGCACATCCGGTTCTAAGAGGTCGCAAAAGGCTTAAAAACCGGTATAGTCTTTCTCGGTCGTAGTCGGTTGCAAGAGTGTGAACGGACCTTGAAGCGAAACGGAGTGTAGCCCTCTCGGTCGGTGCCGATCGTTCTCCCACGCCGGGGCTCGGAAGTGACGTCTGATCGTGACCGTTGCAGTGGTGTCCATGAACAAGATGGTCCAGCAGCTTGGGACGTCGCAGGACTCTGGAACTCTGAGAGCACAGCTGTAAGTTTCCCCTTTTCCCGAGATGTTGCCAGACAATGATAGCGGGAATAATAGTGTATTATTTTTATTAAAAGTTGCCGAGCCCGTAAAGCCGCAGTCACGCCGCTTGCGTGTCGTGCAAAAGACGCGGCGTTTGCTGCAGATACGACGACAGAAAGATCTTGCGGACGCATCTTAACCATGTTCGAAGCATATTTTTTTCAAGCACATGTACGCTTCGAAACATCTCTGCAGAGAGTTTTTGTATGACCAATGTGGCCCTTGCACGGGGATCAAATTGGTCATACAACTGAGCCGTTGTGGGAGGACACCTTTCAGTTCACTGTAAAGAGTGCCTGTGCGAATCGTCTTTTAATGCCACCACAATTTTGGGACGGCACGAGGAAAGAGGGACATGTGAGGTGCTTGAGGCATTCCACTTCCACAGTGGTGGAAGAAACTGCATTAGCACAGCATCAGTGGCGTTGTCTAGTAAGGAGCTGGAATTCCTGAAACTGACAATGAAGGTCCAGCCCGTGCCGTAATGAGTAGATGTCATGGGCAGAAGATGCAGATGTGAATGTGTGGAACACATTGACAAGTTGTGAGTCGGCGATATGTCCTGTCCGGTTTGTGGCTTTGTTTTGTACCTTTTTTGCGCCGTTCTATCTCGTTATGGTTAACCTTCCTGGTGATGGGGATGTTTTTTTTTTTTTTTTTTTGTTCTACTGAGAGACCTCAATAAGTAGGTGCTGAGAGTTGAGTTTATTGTTTGCCATCTATTTTTATCTTATTCCTCTTATCTTTGATATGTGCTCTGCTGATACTTATCTTAACTTTGGTCGTGCTCGAGCTTATCCTTGGGATGAGGGATAATCATGAACACTCTTGGGAACAATGGGAATAAGAGTGCATTTATGTTCATTAAAATTTCCTTTTGCTTTTATGTGCTGCGGGTCGCTTTTGCATTTGGCAGTTGACCCAGAGTGGATAACATCAATCTTATTTCATTTATTTATCTCGAGGAACTTCATTGACGCATTCAATTAGAAAGTGATGTCAAAGCTGAGATTAGTTCAACTATAAACTAGCATAAAAAAAAAAAAATGAAAGAAAATATGTTTGTGAAAACAGCATCAGGGTGAATAGCATAACGGATCATTACGGCAACAAATGTTTAAATATTGCACATATTCTGCAAGAACATTAACAAACTAGGTCCTCGCAGTAACATTTGAATAACAATGATTCATACTCAACGACAATGGAGCTAGGCATCTCTGGAGAGGGAGGTTGTGTGTGTATGCACCCATGCGCTGTTTACAAACTGGCCCGCATTTGCCCACACCAGGTGTGGGCATTGCGTGTGGGAAAAATTTGTATTCGCAAAGGGTGAAGTGTGTGACGTCGGAACCACATGCTGATGTCTGTCTCAGGTTAAGAAAAGCGGGACGAGTGTCTCTCACAAAGTCCTTTACTCTTTCCACCTTAGCAGAGTGCAAGCTCAAGAGGAGGAAACCCCTACTCGTGGCAAGCAGGGAGCTTCGTAGGAGGAGCTTAATCTGGTTTTCGTAACCTGCAACAGACTATAGAAAGCTAACATGCTAAATTGCCGGGGGAATTCGGCACGAATATTGCCGGGGAAATTCGGCGCTGTATGGGTCTATTTTTCACGTCCTTAGATTTTTTGAGTGACCATCTACCCGTGCGCTGCTACGTGGATCGTGCCGGGGGAAAGTAGGGACCAGGGAGTCGTGCTATAACTCCTGCTCCGGTGCTGCCCTCCGCCCCCGCGTGTGGCAGGCTGCAGATCCAGCAGTACACGCAGCAGCTGGCCAAGGACACAAACCGGCAGCTGCGGGAGCTGGTGGCCCCCAAGCTGGTGAAGGACAAGCTGACCAACGAGTTCTCGGAGGCCCTGCGCAACTTCCAGCTGGTGCAGAGGGCGGAGGCCGACAAGGAGAAGGACTCAGTCAAGCGGGCCAGGGCCGCCTCGGGACTCGCAGTGCGTCCACGCCCTCCCGTCCCGCTCCATCCCCGCACATACCCGATCCGTACAAACACACATTTCACAAAAAAGTCGTTGCACAAGTCGTGCATAGTCGCAACTCGTGTAACGAACGTTTCACGATAGTCGTGACTCGTGTGACTATACCAACCCCTGGAATCTTTTCCATACTTCTCATTGGGTCTCTAATTGCGGACTGCAGCGCCAAACCTCCCCTAACAGGCGTTGGGCTTCTACATGAACAACAACAAATAGACAAAAAATATGCACACCGTTGTTTTGGCAATCGCTGGGTTATGGGAGAGGGTGTAAAAAGCGTTGTCCCTCCTCCCCCTCTGTCTCTCACCCTCGGTGAAAATAGGATGCAAGTTCGTTTGGAGTAGCCTCTGAACTCCAAACGAACTTGCAACCTATTGTTGTCGAGGTTGAGAGGGGAGGGAGCTGCTCTAAACTCTGAAGGGGCGGCATCCCATTGCCACAGTCTCATTCTTCTACAAAACAATGTAATGGCAATTTCTTTTTTTGGAAAAAAAAGTGTGCATTAACTTTTTTCTGCGAATGTGCGATGCTTCCGAAACGATTGTACTTGACTTTGCGTCGCTCGATCGAGGTCGCCAGTGATAGCCACTTCCCATTATATCATCAATCTATGAATGCAAAGTGCGCCCAGCCGCTGGTGTTTTGCGGCTTAAGATGGGTGACTCTTCACATTGCCAGTCTGAGTACAAGTTTACACTTCTTTGGCAAGTCCTCTTTTTATTAAGCACACTCTTTATACAAAAAACAAAAAAATGATCCCTTCACGGCACAACAAAGTAACAAAATCTACACAGAAACTATTCAAGTATTCACAGACTTGCAATCACACATTAAACTTCGCTGTTTTTAGCTGTAGTGATTCGATTACCATGGTCTCTCGCGGGGTCCTTCTGCGGCGTGAGCTGCTCCACGCACGTGCTACCGAGCTGCGGTGCTCTAACACCGATCCCCCCGTACCGTTCATCTTAACATAGATGCCCTGTCCCTTCTGACCTTCTACAATACCTCTACCAATATGAAACATGCACCAGCAAGTTTTCGGCAATCCGAAACTGTATGACCGAAAGAAGTAAGCAGCCTTTCTCTTTACCTTTCATCAGTCAGGAACCCAAAGAACTTGGCAGAGCTGTTACCACCAGAATTAGAGCACCACTGAGCCGAGCAATAGAAAAGGTGCCGTTTGCCAGGCATGCTAGCAGATGCAATAGACTGATAACCGACGGGCCAACACCACTCCCTGCTGTCGCAGACCAAATGTACCGTTGCACGCTGGCACAGGCGCCGTCGAGCAGCCGACGCAGCACGCAGCCGTAGCAGGCGACGCACATCTGTTCTCAACGGGCAAAATACAAAAAAAGGAAAAAAAAACTACCAATGAGAGCAAAGTGTGAGGGCAAAACTTTAGCCAACCAAAATATTTGTTTCAGCTTAGCAGGGTAAATATTGAAATCTGCAAACTGCAGCAATAATATGTCTCATCCTTTAAAATAAATTTTTCGGCGAAAACCGGAAGTTGTTAATAGAAACCCAACGAATATGAGATGGTGCTCAAATAGCTGACCGGCAGCCGCTCGAAGATTCTGGGGTATGCTTTAATTGCCACCCATTGGACACTCCTCGAACTGCCGGAAGAGCAGTTCATTGTCGGGTGCTTTGCCATTCCTGCTTCGTCAAAAGTGTTGATGAACTGGCATCTTGCAAAGCTAAGGTTCATGCTGATATAAAAAAACAGTGGCTTAGCTCGGCTATGCCAGGATATGCATAGCGTAAGCTTAGGTTCAGCTGGTTATTCTTGGCTTTCCTGGTTGTCTAGGATTAGCTTGATTATCATGCTTACTGCTGCTTCAATGACACATTATACGCATTATGCGACTACTTCGGGATCCGATGAGTGAAGCTTCTCCACTCTTATTGCGGAGGAGGCGCCGTGTAACCGAGCTTTCGGTTGCACGTCAAAAGATCCCCAGGTGGTCCAAATTAATCCTCCGCTGGGGCGTGCCAAATGCCCGTTGTTGGTTCGGCCAGCTGTGCGCCATGTTGTCATGTATCAAGCAACCAAGCTGTCGCCCAGAACAACCGGACAGCGCGAGCCATGATCTCGAGCGGGTGCATGCGCGCGGTGCTTGCATCGGGGACTGACCTAGGTGCCATACCAGTCCTGCCCGTTCCGTCACTGCTCCTCGCGCACGTGCAGCACGCCTCTCCAGGAGCCACGCGAAACTGCTCATCCTCGGCCAGTGTAGCCTACACTACAATAAGTGCGTGCGAGTCGCATTAGTAATTGAGATGCACCGACCCAAATTTTAGAAAATGACAGCAAGTTACAATAATAATAACCTTTATTTTTCGGGTGCCCTAAGACGTCCAGAGGGCCTTCTGTTAGGTGCACCAGCTCGTACAAATAAAATCATTAACAGAATCATACTACTCGTAAAAGAAAAAATATACACAAATATATGCTTATACACTGACGCACTATGAGGTGATCAAAAGTTTGTCCAACTGAGATCAGTATAGAGAAATGGTTGCAGCAATGTCAACCTGAAGTGGTACAATGCTGTTGTATAATGACTATAGACGAGAAACAGGCAATGCACTGCATGGTGAACAAATATAAAAACAGATAAACTGTCTTGTAGCACAGGAAGGAACATGAAAATTGATTTTACCAGTAAGCCACGAAGAATGAATGGCACCGTTGATGATCTCGTAGAGGAATACCAAGTCACGGACTGTCCTCCTGTGGGATCAAAGCTTCAACGAAAGTCTAGTTAGTAAGTATTCATAGTCATAATACACACACCGTCCAGTCCATCTATCGTAAATGATTTGATTAAATCTTTTTTGTGCACATTGGAAAATGCGGTACTATGTTTACGGTGTCTGGAATGCACATTTAACTAGGGTAGTCCATTTACTACGTCCTGACCGTTCAAGCATCAAAAACTCTCTGAAGTGGCGACTTGAGAGCCGATGCATGGACATTTTGCATTTCCTTTCGTTGTCAGTCACGTGGGTTCCGTATCTGGTATCCGGGGCAAAAAAATTATAAAACATCTCAACCTGGAATATGCGAGAAAATATAGGTGAGGCAAAACAAGAATGTTTGACAATCTCACATTTTTCGCGAACACCTTCGAGCAGCATGGAAAGATCAAAACAATGTCTTAACGCATACCGGAAGTGACAACGGTCAAGACGGTTGCACCCTTATGGAAAATGTGTATACGCTGTTGGATGTCACAACCTTGACGATTGGTTGTAAAAGTTTTGGTAAAAAGTAGGAGTTTAACGGCGAGTGTGTCTGGTCGTCACGGCGTTCCAGCTCGTGGCTACAGAACTTGCCGTGGGCTGACCCACAGCATGACGGGAGTCTGCAACGTCCCCAATCAGTTGCCGTGCCATTGCCAGGATTGTGGCCGGCAAGAGCTTGACACTTTTCTGACGGCGCAGGGTGCAAAGTGAGGGATCGCAGATGAGGAGGCGGTAAATGAGCCAGTAAAACCAGTAATTGCCAGTAAACAACAGGAAACAAACCCGTTGGGACACCACGCCATGGAGTGCCGCAAGCGTTGCGTCGTAGCGTAATCGAGCCCCTAGAGGAATGCCGGAGACGCGGTTGAAGAGGTGTGGCTCCCGCCCCGCGTGCTTGCAGTTGGAGCCCCAGCAGCAGCCGGGCCGGCGGGGCAACCTGATAGAGCTGGCGTCCCCCCAGCAGCCCGAGCCTCCGCAGCAGCAGCAGCAGAGCTACGCCATGATGGACGAGCAAGTGAACCTGGAGATGCTGCGCGAGCGGGAGCAGGCCATCAGCAAGCTCGAGGTGGGCTTGCACGCTTTTACGGCGACGGCTGTTACGGGCCCTTCCCACCGCTGGAGGTTGCGTCCATTGTCAGTGTTGTAGTCGATGTTCTAGTTGGCGTCGTAGGGCGTCCATTGTCGTCGTTGCCAAATTCACGAAAAAGGCCGCCCGCAACAATGGAACCCGTGTCCGCCGCGTGCGAAGTGGATGCGTTACCTCTGAGCTATGCCAGAGCGGTAATAACCTGCTCTAAACTCGGGTGTTCTGTAGTACCCATGGCCCTCTTTTTTTTAAATAAAATTTTCACATATTTTATGGGAGTTTTTTCTTTCCTTTTAGTCTAGGATTATCGAGAAAAATGGAGTTTCCCGTTTATCTCGTCGGGGTTCGTTCAGTGCAACGGGCCAGTCTACTTCTGGGCAATGACAAAATTTCGGTTTCGGTTTCCAATTTATACCTATTGTGATTCTTAGATAGGGGAGGGCTTTTGTTCTTTTAGCAGTGAGAGATATGAACCTCTAGTTTTCACGGAAGGGGGAGGACAGCTGAAGTGTTTATGCTTCCCGACTACGTCCAAAGAGTTTGGCTATTTTAAAGTACCGACGTTTATTGAAGCGACACTCGTTTGCAAGATTTGTCGTGGGGCAGCTAGTACTGCCAATCGCAATGGCACCAATGGCAAATGCAGCCGCAGAAATATATTTCATTACCGCCAAGTTTTTATGAACTTTGAGCACGTTTTTGTCCGAACAATTATTTTTATATTGAATTATGAAGAAAAAAAAACTGGAACACAGTAAAATTAAACTCTAAATTTTGGAGAATTCTGATTCAAACAAAAATAAAGTCCCATAAGCCCTGAATGTTCAGCAAAAAGTAAACCCCGAGAAACACCCTCCGAAGTTCATGAAAAATTAACTCCAAAAACACAAAACCCTACTTACGTTTTACGAGTTATCTTTTAATAAACCCTATGTATAAAAATTCAAAAGCACAAACACCAAGGAAAAGAAGAGGGGACAGGACAGAGCGCTCTGTCCTGTCCCCTCTTCTTTTCCTTGGTGTTTGCGCTTTTGAATTTTTATACAATGTGTAGCCAACTAGTCCAATAGTTAATTTTGATTTAATAAACCCTAGCTGCGAGTCCGCCTTGTGTCGTGCAGCTCTTCTTTGTCCGTGTTTTTTTTGCGCTTTTTCTAAGCGTTCTCTGACAAGGCATTCGTGGATGCCCGGACCTCTGCGGAAGCATGACACACGATGCCCCAACAACTGAGGAAAAAAAAAAGCACTTGCGACTTACCATCCGGCTTCTCTCCTCCACTCTAGCATTGGCGCTGCCCTTCTCCCCTCTCTCTTTCTCAGTCATGCATGATGCCTTGTCAGAGAGGCACTTGAACTCTTTGGTTTTTCTTTTTCTAACTTTTAGTTTTGGGGCCTTTGCACTTTGCCTGACTGACTCGCAGGTACGGTTTCTCTACTTTCGCTTCGTTGCGTGACCATTCCTGCGTGCCATGTTTTCTGGATTCTAGTCCTCACCCGGTGTGTACACCATTTCAACATTTACAATTACAAGTCCTTGGCCCAGCATGCACATGTTCGTCGCCTCTAAAAGCGAGCAAATCTCGCGCCATATGCACAAACACCGAAAATGGAACCGGCCAGGAGCCCATTTTTTGGAAAGGTCCTATAGCACCAGTGAAAATTTCGGTTGAAAATGAAAGGTTTTTACCTAGATAGTCCTTCCCCATGTCCTAGTCAGCATAGGAAAAGTTTTCATACACAGCCTATATTGACGAATGCCACTTTATTAGCTCACGAAGAAGATTGTATCATACATAAATCATCTTTAACATACCCTGTCACTCACAAAATCGGTCACTTTTCGTTGTAATAAACAATCTGGAAAACACAAACCCTCGCGTAACCTGCACCCGTAGATAACCCACAATGTGTAAAATTTCAACTTTTCAACACGTATAGTCCGGAAAATCGAGTGTTTTCTCGTCTGTCTACTTGTCTACTTTGGTCTATGTCTATCTTAGCACTTTATTGCTCGTTACTCTACACAACTGTTCAGTTCTCTGGACTCGCTAATTGTGCACTGTGCTATCAGAGGCACAACTGTCAGAGTTGCACAGTCATCGATGCAACGAAAGCACCACCTAAAGTTGTACACTCGAGCTTGTTGTTCCCATCACTGTGCAAAACTATTGAGGTGCCTGTTTGTGTGTTTTTTTGGCTAATTATTTATTATGGAAGCAGTTATGTTGAAGAGAAAATTAGCTTCATTTCAGTAAACCCTATACCATGTCATAAAAAAAAAAAAAGCTAGCTATGAGCAACAGACAAAAAATCGAGTAGTAACTCTTTTAGTAAGTTCAGTTTACCAGCATTACAAGCACACCTCTCTTCGCTGTATCCATGTCTTCATTATATTGGTCTTAACCAGAAAAGAGGTTCTATTGTAAAGCGAATATATGGTGTTACTCAATTGTGTCAAGCATGGTTGAATCAGAATCGAAGGAATCTGGTTGAATGCAGACTGTATAGGGGGTATTCACTGGCGGCCATATCTGTGCGTGGTGGCTGAGCATGTGCTGACGGCGAGCTTCCACAGTTCTTTTGCAATGTGCATTCCGCACCACCAAGATTGCCGGTCTTAGCAGGCTATTAATGTGAGCTCGTTCTGAGCATGCGCCCTAAACATCGCCCTCAAATAGGGGGTTCAGTGAATGCCCCCTATTCTTTTTTGTATTGAATTCTGCCAGGTGATCGGCAAACATTAAGACAGGAAACATCATTCAGGAACTCTCGACGCGCAAGTATCGAGATGTGAAACCAAGTGCTTGTCACATCTCGCAAATATCTTGTAATGTAGCTTCTAGGAGCTTTTCATAAATCTCGACTTTTGGGTTTTGTCGTCTCGCACAGAAATTCGGAATGTAATAATCTTCTCCGCAATAGTTCTCTTGTTTAGTGCATTGTCGCCTTAGCTGTTGCTGCGTCGTGAGACCCCAATCATTCGAGTCAACCATTTGATGCCGCGTCCAATCCGAACGTCTGCCGTTCTCCGCAGTCGGACATCCAGGACGTCAACTCCATCTTCAAGGACCTGGCCACCATGGTGCACGATCAGGGAGACATGATCGGTGAGGAAGCCTCGCTCGCTCGGAGACGCGATTGGGTCAAGGTGCAAGCTGCAAAGTATAGGGTGTCGAAAATCCCGTGTGTGGCTCCGAAATCTGCTGGAAAAATTGGTGCCTGCATGTACCGATTTAAAAAAAGACTGATTTCACCGAGTGTTGGGTGCATGTGTGATACCACCATAACTTCAGTCCACGCCAGGCAGGCGGTAGTGTGCGCTCAGAGCTCTGCGACGTTGTCTCATGTGCAGAAAGACTGAAGCTTCCTCGATGTGTTGCGGCAGTGGCGGCATAACGAAGCTGAGTGGTAAGATTGGTCGGATTAAACACTGAATTAATATTAGCAAAATGGCCTTTTGCTAAATTACCCAAGCACCGAGGTGCATGTTGTGTTACATGTGCTGGCATCTGCCGTTGTAACCATTCTAAACCAAAAAGTTAAAAACCTCTAAACCAATTGCTTCTTGCACATGCTTTCTTCTGTGTTTTATTTTGGTTATTTACTTTGAATCTTTTATACAGGTGAGGCAAGTGTATGCAGTGCATGTACCTACGTTCCCAGCATTCCTTTGGTGCTAGAGCAAAGGTCTTCCGCACTCAAGGCATTGTCTCTCGATAGTCGCATTAAGCAGACGCATTCAGTGGAAAGGAGACTACCTGGTCGTGTTCTCACCAGACTGGGTTGTGTGGTGAGCAGACATACTGGTAAAACACGAAGTGGTGCGCTAAAAGTACATTAAAAGTACACTTCATATATTAAATGTAGGCTTTTAGTTTACCTTTTTGTTTCATAAAATGTCACAATAGTCCCTTTTCAAAAGTCCATCGAGCAACATTGGCGGTCGCCATTGCTGGGACGCGAAGCACGCGATCGGATTTGGATCTTCACCGAATGCCGACGCAGGGCTCGTTTTCAATACGAGCCGAGCTGAGCCGAGATCAAATTGAATACCGATGCAGCCCACGTGTCCAACACATACTGAGTATCGGTGAGCGAGCAATGGCAGACGGGTGTTGGCGCAAACTTTTGAAAAGGGTCAATTGGTATACTTTTAGCGCATCGGTTCCCAGATCGTTCCTAGGAACACGATGGTCCCCCAGTGTATCCTCGGTACTTCCCCGGGCTATTAAATTTGCTCAGCCGTCCCCTTTCTAAGCAACGTCTCAGTGTAAGCTCCGTTTCAGCGGGCCCGAGCCACCCATCGACGCTTAATCAAAAGGCAGACACTCCTTAGTGCGTGGATTATTGTTTCCAAGACCCGTAAATTTCTCCATTGGTTTAGGGGATCGATGCCAAGTCCGGCAGAGGTTTGCTCGGCTGCCATCCGAGGCCGGAAAGGGTCCCTCGAGATTAGGAAGTATGAGAACCAGTGTGTTAGTGTATTGCTTTCTAACGAGGGAGTCTGTGGAGGAGGAGGAGGTTATCGCTACTCTCGACCTTAGCCTCCGACGGATTGAAGTACTCAAAGGTGTCTTGCTCCGACACCCATGCAGATAGCATCGAGGCCAACGTGGAGAGTGCGGCGGTGCACGTGGATGAAGGGGTCCAGCAGGTGGCCAAGGCAAGGCAGCACCAGGTGAGACAGGCAGCAGAAAGTGGAGGTGCCATGTAATGTTGCGGTGTTCCGAACCGCGGAGGCACTTCATGGCACGTGCCGGGGCCTAAAATCATGAACACAGCTGTCTATAACGTGCATGTGGCAGCCGTTCCTAACTTCATGCTCCCAGTGCCTCTCCGAAAAGAATCAAACTTTGCGATTCCCCTAGGACAGGGGTGGCCAAACCGCAGCTCGCGAGCCGCATGCGGCTCTTTGCTGGTCCAAGTTTTTTTTATAAAAATAGAAATAGGAGGCCCAATTCAAAGTTCCCGCCAGTGCACTGTGACGTAACAGTGTACCGCAAGGTGTCGGGGCGGTCAGAAAGGAGGCATCGACCTACGTCACTAAAAGTAGGTTCGCAGGAAGTCACGTGAGTTTCACTCCTCGTGCTCTCCGCGACCGTGCCTAAGACTTTTTTTTCTGCTCTTTGTACGAGCGATTGTAGAAAACGAAGTTTCAGTTCCACTTTCAGTTCCACTAGCTCTTTATCGCTGCACCGTTGGTTAGTTTGCGTGCTGTAAAAGTTGAGGACGAAGAGTCAGTAAGGTCAATGATGAAAGTGTTGCGAGTACAAGCCAGTGTACGAGTGCATGCGATCAGTCCGATGATACAGAGCTATACTGGGCGCAAAAGAAGCTATCAAGTCTTGAAAAAAAACTTTTAGAACGCTCGCAGAAATTAGGATTGCTTGCGTACAACACGCCCAATTGCATTGCTGAAGGTTCAGACACCGAGGTCGTCGAATTATCATATACTCTCCAGGCTGAAGATGCCTGCCGTCCCTCGGAAATGCATGCAGTGTAATCTCTTCAGTTGCTGAAATACCGGGACAGTCCCTCACACAGCACCTTCTAAACATTGTAGTTGATCACGTCAATTCACTGACTCCTCTTCTTCTACCTTTACAGCAACATTAACCAATAAAAAGCAGATAGAGGAAACCTTGTCTGCTTGGATCGCTCGTGGAGATGCGGAGAACAACAAAAATAATTAAAAAATATTACACGCGCTCGCGGTGAGCAGGAAGAGGGATACAACTCGCGTGACTTCCGCCGATGCCTCCCTTCTGACCGCCCCGACACCTTGCGGTACACTGTTACGTCAGAGTGCACTGGCGGGAACTTTGAATTAGGCCTCCTATTTCTATTTTTATAAAAAAAAACTATGCACCTCTATAGTGAAACAATTTTTTTGTAATGTCCTGACATGCCATTTCAACGCCTAGAATGAAAAAAAAATATCAAGATTGATTCCAGAAAACCTGACAAAGAAAAAGCCAAGATAGACAAAAAGAATGTCGCCGTTGTTCCTTACATCCATCGTCTTTCACACGGGTTAAAGGGAGTCGGTTCGAGGTACGGGGTCAACGTAATTTTTTCGGCACGTAACAAACTGAGCAGGATTATAAATGTGGTTAAATAAGCGTGCTGACAGGAAAAGTAAGCCAGAACTTTTTGGATGTTGCGTCACGCATGGCATGAAGTTCGTGTCCTGTGCACAGGGGACCGTTTATGAAATACCTTTCTCATGCGGTCACTCATATATAGGTCAGACGGGACGTTGCCTCAACATTTGTCTACGCGAACACCACAGTTCATTAAAAGGTATTGCATACTCCCATTTAGCTGTCCACTGCCGTGATTGTGGATGTGAGCCAAAATTTAGTGACACAAAAGTGCTGTTTAAACACAAGGATCAGCTATCGAGGGAGGTAGTAGAAGCTTATCATATAGCAAAACGAAAACCCGGATGCGTGAGCCAACCATCCATTAGCCTAGTGGACAGTGAGGTAATCTTTTTGGACATGGGTTGACCTGAGAATTGAAGACCGAGATTGAAGATCCAAGAAAGGAGAAAAGAGGAGGAAGACGCTATGACTTATACCTGTGCTGGTGTGCTTTAATGTACTCGTGTGTTTTAATTTGATATGATTTACAATGTTGCGTGCTTAATGGCAAATGACTGGAAGAGGAAAAAGAAGAAGCTGTCCTCGCGTGAATTTCTATGTATGTGTTCTGAATAGACAGTTGATAGTCAGCGCCTCGTCCTGTGTGTTCCTTCTTCTTGTCCGTGTGGTATTCGCGCTGTTTTTCAAAATGAATTCATACCAACTCGCCCAACTTTCCATCCTAAGTGGTTGTCAACTCGTAGAAAAATGTTATTCTGTCTCATTTTTAGCTCTGGATGATGTCATGTTCTCAGACATCTTTAAGTGTTGAAGCTAGGGTTGACACTGTGCTGTTAGATTTTGACCACTGTTTGCTCTCCCCTAATTCTTCGGTTAGTTTACCCTAACTGTCATACTATGGCCTTCACAGCTGGTATGCAAGAAAATCACAAATTTAACTCGTCACAAATTTATTAACTCAATTAAATACAACGCTGCACAAGAATGACGAAAATAAATTATTTTCCTCATTCTTGTCCAGCTTGCTTGCGCCTTTGCATTTAATTGCATTATAGTCATAACTTTAAAATGCCGGCCTTTCCCCCTTGTTGGTGTTAAACTGGTGGCAGCTGATAAAACCTGTTTGCTCTACTGATGCCTAACCCCTGGTTAGCTCAGTTGGTAGAGGCCTCCACTGGAAATAGGTCCCGAGTTCGATATCCGCACCAGGCGGATTTTTTTGGTCGTGCACCAGTCGAATAGCTGTGTTTGAAGATTTGTGTTTGTCCTTTGTCCCTGTTCCACTTCTCCGGGGATTATTTTTGTCGTTTATTAACTCGTTTATTTGTTTTTCATTGCAGGAAAAAGCGCGCAAGAAGATGTTCTGCTTGCTCATCATCGCGGCCATTGTGCTTGCGACGCTGATCACCATCATTGTGGTCTCCACCAGATAACCGACTGGCCCAAACACTTCGCCGATCCCATACGAAGACAGAGCGGTGGCAGAGGAAAGGGGCGGCCTTGTTCCGACTTATTTATGAAGCCCCTAGGTTACACCCGCGCCCCAACAGGGCGAGAGTCTACCTTTCTTCGTGGTGCCACCGTCCTAACATTCCGTTAAGCGGACGCAAAGGCCTCAAGTTTCTGCAAACGTCTGGTCAGATGGTCTATATGGGTGGGTAGCCAAAAACGACGCTTCCAAGTTGCCATCCCTCGTTACGGACCCAGATAATGTTTAACCGCTGCGGGGGCGCTCCGTCGTTCGCTCGATATATGTTTAATAAAATGCCGTGTAAATAGAGACTGTGACTGTCCCACAGTAACAGTGGAAGAACTGTGCAGGTACCGACGTTGGCAGCTGGAATACAAATAAAACGAGTGTGTGCGGACGATATGTTTCGGTCTGACTCTCTTTTTCGGCGAAAATGTGTGCGCCGAGTTGCGATGTCCTCTTTTTTGTTTTTGTTCATTTTTCACTTGAATGTACTGCGCGCGTCAGAAAACAAGCGCTCACGCCATTTCGAAACCGGTCGTCCATTTTGTTTTTTTCGTCGTCTGCTCGCCTCCATTTCTGGTGACTTCATGACGGGTCACGTGAGCCCTACGTCACATCCGTCAACAAAAGCACGCACGGCGGAGACGAGCAAGCGCGCGCATACGCGCAGTAGGACGGCAGTGACAGGCTGCGCAGTGCGATCTGTCGGTGCGCGAAAGGCTTGTCGTTGCTCCAGTGCGGTGCCTTTGCTCGGGAGTTGGGATCCCTTCGTTTTTGTCGGCTCAATTTCGACGGAATACTGCGGGAGAACCCGGGCACGAATCTGAGATCGCGGCCGCGCGGTGCCGTAGACCGAAGCGTCTGCACACGCGACGGACTACAACTCCCGAGTTCGTCGGGGATCTCTAGGATGCCTTTCATCGGCCGGGACTGGCGTTCCCCGGGCGAAGCCTGGGTCAAGACCGGAGAAGGCTGGGAAAAGAAGAAGATACTGGAGTTCTATTGCTGCTCTGCGGACAGGTGCGTCCACCCTTTTCTTTGTTTACCGCGTCGCCAACACCACGCGCGCTCGAGGCGCAGTGGCTGTCGTTAGGCCCTGTCAAGGACGCTGACATCGATTGCCACACGAGCCGCGAACTGGAGCAATGTCGTGCGTTTAATTCGGGGAGCGGACGTTGCCGATCGCGAGCCCCGCGGCTGACATCTGTCGTGCGGCCAAAAACCAGCTCTTTCGAATTCTGTCTTCGCTCGCACGGAGTCTCCAGATAACGGGGCTTTGTTTGACGCGCAGGTGAAGGTGATGTAACCGCGTTATCGCGCTTGATTCGGCTGCATTTTGTAGTTTTCTACCGCCTGAAACGACTGAGGAGAGCACCGATCGTCGGTGTTGAGGCGCGAGCGTCGATCGCGTCAAAACCGAAAGCGTTCACCTAACAGCTGTATCTGTTGCAAGGCGGATGTTGATACTTTGTAAGGTTTCCGCGAACAACGGAGAGCGCTCGCGTTTCTGTTCGACCTGTCGTCAACAAAACCACAGATTGTATACTTTCGCAGCGCTCGCGTATATTATTGGCTCGTGTGCATCGTCGTGCTGCGAAAAAGAAAAAAAAAAATCGAACCCGCAGTGTTTGTGATGCGGTTTATCACTGCTCAGCTGATTCCATCAAGATGGCGGCTCGTGATGTCTGTTTTTCGCGTTTCACTGCGCTCTCGCCGCGGACAGCTGATCCCCTCGGACGCGCTCCGAGATCTAGGGCAGTTCCTTCTCCGTCCACTTTTTTTGGGGTGGGTGGCGATGGTTAGCAGAGGTTCCCTTCCGCCGCAACCACTATCGACAATGCTAGCGAGAGCGATTCTTTTTTTCCCCCTCGGTCCTGCGCCGTCCGCCTTTGGGATCATCATCGTAGGCGCGCAAGTCTGTCTACTAGGTACCCTGCCGCCGTGGTATAATTACGCTTTCTACTTGTTTGTCTTCTCTTTCTCCCCTCGGTACAGCGGCCGTTTTTAGACTGTACGCCTGCCCTTTATGTGCCGTCAACCGCGGACGAACATTCTTGCGTGTTGCTCTCGGACGCTCAGGCAAACGAGCGGGTTTTTGAAAGAGCGGGACGCTTTTTTGTTTTCTTCGTTCTTTTCCTCTGCTCCGTACCTGAGTTGAGGGAGACAAAAAACAACAACAAAAAAAAAGAAATTAACGAAGAAAAAAAACGTAGTTCGCGGTCACTTACTCGGCTGACTGCCACAACTTTGCTGGCCTTTTTTTCTTCTGTGGCAGTCACTGTGTAGCTTTCTTTGTTCCTATTTACACTTTCGTTTCCCGTCTGTGTATACGTGTATAGACATGCAAATGAGTCCTGAGACACCCCTATCTTGAGTGTGGCTATCTTCCAAGGATTGACGGTCCACTTGCTTCCTGCAGTGCAGCCAGCCACTGGCCTACTTCTTTCGATGGCGCCCGCGGCGGTCGCAATCCTTTCCGCTCTGTGCTCGGTTTCACATCCGGATTTTTCTTGCGCTTGTTTACTTTTTCTCTTTTTCTTTCCTATTGCAATGACCAGCGTGCCGCAGTGTCCTACTGGCATACTCGGTGCAATGCTCAGGGACACGCGTCTGGCGTACATTGGCCGTTTTGGTTTGGCCTTTTTCGTTGCCTTTTTATTTTTATTTTACTTTCTTGAAGAAGTGGCCTGGCATATGCCACGACAATCTCGAAGAATGCTGCCATGGAACCCTTCCAAACAACTTTCCTTGATATACATTCTGCCTAGATCGCAAAAAAGAATGTATCCGTAATATTATATATAAATGCAGTATTGTAAACTATATATTACATTTAAATAAAACTGCCTGGATGGGGAAAAGTGAAGGTGTAGTGTCCAGTTTTTGTACTTTAAGGAATGGACTGATAGTTGGCTCCAATTTTCTATGAAAAAAGGATGAAGTCCATGATATTAAAATATCTCCATTAAATTTTGACATACTTTTTTTTTATTTTGCTGGATATATATAATCTACTAACTTGCTTTAAGTGTTTTTCTTTTGCATACTTTATTCAATGCTACACAAGATTCGCACAAGTATTACATAACCGTCTCGTGCATCATGTCCACATGTGAGGACAGATGTTTTTATAATTTTTTACACCACAGCAAGCAGTCTCACACCATAAAAAATATTGGGTGTATATACATTTATACAGCCTAGAACGTCTCCCTCAATGGGCAACTTGTCTCTCAGCTGTAGACGAGCAATTTAACCAGTCCAGTATACAACCACAAGCCTGGGGTCTTTAACGCACCACTCAGTAGTGATAAACGACCGCACACCAGTACGATACTCATCCAGTGAACCCAGGATCCCTGGGTTCTGCAGCGTCAGCTCTAGTACACCATACTAATTGCAGCATGGTGTCTTTGGGCGAGGACAGAAAAAGCTTTTCCAGGCAGCCGATAGATGGCAGCACTTGCTGGCTGTCACCAGCAAGTGCTGCCATCTATCGGGTCATTGGGTTTTAGAGACAGCGAAGGGAGAGTGGATTTCAAGACTGTAGAGATTACCAAGCAAAAATGGTGGCAGAAATCGAGAGAAAACTAGGTATTTTCTTATTCACTGTAGGCAAGGGGGTTTCATAGCCTCACTTTCTTTGAACTGCGGAGTGAATATAGATTTCACATTTAAATATTCTAAGCTTAAATGGTAAAACAAAATGGCTAGGTGGCGTAAGCTACCGCCCGATCCAAAGGGCTCAGCCGTATTCATCCATCCATCCATCCACCAGCAGCACCTCATAAAAGTAAATAATTTTTTTATCCACAAAAGTTTGCCTGAACATTGAAACAAAAATAATTTTCAGATTGTTCTAGCCATGCATGAATTATCAGCAATGATAATGTAGAAATTATTTCTCTCCATTTGTCTTGTTGACGCTCACCATATCTCTCCTCAAATGGGGACACCATGCAACGAAACTGCCCTCACTCGGCTTCCCGTGCTTTAGACTTTTGCCGTTAAAACGCATTGACTTTGTACGCTTGCGAGTTTTATATCGCTCTGCATTCTCTTTGGCAGGATGGAAAAGTCTAGGCAGAAGTTTTCCCTCACCAGGGAAGAAATTAACACAATCTTGGGCATATCTGTTGATCCTGAAGACGTCCTGGATGTCAGCAGTGATAAAGAATGGCAGGGTGTAGATGATGATGCCTGTGATGTTGGTGAAACAATCAACGCATTTGTGGGCATTGCGATGTCTCACTTTTTGTGGGCATTGCGATGTCTCACTTTGCCCGAGACCTTTGAAAGGCTTCGTGCATCAATAGACACTCACATTCAATTTCCAGTGCCACAAGAGTTTGTTTAGTATTGTATTACAGAAACAAAACAATATAACGACGCTAACGTGTTCTGGCCCAACTGTCATTTTGCTTACAAAAACATGACTATGCAACACCAAAAATTAGATTACCTGACCACTGGAATGCATGTTGTCCTCACATGAGGACATGTTTGTTCTGCTTTAGCAAAGTATATGTTTAAGTTAAAAATATTTTATTTACTTAACATATGGTTCCGACAAATGTCCCAACATGGTATACTTTTATTTTTTTATGTTCATTATAATCATGAAAGGGATAAAGTAACAAAGAGGCACAATTTTGGGGACATGATAAAATATAAGCACAGCAAAGGGCAGGATGTTTCAGACTGTGATAGCCTGCTGTCAGGAAAAAAAAATTGTTAGGCTTGAAATGCAGAAATGTTACACAAAGAAATAATACCTTTCTTGAAAGGGACAAAGATGCAGAGTTTTTCAGGAGGTGCTTGATACAAGAAAGCTCAAAATTTCATACACAAATGCATCATTACTTCGAGACAATGTATAAAATGTAACGTAAGATTTTTTTTTTTTTTCTTAAAGAGGGAAACGGGTTTGCAACTTTATACACTGAGCAAAGGAGTTCTTACAAGCTTTATATCTCAGAGAAAAAATCTATACAATGCTTGCATATTAAAGGGACACTGACACCTCCCAAAATTTTTTTTTCATTTTTTGCCAGGCGCTTTATTATGGTGTCGGAGGACTACCCAATTAATATTTTGCAACAGAGTTGCGTATTTTTTTAATAGAGCCAAAAGACGCAACTGCTTGAAACCGAAACCCGACGGAGGTCGGAGAAGTGGAGAGAAGAGAGTGAGTGGCGGAAGTCACGTGACTACACCCGACCGTGCGTTTTTTTTGTTTGTTTTTTTCTCTCTCCTCTCCGTAGCAGACGACACGGCATGCGGCGTGCGATTCTTTTGCAGTTATGTTTGTTCCGCTCGTTGTTCTGTACTCAAGATGAGTTGTTTTGTACATTGAAGAGTTGGAGATGAGTAGTGAGTGCCCGTGGTGAATTTCCATGATCGGCTCCGAAAAGAATACACCCAAGATGTTGCGTGAAGAGCTGGCTCACATGTCCTGCATCCGAAAAAAAAGTGGCATTGTGCGACAGAGTTTCCGAAAGATCCACGGGATCGGGACCAATGGCTGGCTGCAATTCCTGTAGAACATATACGGGCACCTCGGAAAACGGACGCTACCTGATTTATATGCTTTTTGCATTTTGTGGAGAGTGATTACATTGAGTTCGCAGGTGCCAAAACGGAAATCCCATACCATTTAATTCAGCGATGTATCGTCCACAACATTTGTTTGCTTCTTCAGTAATAATTGTAAAAAAAAAAAAAAAAAAAAAAAAAAAAAGAAGAAGATATAAAAATATTGGAAAATGTTTGAAAAAAAAAATAAAGCTTCACGGAGGATCGAACCCGGTCGTACCGCGTGTGAAGCGGACGTCTTTCCCACTGAGCTACTGGGGCATCTCTTTTGAGGTGGATCTCTTTCCTTAGTAACAACTCAGCCGGTAAACTGTAAGTCGGACAGTTTGCTGTCGATTGTTCTCTAGCAAAAGCACTCCCGGGTCGAAGTCGGGAAGCACCACGCTTTGGGGACATTCGCACCTAGTAAATAAATCGTACGCGTGCATATTCAACTCGAAGTAGACACGTCATGCTTGACGTTTGCGCGAGCGATGTCTTCAGCCACGAGAAGGGAGCGACGGCTCGGCGACGTCTTCGTGCAAATAGGCTTGGTGGCCGGGCGTGTCGTACGGGATGAATACCAATTCTTTTGATCAGTCCCAAATTTTTCTTTTAACGGTAGACAGAATTCGCCGGTAAAACGAACGGCAGTTCTGAAAGAGAGGTCCCACGCCCGCCGTCCGCTGCCATCGCCGTCCCCTTGAGTCCCACGATACTCGAAACGACGAACGCACAGAATGCTTCCGGTTGTCTGTGGAACTTTTTTTTTTTCAATCAACGCATTTACAGCTTTTTAGAAGCCACAAAAAATGGGTTTTATATTTTTTTCTATTTTTAATATTGAGTGTGTGCCTTCAGTGACCCACGACTTTGATTAAATTTGGTGGTCGCATCGATACCTTAGAAAACGGCCCGTGACCGCGAAAAAGAGAGTGAGCGACACTCGAACCGGCCAGTTCTTGATCGGCGGTTTTCGGGCGGAAAGAAACCGAATTTCGAGCCGCAAATTCTGTTCTGGGTAGTTGAGCTCTCATATGTCACGTACAACTAAAAACCTCGGCGAGCATAAATACCCTGTCAGTGTCCCTTTAAGTGTGAATGTTCCGATGAAATTACCAACTGCTCTTTTGCAGGGGTTGTGGTGACGTCAGAACGCCAAGTTCTGTTTAACTCTGATTGAAGAATGGTGGGTAGCCCTCAAAGCAAGCTGCCTTGAGGTCTATCCACTATCCTTCGATCAGAACCAATGAGGGCTTAGCTTTTTGATGTCACCAGAACCCCTGCAGAAGAAGCAAACTTGCACTCTGAATAAGGGGAGAAATTAGAAGCACTCTGTGAGGATCGTTTCTGGTGCACATCCCTATGTCTCATGTAACATCTTTCTTTGCTGCAAGTATTTTGGGGTATGATGAGTTAGATGTAATTATTCAAGGTAATTTTGTACATGTAAATGGGTTTTTAACTTTTTATTCAAGATACAACAATCACTAGCAGATGAGCAACTGGAATATTAGAAAAAGTGTTGGGCCAAAGGCTAACCACTTAGGAACCATAGAATAACAGTTTTAGTAGAGGTATGAAAATATCAAAGTTTCAGGTGGTACCGTAAAATCCCGAGAGATGCCCCACTCCTGAAAGATGGCCCACCCCTATGTTTTCCTAAATTTTATATATTTTCTTAAACACCGAAAGATAGCCCACTTCTAGTAATAGTAGTGCTGGAACCAATGATGGCCTCGGCGCGTAAATGTGGCTAGCTAGCTATGGCGGGATATAACCAATCGTTGATGACTGGGAACCAGTCGTCTTTGCTTCGTTGCTCCTCGCCACGATAACAAACTTGGAAGGGAAGCATGACTTAAAGATATAATGGTTTAATGAAAATCAAGCATGGTTACTTTAATAATTCATAGCTGGAAGTTCTTTTTTTTATAATGACACACACACACACACATATATATATATATATATATATATAATAAAACAGATTGGCATGAGAAACACTTCAGGCACTTGCATCAAGAAACAAAAATCTCCGATAAGACAAGTTCGATAAAAAACTAAAACCTAATGTAACATTGCAAGCAGAGTAATGACTACCTCGTACGATTGAATACACATTCTTTTCCCACTGAATCATAATTAAAGGAGACAGACCAACAATAGGGGATGAAATTTCTGAGCCCACTGAGCAAACAAAGATGCTCTGACACATTGGCTGTTTCTCCTAGCACGGCAGTGCGAAGCAGGGAAGCTGGACACCAGAGCATTGGGACGAAGCGGGGAAGCTTTTTGACTCGAGAAGTTGAGGAATTCTGAAAACATTATTTGTAATTTTTGAATATTCAAAACACTCAAATATATTGGACAGTATAAGTGTGCTGTAAAGCGAACTGAATGGCAAACACTACTTGCGGGCTATTCAAAGCTTCCAATATTTGCATTCCTCCAATCTTTGAGTATGAGGTTGGTGGTTATTAGCAACTGCAAAGTTGGCACAGGAAGAGAGAAGCCCACCTATTGGAAAGATGACCAGGATAAGCACTAATTAAGTATTTAGATTTGAGCTATATATACTAGCGAGAAAATTAATAGAATGCTGCTGCAAATTCAGCTCAATTTATTTAGTTAAAGGTAAATGGATACCTCGTGTATTCCAAAACATTGTTGCACTTGAAAGCCCCCTTACTAAATTCATGATGAAGGCTATAAAAAAAATAAACAAAAAGCTTGTTTCTGTTGTTTTTTTAGTTTAAGGTATATCTTGTGTATTCCACAACGTTGTTGTGCTTCAAAGCCCCCTTACTAAATTCATGATGAAGGCTATAAAAAAGAACCGTGTTTTTGTCTTTCTTGGAGAGCTAGAAAGAAAATGTTTGCAGAGCAAAGACAAATGGGGGAGGAATTTGGGGTGTAGATCAAAGAAGCACCTTATGTATGCTCCCATTTATGTTTTTGTTTCTCTGCAGCCTGGACGCTCTCGAAGGTCCCGCCGAGTTTGAAGCGGCGGAGGCTCTGGTCGAAGCCGATTCGGGCAACAGTGACGGCTGCTTCGAGCCTGAGGCCAAGCAGCCGCGTCTTTTGCAGCAGCAGCCCCACTGTCAGATCACACTCAAGTGCACTCGGGAGGCGAGTGGCAATTCATTTTTGGGGATCATACTGTAGGCTTACTGGGAGTTCAAGCAAATGTACAACACGCCTCCCCCCCCCTCCCCCTTTCCAAAAAAAGAAATAGTGTCTTTTTTGCTGCAAAATTAAACTGTGCGTCGCCAAACGCTCACCCTCTGCCCATATGTAGCACTAGCAGTCCAGACCAGATGGCAAAATTTCAGAACTAACTTATCTAATTCAAGAGAAGTGATATTCTGAAAATTTAAATGGGAAAATGGTATCCGTTTTCGGAGGCTGGTGCCATTCAGCCATCGCTGAATGGCACCAGTCACTTTTTAAGAGTATCACGTAACTTTTGTGGGGACCGTTGGTCGCCTTTCCCCAATGGCCAGTATAACGGCCATGGTTCGGAACGCTCGGCCTGGCTGCCGTGAGCTCCAACCTGTTCGTGAAGCGTAGGAGAGCCGCCTGGCTTGGGGGGCTCTCCTCCTCACTCTCTCCCGAGGGGACCTTTTTCCGTCCCCCCACTTATCCGGGAAACTAGTTGTTTTGGGTGAGGACGACGCCCGCGGGGAGAGGAGGTCGACGCGCGTTCTCGACTTCGGGAACGCGGGGGACTCCTCCTGCGGATGCGATAGAGATCGGACGTGTCACGAAGGTCTTCCTTTGCCTGCTCTGGACTGCACTCTCGGGACGATGTTGACAGGGTGGGCCTTTCATCTGACCTTGTTGGCGCGGGGGTTTTGGGACAGTGTGTCTTTTGGTGTTGCAATAAACACCATTGGACCCGGGTGTAGGACCGTTCGTCGAATGGCAGTTTGTCGCACGACAGCTGGTAGCAGGGTTATTCGTCACATAGGGCAATTCTTCATAGGGCGGTTCGTCACTATGACAATTTGTGAAACATATCTTTTTGATAATTTTGTTGTGGGTTTTGTTGCTTATTGAGCATTTTTTAAGTGAGTGCAATTACTAGTGACCCGTTTTTTTTATTTACTTATTTTTTCCCGCACCCATGAAATTAGTTTTTGTGCTTCCAAGGTTAACTAAGATGTTATCAACTTAGAACCAAACAGGAGTCTAAACAGGATACTACAGACAAGCTGAATAACAAAGCTACCAAACACTTAAAAATAGGTCGATGCTAAGAATAGCGTCGGGTTATGATACCTTTGGCGACGCTTTTCGTTCGACAAAGCGCTATTTCAAAACTCACGTTTTTCGACAAGTTGTCCTAGTGACGAATCGCCCTATGACGAATTGTCCTGTGCGACGAACAGCCCTGCTACGAGTTGCCCTATTACGAATTGTCTTTCGACGAACGGCCCGTACCCCGTTGGACCCAGTCCTGTTGTGGTACGTGCTCCTCCTTTTTAGAGAAGCGATCAGTTGTGCGGCTGACGTTCGGACCCGCCCGTAGCGGTGTTCTCGAGAGAAAGCTGCGGGGTGTGGGAGTAGGCTTGGCACCCGATTACCGGTTACCACCACCCGTGACCATCCCACATATTCTGCAGAATATGTGGGATGGTCACGGGCGGGGGGACGGAAAAAGGTCCCCCCGGGAGAGAATGAGGAGGAGAGCCCCCCAAACCAGGCGACTCTCCTACGCTTCACGAGGTTGGAGCTCATGGCAGCCAGGCTGAGCGTTCCGAACCTCGGCCGTTATACCAGCCATCGAGGAAGGGCGACCAACGGTCCCCTCACTTTTTAGTAAACTAGTTCTGAAGCTATGCGGAGGCGAAGTTCGTCTGCTTCTTGCGCAGGGGGTAGCGGTGACGTCAGAACGCCGAGCCCTGATTGGCTGATCGCGACCCCCTATTTGAGCGTCGTCTGCTCCTTCGCAACGTCGTCTGCTCGCAACACCATCTGCGGCTGTCTTACCTTTCCTGCGACATTCGGAAGCGCAGAGGCCAGATTCACGAAACGATCTTACGCCAAAACTCTGCGCAAGACAAAACTTAAGAACGAATTCGTATTCACGGAACGAAACTTTCGTAAGTTCTGCGCAGGTTACGACGAAATCCTACGACAGCTCCGAAGCTGTCTTAGCACTTCTTACGATCAAATCAGCATGGCCGACAGCGTCGCGGTTGCGACGGCCCACGGACGTTTATTTTTCTATGTGCGCTTCTCACGCGTCCCGACTTCAAGCAGCAAGAAAAAAAGTAAAAAGTACTTAAAACAGACCACAACGAACAAGAACGCTGGATCCACAAACACCCGGGAAAAGCTCCAACGGCCAAGATTCCACCGAACGCGACCAAGCGAGCACGGCAGTTAGGCCTAGCAGGCACTCCGCGACTCGGCGACCGTCTGACCACGACCGGCTGGTGTGCTGAATGGAATATGCCCGCGCGACCCTTGTGAACTCTTCCCGTATTACACTTTGACCGCTGACCTCAGTTTTAGATTAAGAGGTCAATTTCTTCCTCTTGTTATCTCCTTGTTTCCCGAGGCAACGGTGAGTCTCGCCGGTGAAAAAGCGGTGAACCTCCGACAGACGCAGGGAAGGTAAAGCAGCCATCGCTTTGACTAGCAGACGTAAAGCAGACGACGCTAACTGCGCCAACCCGCCGACGCCGTTAAAGAATGAGGGGTCTCGCCGCACACGAAAGGAGGGAAAAAGTATTTGGGAAAGAACTTGCGGACACTAGCCACCCTCACTCTCGGTTCTTAGCAAACAAACCTCGGCGCCTCGGGACACTCCGCCAGTGAGTCCTTTGACTTCCCTCCTTGATGCGCGTCTGCTAGTTGTTAGACAAAAACAACATACCGCTCGAGTTATTTCGTCTGCCCTCTCTGAAAGGCGAAGTCGAGCTCGCTCATAAAGACCTGCACTTCCGAAAGTCGCACGAAAGGTAAGACAGACGCAGACGATGTTGCGAGCAGGCGACGTTGCAAAGGAGCAGACGACGCTGAGATAGGGGGTCGCCATCAGCCAATCAGGGCTCGGCGTTCTGACGTCACCACTACTTCCTATCTCATGCGCAGAAGATGAAAATGAGCCCACTTGCGAGGCGTATTGCATCTGGTTTCAACTGCTAGCTCTACACTTGGCCAGGGAATGAGCATTTGGCGATGCATAGTTTAATTTTGCGGTGAAAGAGCTTGTAAATTTTTGGGGGGACACACTGCGTGACAAAGCACTAAATAGACACATTGTGATATTGCTCGTAAACAGTAATGACAAAAACCGAATTCTGCCTCCTATGTAAGTATAACCACCATGAGCACCATTAACCATGCTATCAGGTTTGATGGCAGCGTTTCACATTTGGAAGAAAAATAAGAAAAACTGTCAATAGCTTGTGTAATGCTCTGTACACCATGTGATTATTGGAGGCAACTTGGTAAGTAACATTTTATTTGATGTCCTCAATACCTTAATATCATAGGCAACACTCCAGCTTGGCAGATCTTGTAAAGTTAGGTTTTCAGGTAGCAGCCATAATCACAAAAATGCTTTCACTCAAAATACTCACCTTGAACACAAATAAACCATTTTTGCACACTTTTTGAATTACCGACATTAATGGCCTTCATCTGCGCAAGAACAAGCAATGTCCCGGGAGGTGTGCGAGGCATAGCAGGAAAGTGGAATTTTGTATAATTGCATCTGCTCACCAGCTTTTAGAACACCGTGTAGATAGTAACAGCAAACACACCGAGTCTTGTTTCATGCTCTTGCAGGTGACCCTCCGTGTTTGTGGTGGATTTCCTCATTTGTGATTGTGATATGTTTAACACTTTAGAGTTTGCTCTAAGTCTCAGTACTTAATAGCAGAATTGTAGAGGCACTTCTCACATTTCTTGGTTGGTTGCGATCTGCCTCATACAAAGAAATAAAACATGAATTCTTGTATTATGACAGGACTTCTAAACAAAGCCAACCGTCAGAATACCCAAGGATGCTAGAAAATTCTCAGTTAATGACTCTACGTTCCCATTACCCATCGCACTGTTTTAACTATACCGTAAAATACTGGGGGAGTGCTCCTCCCACTTCCACTGAAAACTGGGGTATTCTAGGGGATTCTGCCAACTTGTCGAAAGCCAACTCGTCGACGGCCAACTTGTCGACGGCGCATTCGTCGAATAGGCCAATTCATAATAGGGCAATTCGTCAAAGGGCAACTTGTCGAAAGGGGCAGTCTGTCGAGGGGCGATTCGTCAAATGGGTTGAATGACGGTCCGAGGTTAAAGTTCGTAGTTCCTTCTTGCCTTTTGACCTAAATTTTTATTTGTGTTTGGACACAGCGCCCTTCTTAGGTTACAAGACGGAAAGAAAAATCACAAGACTGCAAAGACAGGACACTATCTAAAGACAAGTTGAGAAATGTTCATTTCGGGATCGTCCTTTTGTTCGTTTCTTTTATTATTTTTTGTAATGAGCTGTCGCCGCGAAGCGGCGTGACTGATGGACCAGGTGGGTTAGCATTTCTGTTATAAGCCGCCATAGACTGTCGCCGCGAAGCGGGGTGAACAGGTGGGCCGTGTAGGTTAACACGCGGCCCAGTGATACACGCGCGACGTAGTGATCCCTTCCCTCTGCACCGTGAAAGCCGTGCAGAGGGAAGCGTGCGGCGATATTACTACTATAGGGCAGGATTTGCTTCGAAATTTCAGGACAAAATTATATATTGTGGCTTTGAAACAGCGGCGACCAGTTGGCTTCTTCGACAAGTTTTTCATCGACGAGTTGCGCTATGACGTATTGGCCTATTCGACGAATGGGCCACCGACGAGTTGGCCGTCGACAAGTTGGCCTAGACCCGTATTCTAGACATGGGTGCTTGTCCAGTCAAATCAATAAAAAACAAGATGGCGGCCAATAAAGAGCTTTGAAGGCAGGGTGAGCAGAGTCAGAGAAGGCACGTTTATTTTCCAATGATATCCCCATTATTGCCATTGGTGGTCTCGTGGCCGCCACAACGGAATGAATATTTTCGACTCATGCCGGCACTTCCCAAGTTTTGGAAATGTTAATAGTTGGCAGTTCAGCAGTATTTTACGGTAATTCCTCTTGGGTCATCATGATCAGGAAGTGAAAAGCTTTAAGGGTATACCTAAAGCACTGTTCTATCGTTAGAACCCCAGTATACCCAAAACACTGTTCTATCATTAGAACAAGCCCTTACCATTGTACTAAGATCAAATGACAGTCTAGTTGGTTATACATTAAAAATAGTGCAAAACATGAGGTCAAGTAGAAGACAGACATGGACAAGCGCTGCCATAGCATGCAATTCCTTACCATTATCCTTACCACTGCATGCAATTCTTGTTAAAAGTAGACTGCTTCTTAAAGGGCAACTCTGCTCAATTGAGAAAATTTCGAGATTATGAATGATTTCACATTAGAAATCACTAATAAAAGGCACTACGTCGTTTGCTTCGCGAAAACTGGGATACATTTTGTGAAATCTTGCTTTAAACCATGCACAGAACCTGCAACCAAAACTTTGGCATCATTAAGCGACATTGGCTTCGGGCTGTCAAAAACATAGCTACCACGTGGTACGGGCGGTCACGCGATCCTCTACGCGACGACGGGCGGGTTCGAGGCAGGCCACCGTTAGGGCGGGTGTGTGCGAGGCACAAGTGTTGTCTGCACCGAAGTCTTTACCACATTTCAGTGTCTACGATACCCTATGAGGTCTGCATAACTATGGCATCAGTTTGCACACATAATGTGAACAAAACTCGGAGAGACAATAATCACAGCTGGCGAGATGGCGAGATGACGCTGACACCGGTTGGGATAAGGGAAACGGCGGTAACGGCAGGACGGCTGTCCCAGGGCTGAGAAGCGGGCTGCATAGGTGCACTACGCCAATCACGTGAACACCGCCAACCGGCGAGAGGAGATGCTGCTGACGTCACCTGTTACGCTTGCCCGGAAAAGTAAAAACAAACAAAAAGTAGCAATTTTGATGACGTTTAGCTCAACTTTGGCTGCGACAACACCGTAGCCTTGACTGTTGCGCCTGAATTTTCCCGCTAGGGGTTGGCCAATTTCGGCAACTTGGAACATTCCAAACTTTGTCGGACCGTAAGAAGCATTTAGACAGAGCTAGGTTGTAATGCTTGATGTGTGGTCTTCCAAGGTGATACTGAAGAAGACTGTATCGTTTTTTTAAAAACAAAAATGATGTGGATTTGCTTTTTAAGCAAAAGGGTAACAATTTTTTTTCTAGCTGTTTTCACATAGGGTTGACACTATACTCAAATTTATTTTGAGGTCTGTGAAGTCTAACATTCCTGCCTGGTGAGACTTTCTGGAAAAATGTCAGTCCTAAAGAGTTATCGCGGCATATTGGAAACTTTCATCCAACATCGTGCACAATCTTTGACCTTTGCTTCGACCTCCTTCTGCAGGTGGCTGGCTACAACACAATTAGCGAAGCATTCCGAAGGCTAGACTTCCGCAATGGCATCAAAGATGTGCGGAGGTTCAACTACATCTGCAAGGTGAGCAGTTTGCTGGAAGTTTATCAGTTGGAAGCTCTACAACTGAACATTGATGTGTGAATCATGTCCTGCGAGTGTGCTGCCTTGATTGAAGGACATGCAGAAGTGTGAAATTGAATTGCAGTCTGCTAGACATAGATCACTGATCTAGACTCTATGTGGCTGGATTTAGTGTGGGGGGAGACTATGGCCAGTGGGACATCAGTGGCCAAATGTGTTGCCACATCGTAGGTCAAAGCAAATATAGAGCGAATACTTGTGCTACAAATCCGTTGAGTTGTATCTGTTGATCCCAACCCCTGCTTAACAAATGTTAAAAACCCCGGGCTAGCAGTCATACTGCACCGGCTAAATTGCTCTTCCGCATAACTGAAAGGCAGAATTGACCTCGCAGTGTCATTGACCGTCATTTTTTTTTTTTTTGCTTTGGGAGGTTTTGAATATTGTTTATGAATCGTGAGGGTTGCTTCATTATTTAGTCTCTAGAAACCTTAAAAAAGATTCATTCGTATGGTGCATTTATTTTTTATAATCTCCTTTACACGTGAACTGTCATAGGGTGAATTACGTAGAAGCAATCCCCGATTTGCAAATTTGTTTCTAGCTTTTCGAGGCTTGTATGTCCACTTGGCTGCATGTTTTGAATTGCTACTTCTCGAAGATTTTTTTTTATTATACTCCCAAAAAGGCAGCCCGATAGCATCCCAAAGCCACGCCTTTGTTCCAATCGTGCCCGTCGCATTTTTCCCGAAGGTGAATAATGCCAATCGATGGAATGATGGGGCACGGTTTTTGCCGACTTACATCTTGGACCTAAAGAGCTCTTCTGCCTGTAGAGAATGCACTACAGTTCGTGTCTTAAATCACGATTGGCACTCTTCCATATTGGGAAGATCAGCGCAAAGCATCAAGCTTTACCACCAAGTTTATGCTGCACTTTTGGCAACATTTTCCACTCAGATGGAAAGACTGCGAGGGGCCGATGCTCGAGCATACACGAGCCGGCAACATTACAGACTACTGTAAAATACCGAGCAAGCACCCGCCCAAGAGTTGAAGCTAACCGCTAAGGAATTGACATGGATGCCCCTTAGATCCAACAGCAGAAAAGCAGAAGGGGCACAGGGTAGGTTAGGTCCTTGTTTAACTGACGGAATGGTAAGGGAGCAACATGGGGGTTTGGCAGAACCCCCAATTTTTAAAGCGGCCGCACCGCTCTTGTCAAGCCCATGTTCTGGCATTAAGCTTCACCGCTTCTCACCGGTGCACGCGCGTGAAGCTTCACTGCTTTGCACCGGCGTGCCCAGAGAATCGGTCAACGTGGAGGAACACCTCGGTTAAGTCTGTGGGCCTGAAAGTTTCCTGAGCTCGACATGTCCCTCACTTATACGTCAAACGTTTCAAAAGTAGGAGGTGACAGCTCATTGTGACGGGGGTGCACGCCCGGTATTTTACGGCACCATCAGTGCAATTTGCACCCAACGCCTGTAACCTCCGCGACTTGTGTGCAGCTCCTGCACTTGCTGATCACGGAGAACCTGACGACGCTTAGTGGATGTGCCAGCCGGGTGCTTTTCACCATGCTCGAAGAGGTGGCTTCTCAGGTGGCCGACAGTCGCCAGAACACTCACATCCTCCAGGTGAGAGCGCCGGCATTGGGACGAGGCAACGGCGGTGAACTCTTTCTTTTAATGTTGCGGACGTTCTAGAAGTGACCGTATCTCTAGCCGCGAGAAATGCTTCGCGTCCGCGGGAGTGCAGTAACAGACACACAAACAACGCGCAGCTTGTCGGAACTAAATTACGTGGGATCCTGACCTTGGGAGTTTCCCCATGCTGTATAGATGTCGAATGTTGTGTCGCACGTGTGTCTGGCCCTTCACTCCAGCTCCGGCATATAGTGGATCTTGTAGTTCCAAGTTTGCAGTGTTTCTTTCATTTTTTTTCCACAAATTCTTTTTTTTTTTATATACTTTTGTTGGGAAAAACATCCATATATATTGGAACTTACGTGGAACGAAACAGGACATGGGTGGAAGATTTCGTAACCTCCAGGTAATGTGCACGTAACCCAAGTACCTGGAAAACATTCTGGTACTAATAAGAAAGGGAAAGGGAAGCCATTCACAATGGGAATGGTTCCCAAAGAGACAGGTGGTATCATGGACACTTCACTGTGGGTTTTATTTCGGGGCAACGCAACATAAAGCTGTAAAAGACATTTCTTCACGCAAAAGTTTTTTAAAATTATTTTATTTGAGGTTAGTTTTTATTTGGAATTTTTGGTTTGCCCTGATTTTGATAGAACTGGCTCTGGGGTTACTTTTTGGGGTTTATCAGTATGTGCCAACAACGCAAAACCCCAGCTTTGTTTTACCTCAAGTCCAAACGCAGCCGACGCTGCGAGCTGTTGGAATTGATCACACGGCTTCAAGAGCACACCGTCATGGTGTTCATCGTGAGATCTGAATGTGTTCTATCATCGCTGAACCAGTCATAAACACAAAATGCCTAGTGACTCGTGCCTTTGCTGCCACTTGGTCGGTCCCGTTACCTGGTAGCGTCGGCTGCAATTTAAGCCGAAGCGAAGTGCAGTCATGGTGCCTCAAGCGCTACGCGAATCCGACTGAAGCAAGCTTCCCATAAATTTAGTCGTAGTTACCTCCCGCCTTTGAATGTGACTCGTTCGGTACCTTGCTGCACATAGACTCGCCGGGACCTCCGAGAACAAATGGATCGATCGATCGCACGCTCCCGGCGTTTTGCAGCTCCTGCTGGGGGACCTGGAGCGCACCCTGCGCAAGTACCACTGCTGGGGGCGTCCCCTGGGCTCGAGCCAGCTGTGGGAGCAGCACCTGGCCACCCTGCAGCGCATCTGGGAGGTGCAGAGGCACATTGAGCTGGGGGGGCCCCCGCTGGCCAAGGGCACCCCGCAGCTGCCCCACCTGCCCCCCGAGCTGCTCAGGGAGGTGCTGCTCAGGCTCGCCGACTACAGGTGGGTCCGCCGTTGGGACTCGACGCGCGTCCAAGGTCCCCGCATTTCGTCCAAAGCGAAGCCCCAGTGAGAGACGAGACTCGAATTCCCCTCACTCCTCACCGGGCTGGTGAATGCTGCTCTTGGGCGGGTTCCCGACTGGACTATGGTGCGATTGTGTACGGTTCAGCACAAAAATTTGTCTTAAAACTGTCAGCTTTTCCACTCTGGTGAAAAAGGAAGGCCAGCGAAGCTGTACTATGGTGAGAATGAAGTATTTATAAATGTGAGGATTAAAGTGTGGTTGGGTGATTAGGTATTTGAACGATTAAAGAATCAGACGTATATATAACGATCCGGTGTTGTTATTTATTTTGTAACCACAGGGACCATGGCTTTGTGATCGCTGTGGTACACCGCCGTAGGGTGTACACCAACGGCAGGCACATTCTTCGTGAAGAGGTCTATACATGTTTGATGGCTGGTCGTGGGCACCGTAGGTTCGTTCACACACGCAAGCCCGAAGCGCTCGAGCGTAAACGAAGTGAACCACTTTTCCTGCTGGCGTGCAAAGTCAACGTTAAAGTCACCCGTCACTGTGGCAGACATGTTGTCGCCAAGCATGACCCAGCTGAAGAAGTACATCATGAATGCTTCGATGTCTCCCTTGGGCATCGCGGAGGGGGGACGTACACGACGGCAACCCACTGGACCATCGCGCACCTTGACAGAAAGGCTGGACAGCTACCGCCATCTATGAGCGACTGTAGCAACCAGATCGGTTGACTGGTTGCCGCCGTTGATCATAGATGGCGGTATCTGTCCAGAGTTTTGTGTAGTTTTGAGTCGACATTAGTTTGGTACCGGACACGAAACTGGGGAAACTAGCCCTTAACAGCTCCGCTGTAAAATGTGTAACAGAAAAACTGTTATGTGCATATTTTTAATGCTAGTTCAGTACTTTTCAGCACCTATGTAAGTGGCAGGAATAAAAAATCAACGCTCTATATTGGCAGTTTAACAAAATAATGGTACCTAGTACTGAAGAACACTGTTTCGAGATAAATAAGTTGAAAGTAAAAAGTCCTGTGAATAACAAATTGTTATTGGCACAAACACCCTCAGAGTCATTTTATCAATACCTGTTGCAGCTTGGTAGTCATTGTTAGAGTGATGTCTCTGCTTTTCGGCTTGTCGCCTTGCTTGCCGGGCCTCTTTTGTAACCCTAGCCGCGTGCGAACAGGGACCTTGGGAGCAGCGGCCAGGCGCACCCGGTGCTGGAGGCCCTGCTGGAGGAGGAGCATGTGTGGCGGCAGCTGTGCCTGTTCCACTTTGGCCCCCAGAAGCTGGAGGCCTGGCGCAAGGCCCCTTCCTCGGGCTCGGGCCCCCAGTGGAGGCTGCTCTTCCACCGGCTGCGCAAGAAGCACGGCCTGCGCGAGGAGTACGCCGACAGCCTGCTGCTCTGCCGACACTGCCGCTGCCTCTTCTGGAAGGTGGGCACGCCTGCCGCGCGTTTCGCTTCCTAATTGAGTCGGTAAAAAGTGCACGGTACCTCGGGTGCCTGCGCTGGCATTGCATGCTCGCCGCATCTTATTGGCAAAGGCCGACTCTGACATTTGCTTCTGGGGGTGACTGAGTGCGCTACGACTACAAGCACTCTTAACGTGGTTAGTTTGTGACCAATCATTTGTGATTGTTGACATCTATAGGCCCTGGAACACTTTGATCTGCACGTGTTTCCTAATATTTTGCGCATCATTCTTTCGCCGTGGACTCCAAATAATTTTGACGTTGTTACGAGCGACCTTTCCTTATGGATTTAATATTGCAAATACTACGAAACCACTAGTCTTCGGTCGGGTCAGAGGTGTTCCAGGTTATCTGATTTACGACGCCAGTGTGTCTTGCCGATCACAGGCAGTCTTAAAGCAGTTGATCAAACGTAAATGTGTGAACCAGCCTTAAATTATGAAGTTACGAGTAGGATTCTGCGTCTTCGGAGTTTATTTCTTGTGAAATTTGAAGGGTGTTTTTTCCGAGTTTATTTTTTGTCGATAATTCTGGGTTTATCGGAGTTTATTTTTTTTTAGATTCCAAATTCTCTGATATTCAAAATTCATTTTACTCCGTTTCAAATTTTTTAGAAATTCTTAAACAAAATAAATAAGGTTTGAGTAACATCACCCGTTGTCTTGAGGGAGCCTTGACGAGCTAAAAGGCAAACCCCTTTTTGTTGGTAGTCTGAAATATTTCAAAGGAAACTGAAGTGGCATCCCCTTGGGACCACTGACCCTGTTCTCTTACGAAGTTTATCTGTAAAACACTGTCTTTTTTGCTTTTTACTTCGTTAATGTTACCTCGAAATTCAGAGTTTTATGGATAAATCCGAATGAACGAAAATTTTATACCGGCGAGTGTTTTTCGGACATTTTCCAAAACACGGGACGCTAGTTAAAGTAAGCTCGTGCTCTCATTTCATGTATTGACTGAATCAGTAAGGATTAAAGCACCACAAAGCAAAGGCCTGGCATACAAGTACAAGCACCCAATGTGTACACTTCTCTTCCCTACTTGTTCATTGTTTTTCGGCACTTTAAAGGGGTAGGGAAACGTAATTCCAGCGCTCATTTTCTAGCTTGAATGTGTTGCATGTTGCACCCTAACCTCAGAAACACCGGTCTTCCGTTGAAAGGCACAAGAAAACTATAATTTTAAAGCTAAATAAACAATCTTTCAATGTGCATCTGGTGGATACATGCAGAGCCTATTTGGGAGGTAATCTAGCAACTTTGGGGAACTTGCTAGTAGTCGTGACGTAGGAGATTCCTTCGGAGCAGCGCCGCTCTTTGGAATTTCAACATTTTCCTTCTTAGCTTTCCTCCTAGCTCAACTCACAAATCGCGCATTGAACCAAACGGCCTAAGAAGACGGAAAGGAAGGACTCCCCTCTTTCTCGGACCCTCGTTCGTGCAACCAGAACCAGCCGTTCTCCCCCTAGAAGATTGGCCCGTCGCTCAAAACTTGAACAAAAGTTGCTTTCCCCACCCTGTTCAGCCCTAAGCCGACAGTGCCTGTGGAAGCTACGTGCTCCTTGGGCCAGCCACACGCTCGTCACCCCACGAGTACTTCAAACGGCTCGGTTGTAACGCGCTGATGCTATTGACACCACCACAACGCTGACAACGCCACCAAGGGCAAAGCTCATAACCACGCCTGCCTTGCTACTCCACGAACGCGGGAAATCTTTTCTTTCTGTTTTTGTTTGTTTCTCTTCGATCGCTTGCTCGAGCGCACCGTTTGGAACGAAAAATATAGCTAGTCGTTCAAAATACAAACATGCGATTATCATTTACGGTTATTATCCGTCATGCTTAACTCATTTCCGAACAAAATTTGAATATTTCAATTTTTGTTTCCGCACCTCTTTAAACCCTGCACTAGAGAAAATAGTCTCGCAACAGGAAAACAAATAGCCGGACAGAATAAGTAGGAGAGAACAGGACTCATTCTTTTTCGTCGCGTTATTTGTGTTTTTGCCACCATAAAGTGCGGAGTAAGCGCCCACTTAAGACTGAGAAAGTATCTCGAAGAATGAGGGAATGGGCTTCACTGCTTTCCATTGGGGTGCTTGGGGAAGCATCTAATGAAGAAGGAGCAGCTCTGTCTGGGGTAGGCACTTCGGTGTGTCCAAGCGCACCCACCCCAGGCAGAGTATTTTCCAAACCGCACCCTGTATATGGGCAGTCCGTGAAAACAAATTTCGACTGAAGTAAAAAATTTTCTTCTTAGCTACACCGAGTCAATGGTCTGCACCCTGCACCTGGTGCACAGACCACACATAAAAAATTTGGATACACAGCACATCTTGAAGAATGCCGCTTTATTAGCCCACGAAGAAGCTTCTGTTGTACAACAATCCTCATTAACATAATGTGCCATTTGCAAAATTTGTCATGTCTCTCGAAAAAGAGTCCAAAAGAAGCATCCTTGTACAGTCTACACTGCATAAAGTTTAAACTCTCCTAGAGTCCAGAACCCTTGGGAGTCCCAAGCGCACGTGCGCTGCCAAGGGATGGGAAAGTATGGAGGACGCGCCGAAAGCCGGGCGTTCGAAAGACGCGCCCCGTCATTCGCATTGTGTCGGGGACTGCGGCTCGAGAGACCTCGATTTCGATGGCGTCTGTCCGTGCAGTCGTTCGGCCACCCCTGCCTCAAGGTTCCCCGCGACGAAGAGACCTCCGAGGAGGGGGACGCCCCCCTGGCCCCCACGAGCGTGGTCCCCGTCTGCATTCCGGTCACTCCCCAGGCCTTCCTCCAGTACTTCTCCCTGTGACCGACCCCGGCTTCGACACGCCCGTCCGCCCCTGCGCGCCACCTCCGCGGCCCCCAAGCGGCGCCCCCGTCGCTTTGCAGCGACCTCAGTGAGCGTCTGCCGCGGCCGCTCTGAAACTCGCCCGCTCGGCGCAACTTCCCCTTCTTTCTGCGAAGGCATTTTGTCGACGGTCGGCTCCTGTTCCGGGCGTCGCGCCCGGGAGAAGTTTCGGGGTTCTGGAGGGCCCCGAAAATCCAGCTCGCGACGTGAACGAGCTGCAGTTTCGGTACAATGCCGGTAGCGCGCTTCTGACTGGTGAACCTACCGCGCCCTAAAATGTGGTTCCTCGACGTTTGCACCACTACGACGTAGACGCAGTTGCCCGTGCGATCTTGGCGGTGGAACGGCAGCGGACGCCTCTTCCGCTGTAGGTCGTTCTGCCACCGGACAGTTTACAGAAGCTTCAAGAGTCGTGATGCCGCAGTGACGGCAACCTTTGCGGTCACCTTTCTTGCCAGCATTTCTGCAACCAACTTCCAGGATTGCGACATCAGACACTTGCCGGCTCCTTTGAAGCAGTTTGTTGCTACTTTGGGACCGCTTTCGATGCAAGGGTGGTAGACGCACCAGTCGACATGCATTCCAGGCACCTTCTTTCCTGTCGGATGCGTATGAAGTGATTTCCAGTTCCTTAGTCTAGAATCTTTTCAATCTTACGTTTAGCAGTCTTACCATTTGGTGGCCCCAAGCTTCGGCTGAGGCACTTGCACCCCGATGGAGGCGTATTGCGGCCTAAGCATTGTGTAACTGAGATGTTGGTTGCTCGTCGAAGAATCTTGAGTGGTCTAAATCAACCTTATAGGGGACGCGATAGATGTTTTTCACTGGTCCAGAATATCAACAAGTTAAAGGGCAGTGAATTATCTACTCGTGCAAATTAAACTGGTTTAGGACCCCTTTTATTTGTTAGAGTGAAGATTTGTTAGAGTGAAGTGCTGGTGCTGAAAATAATTTAAGACGAGAAGAGGTGGTCCGTTATCTATTATCACCTACCACAATGCAGCAACAGGTTGGACAATGCCTTTTTAGGTAGCGCTGCTCCGGAGCATAATGTCAACTTTTTCCTTCCTGATCTTTTGACCATTCCAAGTAATTTCTCCAGATTTTAGGACGATGGTGCTAGTGGAAGCAGTCCTTGACCGAAACTGCAGCTTGTTCCCTCTGCGGCTTGCCAGAATTCCGGATTTTTTTTAAACGCGACGCACAGTGTGTATTGAATGTTCGCCAGTGTTGGTCTCGGAGGACAATCGTCGGTGCCAGTCTATGCTTTGCGGTAAGCACACCGGCATGAATTCGTGTTTGAAGGCATCTGTCCTGGAGTGGCAGGACGTTTTGACGACTCTGGTCCTACAAACTGCCGTATTTACTCGTGCATCAATCGACCTGTCATAGTCGTAGACTCCCACATTTCAGAAGCTAAAAAGTAATAAAGCTAACTAACTGCCAATTGACAATTGCATCACCACTCCTCAGTCCCGGTCAATGAAATGCTTGCTTGACACAAGCCCCGTTTCATTATTGTCACATTATTTGTCGTATCAAATTACGTGGGAGTCTTGCTGATTTGACCAATGAGGTATTTCATTGTTTGCTGAGAACAAACTGTTTAAAACTTACCAGCTTTTTGAAGGTTCCCAAAAGCCACTGACAATACATATTATGACTGTGCCACAGTGTTGTACTCCAGAACATACTGTGGCAGTTTTGACGTTAAGGACACAGAGATAGATGACAGCCGCGGTTGTCGAAGCACACGTATTGGTCAACCCATGCGCGAGTAAATACGGTACTTTTCTTTTCGCATTGTTTCCCAGCGAAACAAGCCGGTGCTCTGAAAGGCTTTGTACATAGATAGCGAGGCATATTTTGGATACAGATTTGTTTCAGTATTTAAGATATTTATACTATGTTTGTTTCGTGAGCGTATGCTCGTAGGCGGGTCTATTGAAAAGAGAGGAAGTAAGTACATGGCAGTGATATGTCTAGGACCCTATATATATGAATCTTATGTTTGACTTTCCAACAACGGGATTGTGCAGCGCTAGAGCCCGTCGGTCGTTGGCTGCATTCTGAGACGCCACATATCTGGCACTTCGGACAGCGCTCTCAGCGCCTGCCGTTTGCCGAAGGTGGGCGCTTGGTTTATTTACTCTTAAGACTGCTGCAGGAATGTGATTACTGCATGTAGAGAGCATTGTCCCGTATACTGACAGTGCTCGACCAGTCCAAATCGCAACCATGCTGGGAAAAACTCACTTGTCCCCGCATTTGAAACCGGTGTTTTCCGTTGTATATCTTTGCCCCTTCCGTTGTAGTCGTGTTGTACACTTTCGACGATCTTAGGAGCGTGTTGGTTTGTAGAGCTCATATCAAACGAGGTTTTTGAAGCAGCTGCGCATGCTCTTTTTTGTTCGAAGACCGACCTGCAGAGATGCCCTTCTGGTTTCCATCGTTTCTGCCTTTCCAAGAATGCCGTGAATCTTTGGTCTCTTCAATTGCTCTCTATATTATCTTATGGATGGCAATTTGACGGCACTAGGATGAGGCTGACTAGCTCGAGACTGCATCTTCGAAAGAGCATTGCAGTCGACCTCGCACGGTTGGTGCGAGGTCGACTGCAATGCTCTTTCGACAGACATGACTGAAGCATACCTGGATAGCAATTCAGTTACTGCAATTTAATTGCCCTTCAGAGTAATCTGCTACTGTACTTCCTTACTTTTCACAAAGAGTAGTTATAATTAATTTACATTATATCCTAAGTGATTGCAGCATTTTAATTACGGTTGCACCTACTTTTTTAACGACTTAGTCACGTTGGAGCTTCGTTCTGTAGAGTCACTGAGAGGTGAAAATGCACCGAGCGTCTGCCCTGTTGTCCCCTGCCAACTCATGGAGCTTTCAGACAGCCAACACCGTGGGTTCAATTGTTAGAGCGACAGCTCTCGCAGAAGGGCACAGAAGATGCCCCACATAAAGAGAGCGCAATCTCTTCCATTGTCAGGATTGGATAAAAAGGTCAAAATGATGCGGCTGTGACGAGTGCATTTAATGTGACTCATTTCTGCCATTTCCACAATGGTTAGGAGTTTGAACCACCATTCAGTTATTTCACTACCTACAGACACTACTATTTGATTTCTTTTACTTTGAATTGCCATGATAAGATTCAATGAAACCAACTCCTTGTGTACTGGGCACTTACATTCTCATTGTAGCATGATTAAAGCAGGTGCAACAAAGACACACCTGACAAATGGAAAATGCCGTATATTGAATCCTCAAGGGCGAGACGAGAAAGGGACAAATGCATTCCAACATGGAACAATACTACTGTATCACATTAGCATAACTGAAGTTGATCAGCTCTCGAAGGACAGCAATAGCATTACTTCTAAAATTAGTAAATAATTATAATGAATTACTAGTTATAAATAATTGCCAAATCGCTTTTTTTGCACTAGTAATAACGAATTGCTGAATTACTTTTTTTGCCCTAGTAGTTATATTTGTAATGAACGAGTAACGGGAGAAAACAGCACAAAAAAGACGCAACGCTAGTAGACCAAAATCAGAAACAGTGCTGACTCATGACTTTTTGTTTCTCATCTTCTTCAATACATAATAGTACATTAATAGACGATGACGAAGCAAATGAAGTCATAAGTCAGCACCGTGTTTGTGTCTTTCATCTGCTTGTCCTTGTGTCCTTTTTTGTGCTGTTTTCTCCTGTTATCAAAATGCACCTACTAGCCAACCTTCAAACTCTATTGTAAGTAAGTAATGAGACCCAAACATGGGCATGATGGCTCATCTGCATGTAACACTTTATACTTTGGCACTGGTAACATGAGCCCACTGATCGTGACTATAGGGGGCTGGATGGCGCCTAGCTGTTCTCCGAGCAGGGCGCGGGTGAAGCCACCGGGAGTTTGATGCTTGTCCCGGAAGTCGGGCGTCCGCCGGGCTTCCTAGTGCATTCAGTCGACGTTTCAGTTCATGCTTTCTTGCGTCTTTGAGTGGGTTTTAAGAATCCCGTTTTGAATTAAATCCCGATAATAAGGCATATGTACACTCGATCAATTAGAACCTTAAAAGTTTCTCATCCAATGGCTTCCCAGGGTCTGCATGCACCGTTACTGCGCAACAAGCAGGCCCTTTTGGGATGACAAAAAAAAAATGGACCGCATCTCCGCGTGGTGAATGATGTTGATTGGGGCAAAGCTCTGGTGGTGCTTGTCTGCATAGACGCTGAGCCGCAGCATGCCGAGCCTTTGGTTCATTTTCATCCATGTCAGAAAGAGAATGTCTGGTATGGAACGTGGTTATATACGCATTAGAGCATTTAACTGCAGCGCCCTCTTGTCTATAAACGTTGGGCCAATGCATGCAAAGTTTAACGCGATTATATACGCATTTGACCACAGCGCCCTCTCCTGTATAGACGTTGAGCGGCTACATGCAACTTTTCAATCATGACAAAAACTTTAGCTCTTGAGTTACTACCACATCTCAGAGCCCCCTACTCGTCCTGCAGTCGTGGCCGAGTGGTTAAGGCGATGGACTAGAAATCCATTGGGGTCTCCCCGCACAGGCTCAAATTCTGTCGACTGCGCAAATAATTTTTCTTTTTTTTTTTCATCATTTTTTATGTCCTACATGAGCAGGTGAGCATGTGCTCGCATGCTCGTGAGCACATGAGCTCACGAGCAGGAGCACCAGCAAGATCGATGTGAGCATGGACGCCGGACGGACTAGGCTAAACTTTAAGGAGCTTCGCCCCTGAAAAAATCCAGTGCCCTGAACGCTGTTCAAACCAGCGCTCGGAAGAGTTGAAAACCCTGTCAAGTGCTTACTTCCGGTGGCTCCCTACCTGTTAGCTCAATGTGCCATCCAGCCCCCTAGTGGAGGTCAGGAATGTAGCCATCACTGCTTTGTCTCGCCAGTGGGAGAAACCCCTTAAAGAGCTGTTCCGAAGGTATAATAGAGGTCTGTAGATCTGTTCATTCCAACTTCCTGGCATACTTTTTGTTGCTGTTTGGAAATAAACTAGTTATTAATATACATTGTTTCTAGGCTCCTAGCAGATACAGTAAAGTACTGGGGGAGCGCCAACCCAACTTTTACTGAAAACCGGGTTAATCTAGACATGGGCGGTTGTCCGGTCAAGTCGGGCCCTTAACGTACAATTTGCCGAATTCCCAAGTTTGGACCACAATAATTGTGGGCGCTTGAACGAAGTAGGCGCTTCCCCGGTATTTTACGGTAATTGTCTTACCTTTTTTTTATGGAGACTGCGGAAAGATCCTTTCAGAGGTATACTGCAGGTCGGTCTTGAGAGGAACATTGAACTACATAGTAAGTTGCTTAGATTTATATTGGATTCATGGGACTACGTAGGGCAGTTTTTCTACGCTACGAGTTGTATGTTTCCGCAGAGCTGTAACTGGGTGGCCACCATGTGCTTTGCAAATTGCAGCATTTGGAACTATGAGCCTGTTGTTAAAAGAAATAAGCCATTGTGTTCCCACAGCTGAGCGATTGACTCGTGCCTATCTTCTTTCAAGAGTAAAAAGAAAGGCTCATGTTTAATGACCAGAAACGTGGTGAGAAATGCCGTAATTGCTATTCCTCCCGCCTGTGGTTTTATCAAAAGAGGTACCACATTTAAGTGCAACACCAGTTTTTTTTTTTTTATCTTGCGTTTCCCATTGACAGAAAGCCGACTGATTGGAGCCCCATCCCAAAGAAAAATTAGTTGCCTTTATTTGTGGTCTGGTTTCTGAAAGCCTGCCACAAAACGTTCTCCACACCCTTACTGTGACAATCTTTTTGATGCAAAGGTACGAAGGACAAAAATTATACGAAGTCTCTTTGCTTCTTTAACGTGTGACAAATGCTTGCCAAAAAGCTTCCTGGAAACATATGCTAACGAAAAGGAACCCGGTTCTGTTCAAGACGTGTTTGTTAGATAATGTTCGAGGACAAGCTTGACTGTCCCCAGAGAGATTTTACGTGTTGTTTTAGAGAGAGACTCTGGGAGGTACCTCATTTCAAATTGACGACTTCTTTGTGGTGGCCGCTTTTTTGAAAGGCATTTTGAGCAGCTGGAGAGGTTGGGCTTCTCCTGCGCGTGCGGCCCTGTGCAAGTCTGGCCTCCTCGACTGTTATACGTGTACATATGCGTTGTAGTGCTGTGTACATTGCTGTCTGTAATGGAGTGCCTATACAGCCTGCCGACCCTGTCATTCCCCTTCCCAGGACTATGTTTTACAAGGTCACTCTTCTGCCTTGGAGAAGCTTATTTTGTGAGTCACACGTGACCAAGCTACACAATATGCTCCATTTTGTGGTAAATATTTCGGCGAATAAAGCTTACAACATCCACACTCTGTTGTCTCCATCAACTCTTATTTAAGAAGAGACGTGTGTGTCTGTGAGGCATTATTACCTTACAACGAAGACAAAGTAAAGCCTCCCTTGAGGGGAGGAGCTCTTGCAAATAGACCCATTCGGTTTCCAGCCGTCAGTAGATGTACGTGTGTACATAAATGGGGTTTACAGCTCGCTTCACAAGGGGTCGATTTCCCAAAGACACATTTATAGGGTTGTGCGAATATTCAAATAGTAGTTTCGAATAATACACTATTCGATATTCGCTTCAAGAAGAACTGCACTATTCGCGTTTTTTGAAGTGTTGATTGCGGCGGGTTAGCCCCGTTGAGTGCGCTTCTTACCGAGCACCGGTGCACTGCGGAGAAGCAATACCCCCGAAAGCAAGCTCCGCGGGTGTTGCTTCTCCGCATTACAGTGGTGCTCGGTAAGAAGCGCACTCAACGGGGCTGACCCGCCGCGATAAACACTTGGAAAAGTATGAATATCGTAATTGCGTGCTTGGAAGAAAACCATACATTCAAAGCGGGATGGTGTACGCGTGCCGGCTGTATATGAAAATAAATGGAAACTTTGTGAATGTGTATACTGTAAAACCCTTTATTTTCGCGGCCCTTATTTTTCGCGAATCGGTCACAGAAGACATAGTTGCGGCCACCAAATTTCGCGAAATCCAGAGACCTGCGTTGAAATTCTTAAAAACCGAAATTTTCGCATGCCTTCAAATTTTGCGAATTTTTCAATTTGCGATATTTGCGAAAATCAAGGACTCGCGAACATTAAGGGTTTTACAGTATCTACATTGTAGTAAAAGTTTCAAGATTAAACTGACTGTTTTGCAGATGCCCCTACAACCTGCGTTGATTGCTCGCGATTCATACTTTTTTAACTCGAAATTAAAGAAAGAATATTTAAGAATTTGTAAATTCACTGAATTGGGTATAGTTGGCCATTTCTATAGGATTCATTTTATGTCAAACCCGTCGTTTACTTACCATGCCAAGACATCAGACCTTCTGAGGTCACAGTTCATAAATATAGATAGATTCAACTTTGCTTATAAATGAACAAGTGGAACAACCTTCGCAAGTTTAGCTGGGTTTTCGTGTCAGCATTATGGATGCTATGGTAGTGAAAGGCGTGGAAAAACTAATAGATATTCGAATTGAAAATATTCAGCCAAAACCACTATTCGCTTTGAAATTGCTTCAAACTGAAACTCCACTATTCGCACGAGACTGACATTTATAAAACATAACTGGAATATAACAACATATCCAATACAACTAGTATAGTATAAAAGAGGCATCATCAAACACCTGGAATATAGAAGGCAGTACCTATCAAACGTGTCTGTAATAAAAGAAAAGCACAACCAAACAAGCTGACAAATGATCTTCTCGAAAAAAAAAAAAAAAAAAAAAGCAGTGTGACAATAAGGGTCGGATTGTGCTTGTGATGTCCGCTTTTCCCTATGTATAAAGCTGTAAGTATATCCCTAGTTTATCGTTACAAATTATTTCGAACAGAACCACTTAGTAATATTGTATGATTTTTTTTTTCTTTTGGAGGCTTTAAGAAAAATAAAAGCTTGTGGTGTTGCAGCAACATACTCCCGTTAGACTCTCTATGTAACCATGCAACTTTAAATCCTGCAGTTATCCTGTTTTAGGCCCAAGCATTGTTTTTATTTTATTTATTCTTGATACTATAATGTGGTTGTCACGGGGGGCAGTGAAAAAACAGCAGACATGTTTCGTGAGGAGACATACATTGATAAACAATGTCCCTCGACAGAAACACAAGAGCCAATCTATAGCAAATACTAAAAAGCATTGCAGCTGTGTACGTCAAAGAATGAGAAGAGATCACTGCATAAAAGTTGCAAAGCTACTATCAGGTACATGTATACCGTTTAAGATAATCTCTTATGTGGAGGCTGATAGAATGGTTGAAGTATTGAAAAATTATAAATATAGCATTTATTTTAAATGAAGTGATATTGAGTTTAAACATGTTAGAACCAACATGTGATAGTAAACAATACACAATATATCACAGTTTACATTGAATACGAGCTTGATGATATGCCATTTCATTGTACTTATGGATTTGTTCACATATATTAATGTCATGGGCAACAGGACAGAAATGATGTATGAGCACCTCTTCACCAATTAGTTGCCAACCCACGTAGCACGAGAACGTTCTGAGAACATTCCGGGAATGTTCAAAATAACATAGACAACATTCTTGGAATGTTGAAGATTTACGTAAGAACATTCTATCAACGTTGTCAGAATGTGGCGCAGGCACTTATCGCTACATTCGGGGAATGTCTTCAAAGGGATATTCTTAGAACGTTCTGAGAACGACATAGAACACTACCAGGTCATTCAATCGACATTGAAACATCCTAACAAGGTTCTAAGAACGTTCTCAGTACATCCAAAGAACTTCTGCAACATTCTCTGAATGTTGCAAATTTACATAAGAACATTCTATCAACGTTGTCAGAATGTGGCGCACGCACTTATCGCTACATTCGGGGAATGTTTTCTGCACGAAAGAACATTTAATCACCATTCTAACAAGGTTTTAAGAACGTTCCCAAAACATCTGCAACATTTTCTGAGGAATGTTTACAAAGATTCCAGAATTATGGCTTGCTTAGCTTACAGCCCCACTACACACACTACACATATTGATATCATAAATCTCTTCACAGAGCAATCAATATTTTTCAGTCTAAATATATTTTCTCCAGACCTAGCACAATCTAACCGCTTTTCCAGCGCATTAGCCAGAGACTGTACTATAACGGCAGTTTACTCCTACTTGTCAAAACGTGCTGCATACATAACTGATTACTCACTCCGAGCATAAGAACAGATACCTAAGCATCCCACACCCGAGCGGGACATACCTTTTTCAAGTTATTGAATCCGAGATGCTAAAAATCGGGTCTATTCAGAACTGCCCCTCCACATACGCAGTGAGTGCCAAGCTCATTATCAAATTTTGAAGACCATTGCTTTTCTCCTACACCTTATCTCACATTCCTCGGTAGACTCGTATAAGATGAAACTGATCCCTTATGCTAAGTTTCCAAAACCTCCACTTAATTTGCATATTTTTGGCACAAGGTGGCATATAGTGGATGGCGTTTCGAAACACAAATTGCTTGAAAGCTCCGTAAAGTTGGCTTCACCTGCGAAAATTCTAGAAATGTTCGCAAGCGAACGTTCCAAGAATGTTGCACATATGAATGTTCAAAGGGGAACGTTCCAAGAACATTGTGCAAACGAATGTTCGCCAACAAACGTTTCTAGAATGTTGAGCAGCTTACCTTGTAAAGAATGTTCGCATACGAACGTTCCTAGAACGTTCCGAATGGTGTTTTAACGTTCCTTCAACATTCAGAACACCCAGGGAATGTTCACACGACATTGGATGCTACGTGGGAAGTGCCATTTGCACCATTTGAGTAAATGAAAAATCGACGACATATATATCTTAATTCCTTAAAAATACTTATTTGATTCAAGTCGGAGCACATATACAACGCTAATAAGCAGGAATATTTTGGAAAACAAAATTTTTATGGCAGACCTTCAAAAATGTATATTTAGGCGGGAATAAAAAAACAAAAAAGTTTGTGCTGGCGTATTTGGAAAAACTGGCGGTCTTGCGGTGATTGAGTGGTGACAATAAATGGCAGTGATCCATGCATTACTTTTGGTAGGTTAAAATCGAGGAATATATCACAAGCTTAATTACTTGTCATTATATAACTACCGCAGAGCTATAAGGCATTAGAGAGGAGATGAGGTGGTTACTGATGAGAGTCAAGTGTCACAGGGAACTAGATAAATAATGCTCAGCTTGGATAAGCTATAGTTTGAGAAATAGAAAGCTTGTGGAGAAACGGCATTTATACTGCGGCAGTTGACATTGACAGAGAGAAAGACTGAGAGGTACAAGAGCAGTAAAACAATGGAAACATATGAACAGCTGCATTTTGATCCCAATTTGGTCTGCACGGTACCTGAACAGCAGCAAAAGCTTCCGGCGGGGATTCCCCGCGTTCTCTTGGACCGGGCGGAACTGCTTGCCCCATCGAGTTCGGAGGCGTCGTGTGTGGGAAAGAAGAACCAGCCCCCCCTCAGAAGATTCCGGGGGACTCTGGTGACTCCGAGTCTGGGACGGGACACGTTTGCCCGAGACAAGCAAAGGAGCCCGCGCGTGGGCGCGCCCCGGGGGAGAGGGCGGTGCGCTGTGGCGAGGAGGAGTCCGACCGAGCAGGGTACGGACATCAACCACCTAAAGAAGATGCCTGTTAAACGTAATGTGCGAAATAATCAGCGCCTTGCCACCTAGAGGTTGGGTTGACCAACTTTACACATCGTTTGTTTGTTAGGTGAACATTTTAACAATTAATCGGTACGTTTTTTTTTTTACTTGAAAAGAGTGCGACGTAAACGTACTATGCACAACGTAAAACACACTTTACCTTTTTTGCTAGCTACTGTCACTACATTTTTCCTCGGCATAAGATAACTAAATAAAATACACTTACGGTTCTAATAGTACTTCACTTTAATGGGAGGTTTCAAGCGCAGGTAAAACAGCGATTTTATTTATGTGGAAGCCTGAACGGCCTCAACACCTCGCAGTAAATATGCTTTACTGTCCCACCAGAGGCGCCTCGACTAACGCTATCAAGTGACGTCATAGCTTCATGGGTTTCCTCTAAGTTGTGCCCTCCGTGTCCCGCCGTCGGCAGAGCAGCGAGAAAGTGGCGCAGACTCGCAGCGCAGACCTCGCGGCGCCTAACGGCACTCCCGTACAAGCAAAAAGCGAGCCCGCCCAAGTCAGTCGGCGAGCGCTCCTCTCTCCACTGCACCAGCCAGCAGCGGCGCCGATCGACTTCGACTCGCCGGCGGGGGCGCTAAACTTCTTTTGTAGCGGGAACGTCAAAGTTTCGTCTCGCTCAGAACAACGACTACCCCGTGCCCCGATGCCCGCAGCGGTGAGTCGCCCTCGAAACACTCTCTTCCGCGCTGACAGCTCCGTGCTCCCAGCGAACGTGCGTCAACGAAAACATGTGTTCTCCCTTCCTTTCTTGTTCGAACGTTTCTGGGATGGGAACCGACGGACCCCGCACCCCCATCGCCTCCTTCCCTTCTTTTCGGTGTTTGGACCGCTCGCGTTGCGATCCGGATCCCTACCGGCGGCTTTTTGGGGCCCTGCCAGCGAAGATGCGTCCCTAAACCGTCGCGTTTCGGTCCGTTTCTCGTCCGAACCGCACGATTCAAAGTCCGGCTGTTTCGTGCTCCCCCCCTCCTCCCCACGAAGCGCTGTTTTCCCATCCGCCCACTCCGTGCAAGTCTCGTCCTATATATGGACAGACTCGCCTCCACACATAAAGGGCGCGACCGTCTCGTGGCCCGTCCGATTGCTTGTGCATCGAAATTGAGGCCAGTTGATTCGGATGGAACAGCTCCTCCGTCCGTGTTCATCTTGGATCATCGCTCGCCCCTTCTCCGCGGGATCATTGAACAGTGGAGCACTTCTCCAAGAAACTCCTTGTCGAGATAAAAGAGATGCTTTATCGGGTTCGGGTCGCCTTTTCCCAAATGCCCTCGAAGGGTGGAGCCGATTGCGCTCTCCAGATATCTTGGGGGTTCAATGTGCGCGAAATTCCGTCTCCAGAAATTACTAATCTTTTCGTGGTTCAGTAATTCAAGCGTGCGCACGGTGGCGTAACGTGTGGGACACAGAAACTCCTCCGCGGCTAGGTCGTTATCTATCGTCTCGGTTAGGGGAAAAAAAAAGATAACAAAGAAGAGCCTCTTTTTCGCGAATCCCCCTCTCCACTTTTTGGACGGGGCTTCGGTTACGACCGGAGAGTAACCCAACACGTGAAGGGGGGACGGCAGTGTAGCCTTGAAGAAGGCTTCTTTCACACACTCTGGCCGCTGGGAAAGAGGCTTTTAAAGGGGTGGGCGAGGGTAACCCCGTTATCGCGGCCACTTTACTGCCCTAGTCCCCCCCACAGCCCTAGGAATGACGTAGTAAAACTCTACGTGGATTACTTCGGGAGTAACATTCGCAGGAAGGGGGCAATGAACCATACAACTTTCTCAACTCAATTAATGCTATTAGAGAGAAAACAAGTCGATATTGTGTGTGTACTAGCAATCAGATACAAACAGGGCTGAAAATGTTTAAAACAAACTGACATTTTGTGTGCAATCTTCTTGAACTTATTTTTGTGCAGTTAAATAAATGGCATAACTCTAAGAAAACAAATTAAGAAACATTTGCTTCAATATATTGCCAGCAAATGTCACGATATGGTAATGAGAGAAAAATACACAAAGTATTAAATGCTTCATCGCTAAATATTTTAGGCTGAAGGGATTAAATCTTTTTTTAAATAACATATAACAACATCTTGTTTCTCTTCTTCTTTTTCTTTCTTTCTGATGCAAATTGTTGTGCTTTTTATTTCAGACTGTAGTTTACATTCCTACATCAGAAACATACCTTTATCAAGCTGGATGCCAACTTGAGGCCTGCATTAAAACGTGGAAAAAGGGGGAGGGGTACACGATATGTCTTAGGCTTTAACCATATTTTCTAATGACTCGGGGTTTTTTTCTGAGGGAGTTAGGAACATGGGAATTAGAGAAAAATAAAAGATTTCACAGCTCAAAAAAAACAACAAAAAAACACTCGCCCAATTTCTGTCTACTCTCCATGATGGCAGACAATGTTGGAAACAGTCTGATGTTAACAGTCAATTCCTCCACTGTCTTCTACAAAGATGAAATAATGCTAATAACTATTTCATTCATTCTTTCATTCATTTCTTTTTATATTCTTTTAAATGGCTAAAGTCATTGGTACACAAAACATTGTTTCTTTATCAGTCACTGAGCTCTGAAAGGCTACTACAGGAAATGTCTTTATCATTTCTTTATGCAGAATTGTGCAAAATGTTGTAAAGATGCCTCAGCAAAAAGTTGGCATCAATTTCTTTCTGCTATTGAACATGCACAAAACCCAAATATTTTGAACCATCAATCTAATTCTCTAAACATTTACTGAAAAACATGAGGGCCTGTTCGTGCCAGCAATTATTCTAAAATTCAGGGGTGACCCACAGTTGTGTTAGTTGGCAGCTGGTGGCAGATGTTAAAGCTTCTTTTTCCAGAAAAAACATTTTTGGAAGGGGCAGTTCTGCACACTGTCAATGCAGATTATGATTAATTTGGATGTCTCATATTGTTTGATTTTTAGTGTTGTCTTTCCATTGTTTTGCAGAGAATCTGAAGGATGAATCTCCATAGGCTCTCGCGGTTGACGGCATCAACGTCGAAAGAGCATGTGCGGCTCTGTGCCGTGCTCTCCTTGTTCTTCATTGCATCATGGGCACGTGAGTGGAACATACTGCTGTTGCTTGTTGAAGGCTTTGAAAATTCCACAAGTACCCGTATAGGCATGCAAGTTGCAGTTAATGTAAGCTTCAACTTTAAAAAAAGGAAAAGGATTAGTATATTTACATACCAACTCACGAGGTAAAATGAAAATGCACGTTGGAAAATCATTCATTCATTCTACAGTTTACAACACTTTTAATGATTTAGGATGGTACAATAACAATTGGTTGTGTAAGCAGTTGCTGAGAACGGCACTTTGTGATAAACATTATCTTCAGTCATCAGAGAGTAGAATAACCATATTTATGCAATTCCTGAGAAGAGCAATTATCTTTGATAGAAAATTATGTTCCAAAGCTTCTGAGAAAGGTAGGAAGCCCAATGTTTCACATATGTTAAAAACTCTCTTCATCATTGGATAGTTTGAAGCAATATTTTGATTATCGGTCCTAAGAGGTGCAAGCATCTTTAGCATTTAAAGAATAAAATGAATGATATGCGACAACACCTGAAGAGGATGATCATCATCAATAAACATTCCCTGCAAGGTATAGGAAAAAAAAACAACATTTACGACAGCTTTGTGAAGTGCAATAATTTGTCAGGTTATCTTCAGTGCTTAGAGTAGCGAAAGTTCACTATATGTGAGGAGTCCTCAGAAGTGCCAATTATCTTTTTTAAACATTCCCTTCAGTATTTAAAAAAATATAATAATTTTTTCAATGGTTTCTGAAAAGCATGATTACCTGGGTTTAATTTTTGTACTTAGAGAATACTACAGAATTCACTATTTCCAACAACTTATGAAAAGTGTGGTCATCTTAATTAAACATTCTGCTCAGGGTTTGGGAAATGATTTTGCAAGAAGTTTTGGGAACACAGTAATGTTTCAAGGATTATCTTTGCTACCTGAAGAATATTACATTATAAAAAAGTATTATTTTCTATTACTTCTGGTAAGTTTAGTTATCTTTAGTATACATTTTGTGTTATATTTCAATAATCATATTAAAAAGTTTATTGTTACAGCTCTAGTAAAGGTTAATCATCTTTGATAAAAATAAATTTTAATCTACGGTGTACCACTAAATTATTTTTAACAACTCTAATTTGGAACAATATCTTTTCAAAATCTCCTGAATATAAAAAAGTCTGTACAAAGCTTGTTCCTTTTTGGTAAAAATATAGACCCGTGGTAATCATTAGATATAAAATTATTTGTATTTGGAATTAATTGATATTTGGTAAAAAATATTTGTAAAATAATTTGTATATTTAATAAATCTTTGGTAAAAAGTATTTGTAATATATATATATATTGTGATAAAAATGATTGTTCTTAACTTTGCTTATAGGTAATTACCTTCGATAAGAATTTGCTGCATTACTCCAAGTAACTTACATTTTTTGGCGACTTAAAATTTGTGAATTAGAATAAATGTGAAAAATTTATCATGGAAGGAGGTCTCAAATGCTTATGATTTATGAACAAGCTAAGCTCCAACTGCAAGGACTAATTTTCACTCAGTATTAATTGTGACACTTTGTCACACTTTGTCAGAATTTCAGACTATTAAAGGGCCCCCGAAAATAAAAAAAAAATTAAATGTTTTTTTATACAATCAAGTTGGGACACGTGGGTTAAAAAATTAATTTTACGCGAAAAAAATTAAGTAATTTTAGAGCAATGCTGATGGCGCGAGCTTATTTTAAATTCTGCGCCCAAAGTCCATGACGTCACGGAATGGTCATTCGCTCAACGAGATGGTCATTCGCCCTTTCCCCCTCAACGTGAAGGCGGAGGCCATCTACCTCTTCTCCGGGTGCCCGGAATGCCGAGAGAGGAAACAAGTGGAAAGGAAGTGACTACCGACTAAATCGCGTCTCGCACCGTCAATGTTGCCTTAAAATATTTTATTAATTTTTTTGCATAAAATTCATTTTTTGACACGCGTGTCCCAACCAGATTGTTTAAAAAATAATTTTTTTTTTTTTCAGGGGCCCTTTAATTTATTTATCTCCCATGGGTTACAGCAGCTAGCACAATATAAAAGTCATATTTTTCAGAAACACTTCAAAAGAATGTCAGTCACCTTTGACATAAGTTTTTGTAAATATTCAAAGGATGCAACAAGTATCACAAATTTTTTCAGGAATGTCTGAAGGAAATGGTATTTTATAGTTTTTATTTATTTGTAAAATGTTGCAGTCAGCTCTAAGATTTGCCTGAATGTTTAGGTGATGAAGTTGAAAAACTGGTTACTGGAATTAAAGTGTCCCTGGTAAAAATGCCATTATGCCTGATATCTTAAAGCACAACTCTGCTTAGTTTTTTTTTTTTTGTGTGTTTTGTTACGACTGGTGTAACTCCTTAGAAAGCTAGTCTCAAACTTTAGTCCCGGAGAGTTGCGGCAAAACCGAAACTATGGGCTCGGGAGCGGCGATAACGGCTGTAATCAGCTACAGTAACAGCATCGGTGAAACGTTTGCACGTGCCGTGGGTGCTCAATTTCTCTGCGTCTGCACAGTCCCCGAGAAGCTCCAGTCACCAACTCGTATGGCGGCTGAAGAGCACAGGCTGCGCATAAATGACGAAAACTTTTCCCAGTGTTGCTTGCACAGCAGCTGATTTGCTGACAATCTGCTGTAGGTAGAGCCGATTGCAGTACTTTTAGTCCCCATTTTGATGGGGGCCTTGTTTTGATACATTTTGTTTATTGCTTCCCGCTGATAGCATTTCTTTTGAGTAGAGTTACCCTTTAAGATTGTGAGGGGGTAACAAGCAATAAAGAATTTGTTTGGCTCATCTTACTACTATATGATGTAACTACCAAGACTCAATGAATGCAATACAAACAGATGACTTTCCCAGTACATTAATATGGTGCATGAATAATTAGTCAACATAGAAGCTTTGAGTGACTAATAAATAAAACCTGAATGGACAATTGAAATAATTATATTTGATATATACGGAGCGTTTTTGGAAACACTGGCCAAATCACTTCTGCAAAAACTATGCACTATACAGAAAAAAGGTTGATGCTGTAGTGGTCTGTGCCAAAGGGCCCATTAAGAAAAATGATTAGCGTTCAGTTTAATTAAATAATTACTTTTTAGTTCTTAAGTTGTTAATTATTAACCTTAAAAATAAAATTTCAATCAGACACTTGATGCGAATCATGAAAATATTGCTTAATTTGGACGCGTTTCTAGGTTTAATTTTTATATCGGAGTGCGTCTCCGTGCCAGCGAAAGCACGCCCCCAAGGCCCAAATGCGCAACGTGCGTGCACTCCCACGCATCGCACGTAAAGATGCGTCTTCATTGTCTTTCACAGTGGCACTGACATAAAGAAAGCAAAGCTCATCTGGCAGTTCGGAGGTTTTCTTATCTTCTACGTACAATGCGGGGCGGCGCAGGTACGTTGCGTGTTTTGGCCACGGGGAGCGGGATTTGCTTGCGCGGAGATGCACTCTGATAAGAAACTGAAACCTAGAAACATGCCCCAATTGGGCATTTTATTGGAGTGTCGTCGTAAAATGCTGTTACGACATTCGATAATGCCCTGCAAGTTTCTAAGTAAAACCATGCCTAAATGTTAATAACTAAAAATTTAAATACTGCAAAGTAATTAACTGTATAATTATGCTGAACACTAATAATTTTCCCTAATGGGCCCTTTGAAACAGATTGCTATGGCATCAACCTTTTTTCTGTGCAATGCATAGTTTTCGCAGGGGTGATTTGGCTCATGATTTAAAAAACACCTTGTATATATTGTTGCCCATGAACATCAGAACCTTATTCCAGCAGGGAAGCTGTAACCCAGATTGAAAGAATCTCGCTGACGGAAAATACATTTTAGAACACAAACTACAGGGTGAAACAAGGAGACGCCAGGCTCTTTAAATCGACCGGAAAATTCGGTTTCTTAACCTATCACGCTACGACTTTGTGCAGCGTTGACCACAGATGGTGCATTTTTTTTTTTTGTAAAATTTGCAAAGAGCGAACTTACCTGAAGAAAAAGTAAAGGAAGAAAAAGGCTTAGCTCCTATGGAAACGCAGCGACGCCACCGGTCTGCAAACAACACGGTGCCGTTTCGCTTGGGAGACAAGAGATGGCGCAAGCGGTCGCGACGCCAACTGCCGCCAACGAACGAGCAGACGATGCCGAGAGCCGGCCCTTTTGCAGACAAGGAACTGCAGTTCCTTGCTGTTACCGCGCCTGTCTTTTTTGTTTCTGCGACTGTCGCCGCCTGCGGAACGCGCGCTGCTTTTGAGTTGAAAAGATTGTCTGCTAAAAAGGCCTGCTCTCGGCGCCGTATGCTCGTTCGTTGGCGGCGTTTGTTGCGCCATCTCTTGTCTCCCGTGCGAAACGGCGCCGTGTTGTTTGCAGACCGGTGGAGTCACTGCATTTCCATAGGAGCTAAGCCTTTTTCTTCCTTTACTTTTCCCTCAGGTAAGTTCGCTCTTCGCAAATTTTACAAAAAAAATGCACCATCTGTGGGCAACGCTGCACAAAGTCATAGCGCGATAGGTTAAGAAACCGAATTTTCCGGTCGATTTAAAAAGCCTGGCGTCTCCTTGTTTCACCCTGTAGTTAGTATAGCAGATTCAGGGTTTGACTTCCATTAAATTTGCTTAGTATATATATGAAGAGTAGAAGCCCCCTACCTTTTATATCTAACATTTTAGCATTAATATAGCTCAACAATAAAAGGAGTTATCGCTCATCACTGTCATGGTTATTGAGAAGGCACCCTGTTGGAAGCAGTTTGTGTGGAAAGCAAATTTTTTTATATATCTTGCAGACCATTCTAGAAATGGGCTTCTGGCTTTAGCCATTTTCTGCATTGATACATATGGTGCACGCTCTGCTTGTTTTTGTAGGTGACAAACACACGCATGCTGGGCAGTGATTTTGTAAATATTGGAGTGGCGTATGTCGGGGTGGCCAGACGGACATGTGCAGTCATAAAAAGGGCCAGTA